AACTGAAAACAATTAAGGATTTCTTTATTCCTTCCAACTTTAACCATGTGATTGATGCAGTCAGGTCTGTGGCTGGATATGATGAGGAAACAAATCAATACAAGACTCCATCCTTGGCCCTCAAACTCGGCCATAGCCTCAGAAAGCTAGCAGATATTCTTGAATGTGACTCAAAAATGGAGCATTGTGTTGATGAACTATTTATTAAAAACCTCCAACGAAGCCGGCTGCTTTTTGAGAAGAGGTGGGACGTCTGTGTTTCTTCTGCTGCCCTACAGACCCTCCGGCAAGCCAAGTGGAAACTCCGGACCTGCTCCCTCTGACTGAGGACGTTAGAGCCATGCATGCACATATTGAGGTATGTCGACCTGAATATGTGCAAACCCTAATAAGTGAGCCAACGTCTAAGCATTGGTCTAAACTGGCAGTTTTGACTCTTTGTGAGGTCATCATTTTCAATCGAAGAAGGGAAGGTGAGGTTTCAAAGATGCCACTGACAGCCTTTACCTTAAGAAGTAAGACTGGGATCCATTCTGACATTGCTCTGGGACTGTCCCAACTTGAGAAAAAGCTGTGTCAGCATTTTCAACGCATTGAAATTAAAGGGAAAAGAAGTCGGAAAGTGCCGGTTCTTTTGACTCCTGAAATGATTGCTTCGATGGAGGTGCTGGTGGAGAACAGAAGGGCCTGTTCCATCTCTGACCATAACCCATACTTCTTTTCCCGCCCGGGCGCAGACACCCACATCAGGGGATCAGACTCTCTACGGCAGGTGGCCAAAGAATGTGGTGCGGTGCATCCAGAGATGCTATCCTCAACCAAACTTAGAAAGCACATAGCTACTATGTCTACAGTTCTCAATATGAAAGAGAATGAGATGGACATACTTGCCAACTTCCTCGGCCATGACATTCGCATCCACAGGCAATATTACAGACTACCAGAGGGGACACTGGAGCTGGCCAAAATCAGCAAAGTGTTGATGGCCATGGAGCAGGGAAGAGTGACGGAATTCGAAGGAAAGAGCCTCGACCAGATACAAATTGAGCCTGAAGGTAATTCTTGATATTATTAAAATATGTATGATTTTTTTCCCCTAAAGGCCACTTGTATTTTTATTTTCTGTGCGACAGGGAGAGCAGTAGAGATCCTCTCACAAACGGACGGGCTAAAAGAAACTTCAAGCGGAGAACCTTCAACCATTCATCCAGATGCACCCCATGGTAGTGGCAGTGCCCCTTCTGGTAAGTGTACCAGGTGGGGGATTACAGCCAGGCTGCTTGGTCCTCACCCTGGGAGTGTATATTGCTAATATATTTTTATTTCTCTCCCTAGAACGTGTAAGAAAGCCATGGTCTGCATCTGAGGTGAAGGCTGTGGAGAAGACCATGACACCTTTCATACAGACTGGAAAGGTCCCTGGGAAGTCTCACTGCCTGGCCTGCATTAATGCCTCACCAGATGACCTTAGACATCGGACATGGAGTGGCATTAAATTCTATGTCAAAAATAGAATCACTGCAATTCGAAAACAAAATCTAAAATAAAATTCCTTTAAAATAGTTGTTTGGTTTCTATTGACTGTTTTGTATTACTTAAAGTCTTGGTAAAAAAAGATTATGTCTATGGGTCCCATTCTGAACGGTCCTGTCAAAGGGACCCACCAGGTAACAAAAACGTGTATGTGTGTGTGTGTGTGTGTGTGTGTGTGTGTGTGTGTGTGTGTGTGTGTGTGTGTGTGTGTGTGTGTGTGAGTATATCTGTGTGTGTGTGTGTGTGTTTGTGTGTGTGTGTGTGTGTGTGTGTGTGTGTGTGTGTGTGTGTGTGTGTGTGACAGATTGTCGTGTCTGAATTATTGAGTGAAACATGTTTCTCTGAAATATTAAATCTGAGAAAGTCTCGTTCAGACGAGTCTTAACTGTTTATTTAGACATTAGCACAGGGACTTAGACATGTAGAGCAAAGGGACTTAGACATGTAGAGCACAGGGACTTAGACATGTAGAGCAAAAGGACTTAGACATGTAGAGCACAGGGACTAAGAAATGTACAGCACAGGGACTTAGACATGTAGAGCACAGGGACTTAGACATGTAGAGCTCAGAGACCTGTCTCTCTCTGGTCCTGTCTCTCTGGTCCTGCCTCTCTGGTCCTGTCTCTCTCTGGTCCTGTCTCTCTCTGGTCCTGTCTCTCTGGTCCTGTCTCTCTGGTCCTGTCTCTCTCTGGTCCTGCCTCTCTGGTCCTGCCTCTCTGGTCCTGCCTCTCTCTGGTCCTGTCTCTCTCTAATCCTGTCTCTCGCTGGTCCTGTCTCTCTCTGGTCCTGTCTCTCTCTGGTCCTGCCTCTCTGGTCCTGTCTCTCTCTGGTCCTGTCTCTCTGGTCCTGTCTCTCTCTGTCCTGTCTCTCTCTGGTCCTATCTCTCTCTGGTCCTGTCTCTCTCTGGTCCTGTCTCTCTCTGGTCCTGTCTCTCTCTGGTCCTGTCTCTCTGGTCCTGTCTCTCTCTGGTCCTGTCTCTCTGGTCCTGTCTCTCTCTGGTCCTGTCTCTCTCTGGTCCTATCTCTCTCTGGTCCTGTCTCTCTCTGGTCCTGTCTCTCTAGTCCTGTCTCTCTCTGGTCCTGTCTCTCTCTAGTCCTGCCTCTCTGGTCCTGTCTCTCTGGTCCTGTCTCTCTCTAGTCCTGTCTCTCTCTGGTCCTATCTCTCTCTGGTCCTGCCTCTCTGGTCCTGTCTCTCTGGTCCTGTCTCTCTCTGGTCCTGTCTCTCTCTGGTCCTGTCTCTCTCTGGTCCTGTCTCTCTGGTCCTGTCTCTCTCTGGTCCTGTCTCTCTGGTCCTGTCTCTCTCTAGTCCTGTCTCTCTCTGGTCCTATCTCTCTCTGGTCCTGCCTCTCTGGTCCTGTCTCTCTGGTCCTGTCTCTCTCTGGTCCTGTCTCTCTCTGGTCCTGTCTCTCTCTGGTCCTGTCTCTCTGGTCCTGTCTCTCTCTGGTCCGGTCTCTCTGGTCCTGTCTCTCTCTGGTCCTGTCTCTCTCTGGTCCTATCTCTCTCTGGTCCTGTCTCTCTCTGGTCCTGTCTCTCTAGTCCTGTCTCTCTCTGGTCCTGTCTCTCTCTAGTCCTGCCTCTCTGGTCCTGTCTCTCTGGTCCTGTCTCTCTCCAGTCCTGTCTCTCTCTGGTCCTATCTCTCTCTGGTCCTGCCTCTCTGGTCCTGTCTCTCTGGTCCTGTCTCTCTCTGGTCCTGTCTCTCTCTGGTCCTGTCTCTCTCTGGTCCTGTCTCTCTGGTCCTGTCTCTCTCTGGTCCTGTCTCTCTGGTCCTGTCTCTCTCTGGTCCTGTCTCTCTCTGGTCCTATCTCTCTCTGGTCCTGTCTCTCTAGTCCTGTCTCTCTCTGGTCCTGTCTCTCTCTAGTCCTGCCTCTCTGGTCCTGTCTCTCTGGTCCTGCCACTCTCTGGTCCTGTCTCTCTCTAGTCCTGTCTCTCTCTGGTCCTGTCTCTCTGGTCCTGCCTCTCTCCGGTCCTGTCTCTCTCTAGTCCTGTCTCTCTCTGGTCCTATCTCTCTCTGGTCCTGCCTCTCTGGTCCTGCCTCTCTGGTCCTGTCTCTCTCTGGTCCTGTCTCTCTCTGGTCCTGCCTCTCTGGTCCTGCCTCTCTGGTCCTGTCTCTCTCTGGTCCTGTCTCTCTCTGGTCCTGTCTCTCTCAGGTCCAGTCTCTCTCTAGTCCTGTCTCTCTCTGGTCCTGCCTCTCTGGTCCTGTCTCTCTGGTCCTGTCTCTCTCTGGTCCTGTCTCTCTCTGGTCCTGTCTCTCTCAGGTCCAGTCTCTCTCTAGTCCTGTCTCTCTCTGGTCCTGTCTCTCTGGTCCTATCTCTCTCTGGTCCTGTCTCTCTCTGGTCCTGTCTCTCTCTGGTCCAGTCTCTCTCTGGTCCTGTCTCTCTCTGGTTCTGGCTCTCTGGTCCTGTCTCTCTCTGGTCCTGACTCTCTCAGGTCCAGTCTCTCTCAGTTCCAGTCTCTCTCAGGTCCAGTCTCTCTCTGGTCCTGTCTCTCTCTGGTCCTGTCTCTCTGGTTCTGTCTTTCCTGATGACAGAGCAGGAGCATCAGTTTTCACATGAGTTTGTCCAACAACCAATCAGAGGGTGGACCCCCCTGCAGCAGCCTATCAGCTCTCAGCACACTCAGACACAACTGATGTATTTGTTTATATACACCTGTAATAATGTTTAAAGCTGAGGTACGTAACTTTAGTCTCAATAATAACACATGTAATCACTATCTTTGAGCTGAGAGCTGATTGGCTGAGAGAGGGTGGTCCTCACTTTTCACTTTTCTGTCAAAAAAAAGCATAACTAAAGATGTGACAAAGGCCAAGGCCAAGACCAAGACCAGGACCACAACCAAGACCAAGACCAGGATCACAACCAAGACCAGGACCACAACCACAACCAAGACCAAGACCACAACCAAGACCACAACCAAGTCCAAGACCAAGACCAAGACCACGACCAGGACTAAGACCACAACCAAGACCAGGAACCACAATCAAGACCAAGACCAGGACCACAACTAAAAAAAGGAACAGGACCAAGACAGAGACCAGAACCAGGACCAGGACCATGAGGACCAGGACCGAGACAGTAGTGAGTCAGGACCCCAGACGCTGTGGATCCAGTTGAACTTCGGGCTGAGACGCAAAACAAATAAGAGTCCGTTCGGTTCCCCGTGCGCGTCCCGTGACCCCGTGCGCGTCCCTGCGGAGCTGACGTTCGTGCACAGAGCTGTCACCGCGAACCCCCCCAGGCGCTCCCGTACCCCGCCACACCTGCCCGGGGTGACGCACCGAGGCCCCGGTGGAGGTGAACAGAGAGGAGCAGAGAGGAGCAGAGAGGAGAGAAGAGCAGAGAGGAGCAGAGAGGAGCAGAGAGGAGCAGAGAGGAGCAGAGAGGAGCAGAGACTTACCGTGAGCTGATGGCGGCTGACTCTCCTCCGTACGGTCCGCGCATCCTCCTCCTTCAGCCGGAGTGAACCGAGATGCGGGCGCCTGGGGCTGACACCGCGGAGAGGCAACGGCGCATGCGCACTCCCTCCCTCTCAGAGAAGAAGAGAGAGAGCGGGATTAAAGCTGGGGTTCGTGTTTCTCACACCACAACAGAGGAACTATACCCACGTGCGTGCTCCTGTTTCCTCCTCTCTCTCCTCCTCCCTCTCCTCTCTCTCCTCTCTGCTCCTCTCTGCTCCTCTCTCTTCCCTCTCTCCTCCTCTCTCCTCCATTCTCCCTCCTCCCTCCTCTCTCATCTCTGCTCCTTTCTCTCCCCTCTGTCCTCCTCGCTGCTCCTCTCTCTCCTCCTCTCTCTCCCCTCTCTCCTCCTCTCTCTGCTCCTCTCTCCACCCTTCTCTTTCCTCTCCTCTCTCCTCCTCTCTCCTCCCTTCTCTCTCCTCCCCTCCCTCCTCTCTCCTCTCTTCTCTCTCCTCCTCTCTCCACTCTCCTCCTCTCTCATCCCTTCTCTCTCCTCCTCTCTCCACTCTCCTCCTCTCTCATCCCTTCTCTCTCCTCCTCTCTACGCTCCTCTCTCTCTCCTCCCTTCTCTCACCTCTCTCTCTCCTCCTCTCTCCTCTCTGTCCTCTCTCCTCCTGAGAAACAGTTCTAGATTAACAAATGTTAACATTAAAAAGAGACAAAGGAAAAAATATGAAGTGTGGCCAGAGTGGAGGTAACGCACACACACACACACAGACACACACACACAGACACACACAGACAGACACACAGAGAGGAGAGAGGAGAGAAGCATCCATCATGAGGAGAGAGAGAGAAGGAGAGAGAGAGAGAGGAGAGAGAGAGAAAAGGAGAGAGGAGAGAGCGAGAAAGAAGAGAGAGATGAGAGAGAGAAGAGAGAGAGGAGAGAGAGGGAAAGAGAGGAGAGAGAGAAAGGAGAGAGGGAGAGAGAGGGAAAGAGAGGAGAGAGAGAAAGAAGAAAGAGATGAGAAAGAAAGAGAGAGAGGAGAGGGAGGGAGAGGGAGGAGAGAGAGAGAGGGAGGGAGAGAGAGAGAGACAGAGAGAGGAGAGAGAGAGAGACATGGCTCTGCAGGTCTTTCCTTCTGCTGTCAGACTGTACAATGAGCCTGGACATTCACTGTTTACTCTGCTGCTAAAGAACAACTGATGATCACAGCACTATGTGTAACCATGTGACATCACAGAGTTCTGCACGAGAACCATGTGACAGGAGCTATGTGTGAGGGCTCAGGAGGAGAGAGCTCAGGAGGAGAGGGCTCAGGAGGAGAGGGACCAGGAGGAGAGGGCTCAGGAGAAGAGGGACCAGGAGGAGAGGGACCAGAAGGAGAGGGCACAGGAGGAGAGGGTTAACAGTACCAGCAGCGTTTGGTTTGAGGCCAAGTTCAGGGGAAACCAGTCTTTGTGACAGAAATTAGGCCAGTGCTCAGTAATAGACACACACACACACACACACACACACACACACACACACACACACACACACACACACAGACACACACATACACACACAGCCACAGAGACATACAGACACACAGACACACAGACACAGCCACACACACACGTCTTGATGACAGAGCAGGGGTTGGATCTGAGGGTGGAGCCCATAATCACAGGTTCTGACCACCTCTGAGGGACCACCAGGACTCAGGCGGGTCCTGGAGGAGGCCGGGACTCGGGCGGGTCCTGAAGGAGACCGGGACTCGGGCGGATCCTGGAGAAGACCAGGACTTGGGCGGGTCCTGGAGGAGACCGGGACTAGGGCGGGTCTGGAGGCTGCGTTCCTTAAATAGAGCAGAGAAAATTACAAAGAGCAGAAAGTGTCTCATGGACAAATGTATGTTTCCTTTATAAGCCGTCACCACAGACAGATGTTCTGGTCCCGCTGCGTCAAAATGGTCCTAGTGCCCCGTGATCCTAGTGCACCATGGTCCAATAGTGCTTCATGGTCCTATAGTACTTCATGGTCCTATAGTGCACCATGGTCCTATAGTGCACCATGGTCCTAGTGCACCATGGTCCTATAGTGCTTCATGGTCCTAGTGCACCATGGTCCTATAGTGCTTCATGGTCCTAGTGCATCATGGTCCTATAGTGCTTCATGGTCCTATAGTGCTTCATGGTCCTATAGTGCTTAATGGTCCTATAGTGAACCATGGTCCTAGTGCTTCATGATCCTAGTGCACCATGGTCCTCTAATGCTTCATGGTCCTAGTGCACCATGGTACTATAGTGCTTCATGGTCCTAGTCTATCATGGTCCTATAGTGCTTCATGGTCCTAGTGCATCATGGTCCTATAGTGCTTCATGGTCCTAGTGCATCATGGTCCTATAGTGCTTCATGGTCCTAGTGCACCATGAGGACCACACACTAAATCTACTACATGTGACATCACTCATTCAAACTTAAAGTGATTGTCTGGAGTTTGTCAGAGAAAGAGAGAGAGGTACATGATTTAAAAAAAACGACCCAAGCTCCCTCCCCCTTCCTTTCTGATTGGTCTACACCTACGTTTCCGTAACACATTTAAATGTTAATCAGAGAACACATCATACTCATACATTATCAATGCACATGCACAGAGGTTTTCAGAATTATTTGTTAACGTTTTCATGAAAAAAAAAGCGATCGCGGCAAACCCGGAAGTAGCTATTAACGTTGATTGAACATTATAGGACACATCTGCAGAGGATCTGATTATGGATATAGCTTCAGTATATAAATGATTATGGATATAGGTTCAGAATATAAATGATTATGGATATAGATTCAGTATATAAATGATTATAGATATAGGTTCAGAATATAAATGATTATGGATATAGATTCAGTATATAAATGGGTAACTCAGCGCGGATGTTCAGAATTCTTTTTTAAGTTTTCATGTAGTTCCAGAGCCTAATAGAGGCTTGATTCGGAGGCTCCGCAAAAACAAACAACTGAGCATGAGCAGCTACGAGCATCAGCACCGATGATTGACAGCCCTTGGCATCACTTGATTGGTTAATGTGGACGGCATCGTGGATTCTGAGCTATAGCTAAGAGAAGGGAAGGTGGGACTTACCTGTAATATTAGAATTAATAAAATGACTTATTTTATATCAACATTTAAGGCCAGGAGGTCAATTTAATACAATTCTTAAAATTTGTAATTAATTTAGAGTTACAGACTATCACTTTAACATTACTGTGTCTTCTCTCTCTGACCCGGGCTGGACCAGGACAAGGACCAGGACGAGGACCAGGACGAGGACCAGGACCAGGACCAGGATCAGGACCAAGATCAGGACCAAGATCAGGACCAGGACCAGGATCAAGTGTTTGTGTTACCTGGCCTTAGCCCCGCCCACTGGGACATTACCCAACAGGACCTTGCTCTCCTCTCTCCTACTCCTCCTCTCTCCTCCTCTCTTCTCCTCTCTATCCTCTCCTCCTCTTTCCTCTCTCCTCTCTCCTTTCAGATTAAGTACAGTGTAGTTCTGCTACAGCCTCATGATTTCTTCTGTCTGTAATCCCCACCTTCCAAAAATAGAGGCTCCAGAGCAGCCTTTGTAGTCCACGCACTTACAGACACACATGCGCACACGCACATACGTGCACACACATACGTGCACACACACATGCGCACACGCACGTATACGTGCACACACAAACACGCTCACAAAGATGTGAACGTGTAACTGTCGCCGAGGATGACACACATACCCGCAGCTCGGGCCAAACGGGGGAGAATGGGGGGAAGAGGGGGGAAGTAGAGAGGGGGGGGGGGGGGGGGGGGGGGGCTGGAGGAGAGAGGGGGGAGAGAGAGAGGGGGAGCAGGGGGAGAGAGGGGGAGAAAGAGAGACAAGAGAGGGGGGACGGGGGGGAGGGAGAGAGAGACAAGAGAGGGGGAGAGAGGGCAGGGGTGAGTGAGCCTAACCCTAACATCATGTCACGTGCCCCTCAAATGTTTTGTTTGTTTATTTCTTTACATTTATTGCTCTCAGATTGAGACTCTCTCTGACTCACACACAGACTCAGAACATGTTCAAATCGCATTTGTTCACTTTTCTCCTGTCACAGGAGTCTCCTGGTGTGGTGCTGCCCTCCAGCGTCCGCGCGCTGCACGTGCACCATACTCTTGTTTTTATGTAGAGCCTGTGTTTCTGTCGTTTGTAACGACATCAGAACCTAGAAATTCGCCATCTCAATAAAATGTATTATTGATTGACTGCGGAACCTTCCGCAGTCAACCATTGGTTTTGTATTTCTTTATTCCGTCATTTTTTTTGACACGTTTCACAGCTTTCACATTTTCAACAATTTCCACAAGTTATACATCAAAACGTTCCACATGTTTGGGAGATTATTGCTATTACTTTTGGGACTTCAGCGATTTCCGGTTTTTCCGCAATTGGACAAAAATCTGCATTGAGAATTCTGCAATGCATTTTAATAGGCCCATGCATTTTAATAGGACTTCAGCTCTTTCAGACATTTCTACAGTTTCAATGATTCAACAGTTTCAAGGATTCAACAGTTTCAAGGATTTCAGCAGTTTCAAGATTTCAAGAGTTTCAAGGACTTCAACAGTTTCAAGGATTTCAGCAGTTTCAAGATTTCAAGAGTTTCAAGGACTTCAACAGTTTCAAGGACTTCAGCAGTTTCAAGGACTTCAGCAGTTTCAAGGACTTCAGTGTAATCATGCAACCTAATAGGGATTTTTCCATGTAAACCAGTATAATGCAACTTAATAGGGATTTTTTCCATGTAAACCAGTATAATGCAACTTAATAGGGTTTTTTCATGTAAACCAGTATAATGCAACTTAATAGGGTTTTTTTTCATGTAAACCAGTATAATGCAACTTAATGGGGATTTTTCCATGTAAACCAGTATAATGCAACTTAATAGGGGTTTTTACATGTAAACCAGTATAATGCAACTTAATAGGGTTTTTTCCATGTAAACCAGTATAATGCAACTTAATAGGGTTTTTTCCATGTAAACCAGTACAATGCAACTTAATAGGGATTTTTCCATGTAAACCAGTATAATGCAACTTAATAGGGTTTTTTACATGTAAACCAGTATAATGCAACTTAATGGGGATTTTTCCATGTAAACCAGTATTATGCAACTTAATAGGGATTTTTCCATGTAAACCAGTATAATGCAACTTAATAGGGATTTTTCCATGTAAACCAGTATAATGCAACTTAATAGGGTTTTTTTCATGTAAACCAGTATAATGCAACTTAATGGGGATTTTTCCATGTAAACCAGTATTATGCAACTTAATAGGGATTTTTCCATGTAAACCAGTATAATGCAACTTAATAGGGTTTTTTTCATGTAAACCAGTATAATGCAACTTAATAGGGTTTTTACATGTAAACCAGTATAATGGAACTTAATAGGGGTTTTTACATGTAAACCAGTATAATGGAACTTAATAGGGGTTTTTACATGTAAACCAGTATAATGCAACTTAATAAGGATTTTTACATGTAAACCACTATAATGTAACCTAATAGGGGTTTTTACATGTAAACCAGTATAAAGCAACTTAATAGGGATTTGTACATGTAAACCAGTATAATGCAACCTAATAGGGATTTTTCCATGTAAACCAGTATAATGCAACTTAATAGGGATTTTTCCATGTAAACCAGTATAATGCAACTTAATAGGGATTTTTCCATGTAAACCAGTATAATGCAACTTAATAGGGTTTTTTCATGTAAACCAGTATAATGCAACTTAATAGGGTTTTTTTTCATGTAAACCAGTATAATGCAACTTAATGGGGATTTTTCCATGTAAACCAGTATAATGCAACTTAATAGGGGTTTTTACATGTAAACCAGTATAATGCAACTTAATAGGGTTTTTTCCATGTAAACCAGTATAATGCAACTTAATAGGGTTTTTTCCATGTAAACCAGTACAATGCAACTTAATAGGGATTTTTCCATGTAAACCAGTATAATGCAACTTAATAGGGTTTTTTACATGTAAACCAGTATAATGCAACTTAATGGGGATTTTTCCATGTAAACCAGTATTATGCAACTTAATAGGGATTTTTCCATGTAAACCAGTATAATGCAACTTAATAGGGATTTTTCCATGTAAACCAGTATAATGCAACTTAATAGGGTTTTTTTCATGTAAACCAGTATAATGCAACTTATTGGGGATTTTTCCATGTAAACCAGTATAATGCAACTTAATAGGGATTTTTCCATGTAAACCAGTATAATGCAACTTAATAGGGTTTTTTTTCATGTAAACCAGTATAATGCAACTTAATAGGGTTTTTACATGTAAACCAGTATAATGGAACTTAATAGGGGTTTTTACATGTAAACCAGTATAATGGAACTTAATAAGGGTTTTTACATGTAAACCAGTATAATGCAACTTAATAAGGATTTTTACATGTAAACCACTATAATGTAACCTAATAGGGGTTTTTTACATGTAAACCAGTATAAAGCAACTTAATAGGGATTTGTACATGTAAACCAGTATAATGCAACCTAATAGGGATTTTTCCATGTAAACCAGTATAATGCAACTTAATAGATATTTTTCCATGTAAACCAGTATAATGCAACTTAATAGGGATTTTTCCATGTAAACCAGTATAATGCAACCTAATAGGGATTTTTCCATGTAAACCAGTATAATGCAACCTAATAGGGATTTTTCCATGTAAACCAGTATAATGCAACCTAATAGGTTGCATTATACCACCAGACCAAGACCCAAACGAAGACTCAGACCACCACCAGATAATGACCACAGACCAGGTTTCCTTAGTTACAGGAACCAAATTGTTTCAGCGGTGAGGGGATTTTTCAGTTTCAAGGACACTTTCAATACATTCAGTAGTTTCAAGGATTTCAACTGTTTAAGGAATTTAACCAGTTTCAAGGATATCAGGAGGTTCAAGGATTTCAGGAGTTTCCACACTTTCAACAGTTTCCAGGTTTAACAAAGTTTCAAGGATTTCAGGAGTTTCAATGTTTCAACAGTTTCAAGGATTTCAGGAGTTTAAAGGTTTCAACAATTTCAAGGACTTCAGGAGTTTCAAATATCTATCAAGTATTTTAACAGTTTCAAGGCCTTTTAAAGGATTTCAAGGATTTTTTTTAGCAGATTTCCACATTAGATCTGTTCCGCAGTCAATCGCAATGGCTTCTGCCATTGCAAGTTTCTAGTTGATTGACTGCGGAACCTTCCGCAGTCAACCATTGGTTTTGTATTTCTTTATTCCGTCATTTTTTTTGACACGTTTCACAGCTTTCACATTTTCAACAATTTCCACAAGTTATACATCAAAACGTTCCACATGTTTGGGAGATTATTGCTATTACTTTTGGGACTTCAGCGATTTCCGGTTTTTCCGCAATCGGACAAAAATCTGCATTGAGAATTCTGCAATGCATTTTAATAGGCCCATGCATTTTAATAGGACTTCAGCTCTTTCAGACATTTCTACAGTTTCAATGATTCAACAGTTTCAAGGATTCAACAGTTTCAAGGATTTCAGCAGTTTCAAGATTTCAAGAGTTTCAAGGACTTCAACAGTTTCAAGGACTTCAGCAGTTTCAAGGACTTCAGCAGTTTCAAGGACTTCAGCAGTTTCAAGGACTTCAGTGTAATCATGCAACCTAATAGGGATTTTTCCATGTAAACCAGTATAATGCAACTTAATAGGGATTTTTCCATGTAAACCAGTATAATGCAACTTAATAGGGTTTTTTCATGTAAACCAGTATAATGCAACTTAATAGGGTTTTTTTTCATGTAAACCAGTATAATGCAACTTAATGGGGATTTTTCCATGTAAACCAGTATAATGCAACTTAATAGGGGTTTTTTACATGTAAACCAGTATAATGCAACTTAATAGGGTTTTTTCCATGTAAACCAGTATAATGCAACTTAATAGGGTTTTTTCCATGTAAACCAGTACAATGCAACTTAATAGGGATTTTTCCATGTAAACCAGTATAATGCAACTTAATAGGGGTTTTTACATGTAAACCAGTATAATGCAACTTAATGGGGATTTTTCCATGTAAACCAGTATAATGCAACTTAATAGGGGTTTTTCCATGTAAACCAGTATAATGCAACTTAATAGGGATTTTTCCATGTAAACCAGTATAATGCAACTTAATAGGGTTTTTTTCATGTAAACCAGTATAATGCCACTTAATAGGTTTTTTTTCATGTAAACCAGTATAATGCAACTTAATAGGGATTTTTCCATGTAAACCAGTATAATGCAACTTAATAGGGGTTTTTACATGTAAACCAGTATAATGCAACTTAATAGGGTTTTTTTTTACATGTAAACCAGTATAATGGAACTTAATAGGGTTTTTTACATGTAAACCAGTATAATGGAACTTAATAGGGGTTTTTACATGTAAACCAGTATAATGAACTTAATAGGGGTTTTTACATGTAAACCAGTATAATGCAACTTAATAGGGATTTTTACATGTAAACCAGTATAATGCAACTTAATAGGGATTTTTCCATGTAAACCAGTATAATGCAACTTAATAGGGTTTTTTTTACATGTAAACCAGTATAATGCAACTTAATGGGGATTTTTCCATGTAAACCAGTATAATGCAACTTAATAGGGGTTTTTACATGTAATCAACACATTGTATGATAAATATATGGACTCTTCCCACAAGCATCCCAGGCACATGCCTTTTTAATGCACAACACCTCACGCAGATATTTTTCTTTTTAATACACCACACAATCACAGACAAACTATTGAGGAAAGCTGTCGGAAGAGTGCCAGTAATAATGCTACTGTTAAGGACGCTAGTATGGTCATAAATATTATCTTCATCATCGCCATTGTCGCTATTGCTGTTATTAAAAAAAAAAAAAAAAAAAGTAGGTTTTGTATATATATATATATATATATATATATATATATATATATATATATATATATATATATTTTAATTGTTTTTTTTTTTTGTTTTTTCTATTATAAAAATATAAAGTAAATAATAAGTAACACACAGACACACACACACACACACGCACAAACATGGAAGACCCCCCCCCCCCCCCCCCCCCCTTCCCCCCCTTCCCCCCCCATGTATGTATGTTCATGTTGTTTTGTTTAAATAAAAAAAAAAAAAAAAAAAAAAAAAAGGCACCTGAAGGACTCTCAGACCATGAGTAAAAAAATTCTCTGGTCTGATGAGACAAAGATTGAACTCTTTGGCGTGAATGCCAGGCGTCATGTTTAGGGGAAACCAGGCACTGCTCATCACCATCACTCATCAGCGAAGCATGGTGGTGGTAGCATCATGCTGTGGGGATGTTTTTCAGCAGCAGGAACAGGGAGACTAGACAAGATAGAGGGAAAGTTTAATGCAGCAATGTACAGTTACAATTCCTGGATGAAAACCTGCTCCAGAGCGCTCTTGACCTCAGACTGGGGCGAAGGTTCATCTTTCAGCAGGACAACGACCCTAAGCACACAGCCAAGATAACAAAGAAGTGACTTCAGGACAACTCTGTGGATGTCCTTGAGTGGCCCAGCCAAAGCCCAGGCTTGAATCCAATTGAACATCTCTGGAGAGATCTGAAAATGGCTGTGCACCGACACTCCCCATCCAACTTGATGGAGCTTGAGAGGTGCTGCAAAGAGGAACGGGCAAAACTGCCAAAAGACTGGTGTACCAAGCTTGTGGCATCATTTTCAAACAGACTTGAGGCTGTAATTGCTGCCAAAGGTGCATCAACAAAGTGTGGTTTCTTAGTTTTTTTTTATCTTTAATAAATTTGCAAGCATCTCCCAAAAACCTTTTTCATGTTGTTATTATGGGTTGTTGTGTGTAGAATTGTGAGGAGAAAAATGAATTGAATCCATTTTGGAATTAGGCTGTAACATAACAAAATGTGGAAAAAGTGAAGCAGTGAAGCGCTGTGAATACTTTCCGGATGCACTGTATGTATGTGTGTGTCTGTGTGTGTGGCCGTGTGTGTATCCTGTGAAACCTAACCCTGCCCTGTGTCTCCCAGTATGCACCTATACCCCCTCCTCTTCCTGCTGGTTGCCATGGCAGCAGGAGGATGCGTTGCCGTGACGACGATTCAGGGCGTGCGCGGCTGCGCAGTGAGAGACTTCTCCTTTGTGGCTCAAAAACCAGGATGTAGGAGTCTGCACATCACCACAGAAGCCTGCTGGGGGCGCTGTCACACCTGGGAGGTACGGAGTCTGGTCTCTCTCTGGTCTCTTTCTGGTCTCACCTGGTCTTTCTTGTTGCAGAAGCCTGTCCTGGAGCCTCCCTACATCCACCGTCATCACCGGGTCTGCACCTACAGCCGTAGTCGCCCCATGGCAGCCCGTCTGCCTGGGTGCCTGCCGCATGTGTCTCCTCTGTATCACTATCCTCTGGCTCTGTCCTGTCACTGCTCCATCTGCTCCACCAGCGACACGGAGTGTGAGACCTTCTGAGACCAGGGACCAGAGACCAGGAACCAGAGAGAAAAGACCAGGAACCAGGGACCAGAGACCAGGGACCAGAGACGAGAGACCAGAGACGAGACCAGAGACCAGAGCGACCAGAGAGAGAGAGACCGAAAAGAGAGAAACCAGAAATCTGCGACCTTCTGAACCAGGACTGAACCGGGTTTAAAGCAGGAATGAAACAGGACGGAACCAGGTCTAAAGCAGGACCATTGACAATGACTGAGTTGGAAAAATGTGTTTATTAAACATTTAAAAACAGTGCATTTGATCTTTTCATTTCAGAACAAAACATTTACAAAAGTCTCACTTTGCACAAACTCAAAAATATAAATATTACATTCTCTGGTGTCACTAGTGGTTTGTGTGCATGGGTCAGGATGGCATGTGGCAGAGTGGTTAGCACTCTCGCTTCTCAGCAAGAAGGTCCTGAGTTCAAATCCCAATCTGAGTGGAGCTTGCATGTTCTCCCTGGGTCTGTGTTAGCCTCTGTTAGCATCTCTCAGCCTCTGTTAGCCTCAGTAGCGGGACTTGCGGCACATGTCGCAGTGACAGGCTCTGGCCGTCAGGATCTGGACGTCATCATGATGACGACCGCGAGGGCAGTCCAGCCGCACCTTCACCTGCAGAACAGATACAGCATCAGTCTTGGTCTTCAGCCTCAGTCCTGGGTCTTCAGCCTCAGTCCTGGGTCTACAGCCTCAGTCCTGGGTCTACAGCCTCAGTCCTGGGTCTACAGCCTCAGTCCTGGGTCTACAGCCTCAGTCCTGGGTCTACAGCCTCAGTCCTGGGTCTACAGCCTCAGTCCTGGGTCTACAGCCTCAGTCCTGGGTCTACAGCGTCAGACCTGCTCTGCTTTGATAAAACACATTATAATGAATGTGTTTAAATATAAAATAGAAAACAAATTAATTAATCATAAAAAAAAGAAAAGAATCTGAGGTTAATCCCTCATGAAGGCTCCTGGACCTCCTTCTTCTCCTCGTACAATTCACTTTTTATTGATGCTATCCTACTTTTACGGCTTCTGCCAGATTTTGGCACTTTTCAACTCTTCAACGTTTTCACCAAATTCAACAAATTATACATCATTACGACCGGTGTAACGTTGGTTTGCACTGCCTTGTCGAGATGCACCTCAGCTGTTTATGATGTAATGCAAACCTGCGCATGCGCCTCTCACGGCAGCCAAAGCAAACCAAGATGGCGGACATTAGGTCAGTGAATTGCTTTAAAAGTTTAGATATAAACGAATAAAGACACGAATGTCACTTTTGATGCAATTTGAGGCGAGATGTTGATGGTTCCATGCTGTAATATGTGTGTTTTAAGAGTCAAATTTTGTGTAAAGTTTGGTTTAAGCAGTCCACTGCTCCTGTGAAACCACACTGCTACTGTTTTGATAGCCTCCTGTGGCTAACTCAACAGCATGTCAGTCGGGTTGATAATGGAAATAATAAACAAAATCTAAGTTGTAAGCATGGATCTATTAGCTGTTGAGTTAGCCACAGGACGCGTCATCAACCTACGTCAGTAAAATGACGTATGCAGCAGTTCAACTCAACAAGAAAGGTACTGCTATCAAAAAAGCAGCAGTGTGTTTTCACAGGAGCAGTGGACTGCTTAAAACAAACTTTACACGAAACTCTTACTCTTAAAACACACATATTACAGCATGGAAATTGTGGCATTAAAAGTGACTTTCGTGTCTTTATTCGTTTATATTTAAACTTTGAAAGCAATTCACGGACTTCGTGTCCGCCATCTTGGTTTGCTTCGGCTGCCGTGAGAAGCGCATGCGCAGGTTTGCATTACATCATAAACAACTGAGGCAGTGCAAACCGACGTTACACCGGCTTCACCGTCTCATTATTGCGATTACTTTTCACACTTCCACCATTTGCTCATTTTCAATTATTTACAAAAGTACAAGCACTTTTCCCCATTGACTTACATTAGAGCAGTACAACAGATTACCACACTAACAATTCATTACCACAGATACAATACAATTACAACATCTTACAACACTTACAGCACCTTTCAACACATTTCTTCTTCATCTTCCTCCTCGTCTTCCTCTTCCCTTACGACATCTATGCAACCACTCACAATGGCTTCAGCCATTGTACCATTTCTAGTTTTAATTTACTTTATCCTTGTATTTACTTAAATCACATCAGCATCTCATCTCAGAGACTTCACAATCAACAGTTAAAGCTGCACTAACTGACTTTGGGGATTTTGAAGCCGCGGACTCGCTGGCCTCGCTCTTTCTGCTCCCCTCCCCGCACCCACGAAGCTATCGCCCCACACACACACCCACTGTTGTTGACCGAGCTAGCGTCTCCCAATATGGTTAAATCCATGTATATGGATTTTCACGTGGATGCCGTGACCATAGAACGATAAAACCGAGAAGCGCGGAGGAACGAGACTTTCTTTTGGATGGCTGTCTCGCTGTGTAAGCAACTGGTGACGAAGACGGAGAAGCTTCAGGTTAGCTCCGCCGCTTGTTGTGCTAACTCAGCTGTCTTTGCTAACGACGGAACTGTGGATCCTAGTGGGAGCTAGTGGTCCGCTGTGATTGGTCACAATCTGCGACCCGAAACACATTCTCTTCCTTGTTTCATCAAAACTCAATCTAAAATATAATGTCACGCCAGCACAAATCTGCGCTACTTTTTCTTCAAATGGACGTATATCCCAATGCACTACATGGACATGGATAGCACTTTCGTAATGAATACAAACATAAAGTCAGTTAGTGCAGCTTTAAGACACAGAACATATAGACCACATGGTATTGGACCATAGAGAGAGACCACATGGTATTGGACCATAGAGAGAGACCACATGGTATTGGACCATAGAGAGAGACCACATGGTATTGGACCATAGTTCGTCTGCCGCGTTCAGATCGGATCATGCGCACGCAGGAGATGAACTTTGCTCAATCCTTCCTCGGACGTTCGTGAAGCAACCAATCAAAGAGCCGCAAAGTGGTCACAGGGACATTAGGGGTCTGAGCGAGCAGACTGAACATACTGTAAACAACCAAAACAGGAGCTACACCAGGACTAAACCAGGGTTGACAATGGGGGACATAGTGCTTGTTAACATGTGAGTTTTCATGCTCCTGTGACTTTATGCAACTGCTTCGAGTGTGTTCGCCAACTGCTCCTGTGAAAACACACTGCTACTGTAACCCAAATCTGATTTGCGCATGCGCGGAAACCCGACAGAATGGGGAAAAAACTCGATTTAAATAAATATTTCGTTTGAACACACTATTGTTAATCATATTGAATACAGTATGATTCATGCATTAAATTAAATTAATTATTTCAATTATCAACCCGACAGACCAGTCACAGGACGCGTCATCGGCCTACGTCAGTAAAATGACGTATGCAGCAGTCAACTCGGGGACTGCGATCATAATAGCAGCAGTGTGTTTTCACAGGAGCAGTGGACTGCTTAAAACAAACTTTACACGAAACTCTTACTCTTAAAACCCACATATCACAACACGGAACCTTCAACATCTTGCCTCAAATTGCATTAAAAGTGACAATCGTGTCTTAATTAGTTCGTATTTTAACTTTTAAAGCAATTCGCGGACTTCATGTCCGCCATCTTGGTTTGCTTCGGCTGCCGTGAGACGCGCAGCTCAGGTTTGCATTACATCATTAACAGCTGAGAGAGCTCATCTCGACGGGCAGACCAACTCGACAGAACACCGGCGCACGTCAGGACTTCTGGTCTGAAGACCCCTGCGTCTGAAAACTAGAGAATGTGCGTCTTGTGAGCGAGGCTTCAGTGTTTCAGCGTTGGCGGTCTGAAAGCAGCATTAGACACTACAGTTACAGGCTTCTGCAGAGATGGCTGTTCCCCTGCTTTCCTCTGGGAGGCGCCAACGTCTGCTTAGCTCTCTTTAGAGCCACAAACATGTGCTTCAGATTCATAACAAACACATCATACTTAAAATCATACTTTAGATTTACAGTCAGTGTGTGACATCACAGAGTCGGTCAGGGTCGGGAGCTCACCTTGGCCTCCTTGCTGATGGTGCAGCAGCGGGATGCGGAGGTGATGTTGTGGGTGAAGTTGGATGCGATCAGAACAGAGTATCGTGAGGGGAAGGCGCTAGACTCACAGTATCCCACACACGCAAACACCAGCTGCGTCCCACGACACGTGCTGCGCCTGTCACTGTGCACGGTCACGTTAAAGGCTGCGGACAGAGGACACATGAGGGAGAGCCTCAGTACTGGGTCTACAGCCTCAGTCCTGGGTCTACAGCCTCAGTCCTGGAACTACAGCCTCAGTCCTGGGTTTAAAGCCTCAGTCCTGGGTCTAAAACCTCAGTCCAGGGTCTACAACCTCAGTCCTGGGTCTAAAGCCTCAGTCTAGGGTCTACAGCCTCAGTCCAGGGTCTACAGCCTCAGTCCTGGATCTACAGCCTCAGTCCTGGGTCTAAAGCCTCAGTCCAGGGTCTACAGCCTCAGTCCTGGATCTACAGCCTCAGTCTTGGATCTACAGCCTCCCTCCTGGGTCTACAGCCTCAGTCCTGGGTCTACAGCCTCAGTCATGGGTCCACGGCCTCAGTCCTGGGTCTAAAGCCTCAGTCCAGGGTCTACAGCCTCAGTCCTGGATCTACAGCCTCAGTCCAGGGTCTACAGCCTCAGTCCTCTACAGCCTCAGTCCTGGGTCTACAGCCTCAGTCCTCTACAGTCTCAGTCCTGGGTCTACAGCCTCCGTCTTCTACAGCCCAAGTCCTGGGTCGACAGCCTCAGTCCTGGGTCTAAAGCCTCAGTCCTGGGTCTACAGCCTCAGTCCTGGGTCTACAGCCTCAGTTCTGGGTCTACAGCCTCAGTTCTGGGTCTACAGCCACAGTTCTGGGTCTACAGCCACAGTCCTCTACAGCCTCAATCCTGGGTTAGCACCAGCATCATATATGGTGCTGGGTGGATGTGAGGGGGGGGACTCACGGTGCAGGTGACAGCCTGGGGTCAGACCCTCATAACTCCAGCCCAGAGGAGACAGTAACAGCAGCAGCATCAGCAGGGAGCTGCAGCAGAGAGACATCGGTCACCTGTAGCAAAAGAGCACACACTGAGGAGTGTACACACACACGACACACAAACACTGAGGACTGTACACCATCGATCTATAATAATAACTGGATAACCCATGTGCTTGGATTATCCAAGGTTGGATTTTGTGGATTTTAGTGTCCCTCGTCGTCCTGAACTTTTTTTCTTCTTAAATCTTTTGGTTTTCTTTAAAACCACACTTTACTGCCACAAACTCTGATTGTTGCACCCGCTCTAACTCCACACTACACCAGGCAAGGTCCTGATTGGTCACAGCACGGCCGAGCCCCTCTGTGCACGTGAGAGCCACATGCGTATTTGCAGCAAAGCATCATGGGAGATCATCCACTGCACAGAACCGGAAGGACAAGACGATGCCCAAATATTGGCGAATTCCACTAATCTTTCGCCGCCCATGGAGGGGGCGCCACTGAGCACAAACCATTCATTTGAATACGGTGCCATCTTGGATCACTGGAGCTGTATAAAACCGATAGCTTCTGTCCCACCAATGGGCCCAGGGGCCAGCTGTGGTCCTGCAGAATAAACTCACGTTACACAGAAAAATTTCCATAGAACTGAGAACCTGACAGAGAACCTTTGTCTTGTTAAATTTGTTTTCTTTAAATCCACTTCAGTGAAACAAACTCTACTGTTTTGTTATATATATATATATATATATACACACATATATGTATATACATATACAGTATGTATAAGTACATATTAGGGCTGGGCGATATAAACGGTATAAGCGGTATGCATCATCACGGCAGAAGTTTGATAAAGTTAGCATCAGATTCGGACTTCCGCAGTCAATAGCTCACGAAAACAACTTTGTAAACAAAAGTAACTCTGCCAAAATGATCACATTTACTGTGCATCGATTGTTCAAATCCAATGCGCTGTTTTAATGCAGAGCAATCCATTGCTGCAAGCGCAGAGAAAAGCGCTTAGGGAGCGTCAACAAATGTCAAAACCAGCTTTGTAAACAAACAACAGCTTTTACTGAAGTATCTTTTTTATATTTTTTATGACTAATAAGAATGCATTAAGTCCTTAACCAGCCAAAGAGTTCCACCTGTTTATTTTTAACTAAGGATTTGTTTTTGTTTTTTTATATGTTGTGAAGTTCTAAAAACTGATTATGAAATTCCATGATTCCTGTGTAGATTGAAATTAGGACGAAAAAGTGCTCAACCCAATCCACCCAAATGGTGTCTGTGAGATTTCATAACACTTTTAAGCAACTTTTGTTAAAGTTAAACTCATCATTCTATCAATGTGCAGAAGCCAATACTTTTCCCTTGTTTTGTCTATCTGAAGGCCAAGCTACAAGCACACTGTGGAAGCTGCTGATTGGAGGTCTCCATGCCTCCGCTCTGTATAATACACTTGGATTCTCTGTCCGATTTGAACAATCGAATGTTTTTGTGAGCTATTGACCGCCTCCGTCGAGCAAAGACGTGTCTCAGACGCTCCTGCTTCTGACTGCTTGCTATCTCCTGTTTTTGTCTTTTTCCTGGAGTTTTGCCACAGACAACTTTAACAAGAATGGAAATGATTAACTGGTCCCTCAACGCAATTGATTCTATCTTTTTAACACGTAAGCGTGGGTCTGGAGAGCCCGTGTGCCCGGACGGGACTTCACCAGCGGGGTATACTCTTGACAGCTGGAACAAGTTTCAGCCCCTCTGTCTGTCGACCCTGTCCATTGAAGATTCGGAAGACGTATATATCTTTGGCATTTTGGTGGTGGGAATCCTCCTGTTTGGCTTTGGAGCTGTTCTCTTCTACCACAAATTCGGAGGCATGGCAGTTCGCAAGATTCACGACCTGCTGGCCGACAAAATTGATGGGATGTACAAGGAGCTTAGCCGCGTCGTGGTTGAGAGTGCCGTGTCTGGACAAAGGAGAGTGGTTTTAGTGGAACAGTTGGTTAAAGACCTCGCAGCTCGTTCACTCGATGGACATAAGACTCTGGAGTTGAGATTGAATGACATTGTGTGTCAGGCTTGAACTCTCTGACCCGGCTTGGATCTGCCCCTGTGTACGGGGTCTGAGGGCGCCGCCATTCGGTTTAATTGGATTTAATAGAATATCTGCCTGACATTGCATTTAATATTGTCCCCCTGAGGCGATGTGTTTCTCCTGCTGTGTCTGTGTCTTCTCTCCACACTTATCTCACATTCCTCGGGCCAAGGCCATAATAACAAGGTCCCATCTACAACAATCTCACACTTCAGTCTCCAGCTCGGATCCCGTCTCCCCCGCCTCCCTCTCTATCCATCTTGCTCCCTCCCTCCCCTCCACTCCTCACTGTGTTTCCGATTAACCCCCTTCCCTGACCCCGCCCCCCTCTGACAGCCACATTGGGCGGCTGTAGGAGGTGCTTCATCCCGAGAAAAAATCCGTGCTTTATACAAGGCACAATGTGTCTATCCAACTGTCTGTGAAACTGTATGTTATTGCTCTCTGCTGTTTATTCTACTGCTTGTCGCATGGCGCCGTAAAGATGGCGCCGTGGCAAGAGCTCTGGTGTGTGTCGTCTCCTCTGTCTGGTGCACACCGGGGTAGTCTTGCACAGTTTTTCCAATGTGGTTTTACTGCAAATGGCAAATAAATGAATCTGAATCTGAATCTGTGTTGTTCGTGCTGTCTCTACCATCGACAATAAAACATGTCTTCTGTCGGAATTTATGACACGATCCCAGACTTGGCACATCCTCTTCAGGTGGTGGAAGGATGCGGGCCTTGTCTGTAACATCTAGTGAACAGAAGACTACTTTTTTTTTTACACAAAAAGTGTTTTTTTTAAGCCAAAACTGAGAAACCTCAAGAGAATGCATCTGGACCAGCACATGGACAATCTGCACAGCCCCTGACTCCACTCAGGCTGTGAGCTGCTGAGACATGGACAACACCATCGTCCTCTTTTGCATAGACATCATTTGGAACAATTGGATTTCTGAATTTGGACATAATTTGGACTGAATTGAATTGCTGAATCTGGACACTGAAGCTGAAACGTGTGATTGAAAGACACGTCACAGAAGAATTCATGGCTCGACACAAATGCAGCCTGAAGAAACCAACACGGAGAAGTGGGAGAGACTGTTTTCAAAGCAATATCTGGAACCACCATCGACTGATGAAGTTTGGTATTTTACTGAAGATTGTTGACAAGTTTTATGAAAGATCTGAACATGTTTTATGAGTTTTTGAAGTATTCCGAGTTCTGAGTTTTTGAAGTACCGAGTGAAGTACCAAGTTTAAGTATTGAGTTATGATGTTATGTTGCTGTTTATCGATCCTGATGGTCACACGTGAATGTCCCTTCATGTCCCTTGTTTTTCTGTTCTCAAGTTGGCCCTACTCACTAACCACTGGGTCTTCAGTTCAATCTGCATTTCAAAAGCATGGTGTCTCTTTAATATGGAATAATATTATATATTAATAAGATAAAAACGTATTAAATACTGGATGAAATATTGGTGATTTTGTTAGTGGAGACTGGACACACCTGATTTTCAAACTCAAAAAAATTATATATTAGATTCTAATATATAAATAAGTAACAATCTTGACTATTTTATGCAGGAACCTGCAAGACCAATTGGAATTCACACACCAAATTATACCGCAATATGAATTTTAGGCCACCTCTAATCTATAGACCTGTATATACATTGTAAAATTGAATAGTTTTCTATTTTCATTTTGTTGATTTCTTCATTAACATATAAAATAATATATGTTTTATTGTATATAAACGTGTGTGTGTGTATATATACACACACACACATGTGTGTTAGCTTACAGAGGGCGATGTTCCACAGTGGTTTGTGTGTGTGACAGAGGCCTGAGGAGCGGTGCTTTCCCTGCTGTCAGTCTGATGTGCAGCAGCTTCTGTGGACACAGACAAAGACCTCACTATAGAAGTACTTCAATACTGCAGTACACATACTACTGCAGTATTGTAGTATTGCAGTACTACTGCATGCTATTGCAATACTGCAGTACACATACTACTGCTCATAAATAATCACAGAACATTGAAAAGATAAAATTCTTCAGTTGTTGCAGAAACAGAACAGTTTTTACCTGGATTTGAACATTTTCAGGAAGACTGTTCCAGGTTTTAGCATGAATCTGAAACACTGTCTCCAACATGAGGCCAGTCCCTGTGCTGAGGCTGAGAGGTCTCTCCCTCAGAGGTCTCTCTCTAAGAGGTCTCTCTCTCAGAGGTCTCTCTCTAAGAGGTCTCTCTCTCAGAGGTCTCTCTCTCAGAGGTCTCTCTCTCAGAGGTCTCTCTCTCAGGTCTCTCCCTCAGAGGTCTCTCTCTCTGGTCTCTCCCTCAGAGGTCTCTCTCTGGTCTCTCCCTCAGAGGTCTCTCTCTCAGGTCTCTCCCTCAGAGGTCTCTCTCTCAGGTCTCTCCCTCAGAGGTCTCTCTCTGGTCTCTCCCTCAGAGGTCTCTCTCTCAGGTCTCTCTCTCAGAGGTCTCTCTCTCAGAGGTCTCTCTCTCAGGTCTCTCTCTCAGAGGTCTCTCTCTCAGAGGTCTCTCTCTCAGAGGTCTCTCTCTCAGAGGTCTCTCTCACAGGTATCTCCCTCAGAGGTCTCTCTCACAGTTCTCTCCCTCAGAGGTCTCTCTCTCAGGTCTCTCCCTCAGAGGTCTCTCTCTCAGGTCTCTCCCTCAGAGGTCTCTCTCACAGGTCTCTCCCTCAGAGGTCTCTCCCTCAGAGGTCTCTCTCTCAGGTCTCTCCCTCAGAGGTCTCTCTCTCAGGTCTCTCCCTCAGAGGTCTCTCTCACAGGTCTCTCCCTCAGAGGTCTCTCCCTCAGAGGTCTCTCTCTCAGGTATCTCCCTCAGAGGTATCTCTTACAGGTCTCTCCCTCAGAGGTATCTCTTACAGGTCTCTCCCTCAGAGGTGAGAGTGTTACATCACCAGTGGGAATATAATAACTAAATACTTCCACAGTGATGTTCCAGACACTGACACCAGAGACACAACATCAGGACGAAAAACCATCTGACTACTGACTCCCCATTGATCCCTGACCCCCCCGTCCTCTTTGACCCTGACCCCCCCTGGCCTCTCTGACCCCTGACCCTGCCCCACCTGGCCTCTCTGACCCTGACCCCCCAAACACAGCAGAATAAACAGAGTCCTACCTGAGTCTGTGGAGACGAAGAGGTTTCTGACAGGTGTTCAGAGCGGAGCAGCAGCCCTTATACCAAGACCACACCCACAGAGACACACACACACACACCCACAGAGACCCACACACTCAGACACAGAGACCCACACAGAGATACACCCACACACACACACACAGACACATGTGCACAGAGACACGCGCCTGCAGACAAAGGTAAATACCTATTTGAACAATTCATTTCTGCCTCCTGATAAAAACAAGTACCTCTGATGGGGCTCAGACCCTGGTCCCAAATGGACCACAGAGAGGCCAGGTCCTGAGAGGCCAGGTCCTGAGTGAGGCCAGGTCCTGAGAGGCCAGGTCCTGAGAGGCCAGGTCCTGAGTGATGCCAGGTCCTGAGAGGCCAGGTCCTGAGAAGTCAGGTCCTGAGTGAGGCCAGGTCCTGAGAGGCCAGGTCCTGAGTGATGCCAGGTCCTGAGAGGCCAGGTCCTGAGAGGTCAGGTCCTGAGTGAGGCCAGGTCCTGAGAGGCCAGGTCGTGAGAGGCCAGGTCCTGAGTGAGGCCAGGTCCTGAGAGGCCAGGTCCTGAGAGGCCAGGTCCTGAGAGGCCAGGTCTGTATTTGTGTATGGTCCGCAGTCGTCATGGAGACCGCACCATGGGTCGATAGGGAGCGGGAGCCACTGTACACAAATCTTCCTAAATGTTCTGGATTTGGAAAACCCGGAGGATGGAGAGGACTGGGAGCTGTGGAAAACCCGGAGGATGGAGGAGACTGGGAGCTGTGGTTAGATGACTGCACATTACAATGCCCTGAAGACACAGGCTGTAATTAGCAGCAGAGACTGTTGGACCATGGATCAGTCTGAGGTCACCCTGGGACCAGGACTCCACTGTTGGAACTTGCTCTTCTGAACTAAAGCAGTCAGTCATGAGATAATCTATGTCTTCCTGCTCCTTTGTGCTCGCTGCCGCACACGCCAGAGGCAGACGCCCGTGCCAAAGAATCATTCATGGTCCTGAACCAGATCGACAACACACTGCTGCTGGCCAATCAGAGGCTCTGATACTCAACTCTATTCTTCTCTCTGGTCTCTCTCTGGTCTCTCTCTGGTCTCTCTCTGGTCTCTCCCTGGTCTCTCCCTGGTCTCTCCCTGGTCTCTCTCTGATCTCTCTTTGGTCTCTCTATGGTCTCCTCCTTGGAGAACACATAACCCCTGTCATGACCCAGGCCCAGTGTATAATGGTTATTATTGTAGATACAGATTTCTTTCCAGTGTTGTTCCGTCTCTGCCCCCTCACATGACCTCATCAGATGCACATATGTGACGTGGTTAAAGAGTAAAGAGGGGCTTCCTCTGAACCCTCTGTACTCCGAGAGAAAACACAATTATCATCAAACATTCCAGTTATGTCAATGGAAAACGGAACGTGTGAGCTCAGCACGGCCCCTCCCCCGCGGCCTGGACCCCACGGGACCACATTAGGGCCTCCACCGATGACTCAGGCTGTTTGTGTGGCACTGTTTGTGGCAGAGGCTCATGGAGACGGCTGTAGACCCAGGACTGAGGCTGTAGACCCAGGACTGAGGAGTAGACCCAGGACTGAGGCTGTAGACCCAGGACTGAGACTGTAAACCCAGGACTGAGGCTGTAGATCAGGACTGAGGCTGTAGACCCAGAACTGAGACTGTAGACCCAGGACTGAGGCTGTAGACCCAGGACTGAGGCTGTAGACCCAGGACTGAGGCTGTAGACCCAGGACTGAGACTGTAAACCCAGGACTGAGGCTGTAGATCAGGACTGAGGCTGTAGACCCAGAACTGAGACTGTAGACCCAGGACTGAGGCTGTAGACCCAGGACTGAGGCTGTAGACCCATACTGAGGCTGTAGTTCCAGGACTGAGGCTGGGATTATAATAAATATTGTATTGACTTTATAGTTTGAACCATAACAGTTACTGTCAGAATAAAGGTGGTCTCGGGTCCGTGTGATTGAAGACATCGTTACAGAGTTGCCTAAAGCGTCTCAGAGAAAAGAGTCATTAGTGAAAGTCTCAGGAGCAGGTGTGAGTGACAGGAGCAGGAGGAGTTTCCACTGGAAACAATTACATGAAGATCACTGTGTTTGTGTGAACTGCACCAACAACAAAGACTTTTCCACTTCTGCTCCATCAGGGTTTGTTCCACAAGACTCACTGAGTCTACAGCCTCAGTCCTGAGTCTACAGCCTCAGTCCTGAGTCTACAGCCTCAGTTCTGGATCTTCAGTCTCAGTCCTGGATCTACAGCCTCAGTCCTGGATCTACAGCCTCAGTCCTGGGTCTACAGCCTTAGTTCCCAGTGCCCCTGCTGGAGGGTTTTTCAAACGAGAAATCACAGACACAAAAGTAACAAACTGAAATGTTCTTATGAAAACACACAATTATAAAGTAACAACATCACAACGTTAGGATCAACAAGTGTGAGACAAAAGAGCTTCATCTGTGTCTGAAGAGCAGCGAGAAGGGGAACACACTCCTGAAACACACACACACACAGAGACACACACACACACACACACACAGACACACACACACACACACATGTTTTAGAACGTAAATTCACATGTACCACATACTGTATAGGAGACAAATGCAGAGATTGGATATTACAGATATTACAAAAGTGAAAGACACGAGTGACGACAGATAAAGCTGTTTGTTACTCTACCCTACTCTAGTCTACCCTACACTACTCTACCCTACCCTACTCTACTCTACCCTACCCTACTCTACCCTACCTTACTCTACCCTACCTTACTCTACTCTACCCTACCTTACGCTACCCTACCCTACCCTACTCTACCCTAGTCGACCCTACTCTACTCTACGCTACGCTACTCTACCCTACCCTAGGGAGATGGTAGAGGCGAGAGGTGATAGAGGTAGTAGAGGTGGTGGAGGCGGTATATGTGGGAGGTGGTAGAAGTGGTAGAGGTGGTAGAGGTGGTAGAGGCAGTAGAGGTGGTAGAGGTGGTAGAGGTGGTAGAGGTGGTAGAGGTGGTAGAGGTGGTAGAGGCGGTAGAGGTGGGAGGTGGTAGAGGTGGGAGGTGGTAGAGGTTGTAGGTGGTAGAGGTGGGAGGTGGTAGAGGCGGTAGATGTGGGAGGTGGTAGAAGCGGTAGAAGTGAGAGATGGTAGAGGAGGGAGGTGGTAGAGGTGGGATGTGGTAGAGGCGGTACAGGTGGGAGAGGTTGTAGAGGTGGTAGAGGCGGCAGAGGTGGGAGGTGGTAGGTGGTAGAGGAGGGAGGTGTTCGAGGTGGGATGTGGTAGAGGCGGTAGAGGTGGTAGGTGGTAGAGGCCGAGATACACTGCCTTGAAGAGATGCACTGCCTCAGCTGTTTATGATGTAATGCAAACCTGCGCATGAGCGTCTCACGGCAGCCGAAGCATACCAAGATGGCGGACCGTGAATTTCTTTAAAAGTTAAAATACGAACGAATTAAGACACAGATGTCACTTTTAATGCAATTTGAGGCGAGATGTTGATGGTTCCGTTTTGTCACATGTGGGTTTTAAGAGTCAAAGTTTCGTGCAAAGTTTAGTTTAAGCAGTCAACTGTGCCTGTGAAACCACACTGCTAATGTTTTCATAGCAGTCCGCGGCCGCTGACGTAGGCTGATGACGCGTCCTGTGGCCACTCTACAGCTTGCAACTGGTCTGTTGGGTTAATAATGGAAATAATAAATGTAATTTAATACATGTATCGTACTGTATTTAATATGATTAACAATAGTGTGTTCAAACAAAATATTTAATTAGATTGATTTTTTTCCCCATTTTCCATTATCAACCCGACAGACCAGTTGTAAGCTGTAGAGTTGCCACAGGACGCGTCATCAGCCTACGTCAGCGGCCGCGGAGGCTGCTATGAAAACATTAGCTTTGTGGTTTCACAGGCGCAGTTGACTGCTTAAACTAAACTTTGCACAAAACTTTGACTCTTAAAACCCACATGTGACAAAACGGAACCAGAAGTTGTAGATGCGGTAGAGGTGGTAGAGGCGGTAGAGGTTTGAGGTGGTAGAGACGGTAGAGGTGGAAGGTGGTAGAGGTGGGAGGTGGTGGAGGTGGTAGAGGTGATAGAGGCAGAGCCTTAAACTCTGGATTCTGTAGTAAATGTAAGCTTTTTTGTGGATCCACAGATTGTTTGATTATTTGAGTGAAAAATGTGGATGTGCCGCTACATGAGTGAGACACTGGATTTCCCCTGTGAGCTCCAAGTCTCCTGGTGTCAGACACACGTCTCCTGGTGTCAGACTCACGTCTCCTGGTGTCAGAGGAAGACAACCATCACTTCCACCTGTCTGACCTCCTCCATCACAAACCTGGCCAGTGTGGAGAGCACGCCCCGCCTCCCTGATGGGACTGCTCCAGCCTCTGGGTCCTCCTCAGACACTGGGTCCTCCTCAGACTCTGGGTCCTCCTCAGACTCTGGGGCCTCCTCCTGCACCAGACAGAGGAGGTGTGAGGCCTGAGCAGCTATAAACATGGAGAGAAACCACTTCAAAATACTCAAAATAAGCTGATTTTACTCATTAGGGTTTGATGTCTTCATGGACTGCGGCCTCTGCCTCTGAATGTGTTGTTTTTACATTTGCTGAGTTTGATTCTCTAATTTGTGTCGACGAATTCAGTGGTTTTGTAAAGTCTTCCAAGAAAACTACTGTTTGATTTAGGGCGGTACACTTTGAACAATGCACAAACTCTGTAGATAGAGGACACCACAGATTTAGACCATCCCACACCCCCTAACTCTCCCCAAGGGGTTTGGTAGATTCCTGGGTCTACAGCCTCAGTCCTGGATCAACGGCCTCAGTCCTGGGTCTACGGCCTCAGTCCTGGATCTACAGTCTCAGTCCTGGATCAACGGCCTTAGTCCTGGGTCTACGGCCTCAGTCCTGGGTCTACAGCCTCAGTCCTGGATCTACAGTCTCAGTCCTGGATCAACGGCCTTAGTCCTGGATCTACAGTCTCAGTCCTGGGTCTACAGCCTCAGTCCTGGATCAACGGCCTCAGTCCTGGGTCTACGGCCTCAGTCCTGGGTCTACAGCCTCAGTCCTGGGTCTACAGCCTCAGTCCTGGATCTACAGCCTCAGTCCTCGGTCTACGGCCTCAGTCCTGGATCTACGGCCTCAGTCCTGGGTCTATGGCCTCCGTCCTGGGTCTACGGCCTCAGTCCTGGGTCTACAGCCTCAGTCCATGACCTCACCCTTTCCTCCTGTGGTGTTTCATGTTAAATCTCTGATCTCTAAATCAGATGTTGTGCTGTGGTCGTAAAGAGGAGTAATGAGGAGAGCCGTGAGCAGGTGTAGGTGAGCTCATGCAGCCGCAGCCGCCCTCTCTGCAGGACGTACAGGATAATAGTCTCTGTGCTCTGTGAGTCTGTGGAGGGGGGAGACGGAGGGCGGAGAGAGAGGGGGGAGACAGAGGAGTGCGTACCGTGTCCCCATGTTGGGAACCCTCACAGCTCAGCAGCTCGGCCCCAGATCTGCAGCAGAAACAGCTTCAGGATCCTTTATCTCAATGGAACATGTGAAAGAACCAGGAGGTACCGTCACAAGTCTCTTCATGACCTCAAAGTCCATCTGTGACATGTTAGAACCTACTCTGAGGAGCACAGGGACTGGCCTCAGCCTCAGTTCTGGGTCTACAGCCTCAGTCCTAGGTCTACAGCCTCAGTCCTGGGTCTACAGCCTAAGTTCCGTAGTGAGTCTGACCTGAACACACACACAGCACTGTCAGCCTCCATGTCCTTCTTAAACTCCTGTAGAAGAGCGTCCTCTAGTGGAGAGTCGGTCCTCTGCCTCTTTATGAAGGTGTTCACAGGCTCCTACAGAGAACCTTCAAGCTGTCAATCAGAGACCAGAGAGAGAGACCAGAGAAAGACCAGAGCGAGACCAGAGAGAGACCAGTGAGAGAGACCAGAGAGATATACAGTGCTTTGCGAAAGTATTTCGGAAAGCACTTGACCCTTTCAACATTTCGCCACATTTCCGGCTTCAAACATAAAGATATAAAATTTTAATTTTTTGTCATGAATCAACAACAAGTGGGACACAATCGTGAAGTGGAACAACATTTATTGGATAATTTAAACTTTTTTAACAAATAAAAAACTGAAAAGTGGGGCGTGCAATATTATTCGGCCCCTTTACTTTCAGTGCAGCAAACTCAGTCCAGAAGTTCAGTGAGGATCTTTGAATGATCCAATGTTGTCCTAAATGACTGATGATGATAAATAGAATGCACCTGTGTGTAATCAAGTCTCCGTATAAATGCACCTGCTCTTTGATAGTCTCAGGGTTCTGTTTAAAGCGCAGAGAGAACCATGAAGACAAAGGAACACACCAGGCAGGTCCGAGATACTGTTGTGGAGAAGTTTAAAGCCGGATTTGGATGCAAAAAGATTTCCCAAGCTTTAAACATCTCAAGGAGCACTGTGCAAGCAATTATATTGAAATGGAAGGAGTATCAGACCACTGCAAATCTACCAAGACCCGGCCGTCCCTCCAAACTTTCATCTCAAACAAGGAGAAGACTGATCAGAGATGCAGCCAAGAGGCCCATGATCACTCTGGATGAACTGCAGATAACTACAGCTGAGGTGGGAGAGTCTGTCCATAGGACAACAATCAGTCGTGCACTGCACAAATCTGGCCTTTATGGAAGAGTGGCAAGAAGAAAGCCATTTCTCAAAGATATCCATAAAAAGTCTCGTTTAAAGTTTGCCACAAGCCACCTGGGAACTTTTTGACCACAATGCAAAATGATATGTTTGGCGTAAAAGCAACACAGCTCATCACCCTGAACACACCATCCCCACTGTCAAACATGGTGGTGGCAGCATCATGGTTTGGGACTGCTTTTCTTCAGCAGGGACAGGGAAGATGGCTAAAATTGATGGGAAGATGGATGGAGCCAAATACAGGACCATTCTGGAAGAAAACCTGTTGGAGTCTGCAAAAGACCTGAGACTGGAACGGAGATTTATCTTCCAACAGGACAATGATCCAAAACATAAAGCCAAATCTACAATGGAATGGTTCACAAATAGACGTATCCAGGTGTTAGAATGGCCAAGTCAAAGTCCAGACCTGAATCCAATCGAGAATCTGTGGAAAGAGCTGAAGACTGCCGTTCACAAACGCTCTCCATCCAACCTCACTGAGCTCGAGCTGTTTTGCAAGGAAGAATAGGCAAGAATTCCAGTCTCTCGATGTGCAAAACTGATAGAGACATACCCCAAGCGACTTGCAGCTGTAATTGCAGCAAAAGGTGGCGCTACAAAGTATTAGCGCAAAGGGGGCCGAATAATATTGCACGCCCCACTTTTCAGTTTTTTATTTGTTAAAAAAGTTTAAATTATCCAATAAATTTCGTTCCACTTCACGATTGTGTCCCACTTGTTGATTCTTGACAAAAAATTAAAATGTTATATCTTTAGGTTTGAAGCCTGAAATGTGGCGAAATGTTGAAAGGTTCAAGGGGGCCGAATACCTTCGCAAGGCACTGTACCAGAGAGACCAGAGACCAGAGAGAGACCAGAGAAAGAGTGTGTGTGTGTGTGTCTGTGTCCCACCGTGACCTGGGGGGTCTCCAGGTAGAGCAGCAGGGTGTAGGGGTAGGCCTTCACCCCCTCCTCACACAGCACACCACACACTCTCTCCCACCGCGTTTTATCTGAGCCATTAAGAGGACCTTGTCCCAATGGGAAATGTCAGTGTTGTATTTCACATTACACTCATGTTTCAGTCTCTCAGTGACACAGTATCAGAAGCACCATATGACCATAACTGAGGATTAGCACAGTCCTGTGTCGACCAGGGACACAATGAGTCTTTCTCTCTCCGGTCTCTCTCTCTGGTCTCCCTCTCTAGTCTCTCTCTCTAGTCTCTCTCTGGTCTCTCTGGGGTCTCTCTCTGGTCTCTCTCTGGTCTCTCTATGGCCTCTCTCTCTGGTCTCTCTATGGTCTCTCTATGGTCTCGCTCTATGGTTTCTCTCTGGTCTCTCTATGGTCTCTTACTGATCTCTCTCTAGTCTCTCCATGGTCTCTCTATGGTCTCTCTCTGGTCGCTCACTGGTCTCTCTATGGTCTCTCTCTGGTCTCTCTCTGATCTCTCTCTGGTCTCTCTATGATCTCTCTATGATCTCTCTCTGGTCTCTCTCTGGCCTCTTTCTGGCCTCTCTCTGGTCTCAGAGGTACAGAAGGATACAGGGGTACACATGGAGGTGTGAGCTGGTGAAGGGCTGCAGAGTTTCCAGGTTACCCAGCACAGTCCTGATGATGTCCTACAGGGAACAGCAGATGTTTGTGAAGATATTGACTAGGGATGTAAATCGGTGACCGTTTAACCGGTGGTTGACCGTCACAGCGTTAACCGGTCAAAGCTGTGGGTTAAAAAAAGAAAACGGGGAGAGAGAAGGTCACTTAATAACGCTATTTTAAGCCCTATTTGCACGATGTGACGAGCGGGTACGTATCTAGCTGTGTGCGCCAATGTATCAGTAAACTCCGGGCCGACTTTCATGCCACATGCGCCACATAGGTCTGAAAGCACCATAATACTGACCCTGGACAAGTCCCAGTCTGACCCTGGACTCCTCTAGACCTGCGGACCAGTCCCAGTCTGACTCTGGACCATGTAGACCTGTGGACCAGTCCCAGTCTGACCCTGGAACATGTAGACCTGTGGACCAGTCCCAGTCTCATCCATAGACTGTAAATATTAACGGACGTTGTCACGCCGTCTATCTCCGCCGTTCAAACAGATGGACCAAAAATTGTGCTGTACTGGAGCTATACAAAATGGCCGCGAGTGGTCCCGCCCACAAGAAAATTGTGAAAAAAACACATCTGCGCATGCATCAGCTGCGCGAGCCCCATTCATTTAAACAAGTGCCTTCAAAAAATCACAGCTCCTAATCTAGAGTGGTCCAAAAATTCACTCCCCTCAGCACTGACGCACATGTGGAACAGAGCTTTGGGCCAAGAGCCAACTTTTGGACCATCCTGTAAAGACGTTTTCGAGAGGTATGAAGATGCTATATGTTAGCATTGGATAATTCTTATTCCGGGTCCACCCCCATCGGCCCGGGGTGGGATTGCAAGCATGTCAGCGCACGTCATTTGGGCCACTTTTGAGCCTAGACCCGCCCCCACTGGTCTGACCCTGGACCGTGTAGACCTGTGGACCAGTCCCAGTCTGACCCTGGACCATGTAGACCTGTGGACCAGTCCCAGTCTGACCCTGTACCATGTAGACCTGTGGACCAGAAACAGTCTGACCCTGGAACATGTAGACCTGTGGACCAGTCCCAGTCTGACCCTGGACTATGTAGACCCATGGACCAGTCCCAGTCTGACCCTGGAACATGTAGACCTGTGAACCAGTCCCAGTTCCTGGGACATATACACCTATGAGCTTACCTCCATTTCCTGATGAAAGTCGTAGAGCAGATCTGCAGCCGCTGCTCCCCTTGAAACACAACAGTCTCACATGAACTAAGAATGTTGGTCAGTGTTTTAGTTGGTATTTGCTGGTTCTGTCTGGTGGTTCTTGCTAGTTCTGTCTGGTTCTTACCTGCATGACCTGCCTCCTCTGATCTTGAACTTGTAGATTTCAGATCCAGCCTTGAAGAAGCGAGTTTCAGGGAGTGAGAAAGGCTGCAGCGCCATGGCTCCTGTGAGGAAGAGTATTTTGGCTTATTCTCTGAGAACAGTAGATAAACACAGACTGACTTCTAACCCTCTGGTATTAACCAGCGTTAGCTAACACTAGTTAAAACAGGTCTCATCTGAAGACTTCTACCATGCATGTCTTTCCAGTGGCTGTAAATGTTTCCTAAAGATGGTTGCTGTGTTGTGCCACCAGAGGGAGCTGCAGGACTGTGATCGCTGAGTCTTTCATCATTATCACAGTTTAGTGTCTGAGCTGGAGCTAAAAGCATCTCTTCACTAGTGTGTTCAGGCGCATTCACTGTGATCCTACACCTACTGGTCATTATATTAGACACACTGGTCATTATGCTTTTAATTTTGTACCTGATATAAAGCGACCTTGAGTGACCAAAAAATACAACAAAAATAATAAATATAAACTAAATGTAATTATGTATTAAATATTATGTTATTATCATTATTAAACACGCTGAGGAGTACAGGTTTATTCTGCGCCTGTTGAGCCGCGAGACACTAGCTTGAGTGAAGGCTAACCTCAATGCTAATGCTAATTCTAATGCTAATGCTGCCGCTTTATAATTTAGATAATGATGTATTTTAATTTCAAGAACACCAATCATTTAGAATGGTGAAAGATGGAATTCATCATTGTTTATTTATCAAAAGTTAACATATGTAACGTTTTCTTACTACTTTTACATAAAAAAAGAAAATAACGTCAGTTTTATGCTAGCATTAGCGATGTTCGTGCACTTAGCCATTTACGTTGGTGATTTTAAAGCCTGATAATGTGATGAAGTTGTTGATGTTCCCATGAACTCTAATCTTGTTCCCTGACACCTCGTTCTCTTTATTTTGTTAAATATAAAACATGTTTCTTTCCCATTTGCGCAGAAGCAGAAAGCGCTTTCAGGTCACGTCCGAATCCCCACGGAGCAGCTGCAGCGGGATTCACACAGCTGCTTTCTGTGTTTATAACAGTCATGGATATTATCTTTCACAAATATATGTAATCGTTACCTGCAAAACACGACCTCGTCCAGAATTAAATGATACTAATTAGTTTTTAGACAGAGACCTGTTCAGCGGCAGCTTGTGGCTGCATCCGAATTCAGCTAAAACACGTTCTCCCTTATCCTCCCTCATCCTCTTGTGTCTACGGTACAGCTCCAGGTTTGGTTGAAGAAGATGGCATAGTCTGGGATCGCGTCTTACATTCAGACAGAAGACATGTTTTATTGTCGATGGTAGACACAGCACGAACAAAGCACACGATCACAGATACAATAGAATGCAAGTGTATTATACAGAGCGGAGGCATGGAGACCTCCAATCAGCAGCTTCCACAGTGTGCTTGTAGCTTGGCCTTCAGATAGACAAAACAAGGGAAAAGTACTGGCTTCTGCACATTGATAGAATGATGAGTTTAACTTTAACAAAAGTTGCTTCAAAGTGTTATGAAATCTCACATGGTCACGTGCCATTTTGCACTTTTCTTAGATGTTTTGAGGAATTTATGCCACAAAGGCTTTTAAAAATGACAGGACAAGTCTTAAAAGGATAAGAAAGGAGGTATTATAATAAAACTGGAGGCAGACCCTGTTTAGGGGTCTAGGGCTCGTTCTGATTGGCTGTCTGCTCCCGTCACGTGATGCATGGTGAGCACGTGATTCAGTGTTTAGACATGGTTGCGTGGATCTCCAGTGAGCGTGACTTTATCCTAGTTCTCTGAGTTCAGTCTGTCTCTCTCTGCCAAGGACCCGTGTGGACCGCAGCTCACGTTTGGTATGTGTCCGGATAGTTCTTATTATTATAATATTATATACATATTTATAATATATATAGATATTTTACCAGTCTGTTGTTAGGATAAGATAAGATACACTTTATTGTCCCAAGTGAAATATGCTGAAGGAGACACAGATCTACATGAATGAATATAATATAAAGGAACGTTACAGGAAAGTGCAGTAGTGCTTTGAAGTCTCTTTTTGGTCAATTCAGCCTCAAAATAAATACTAGGTCCTAGATCTGGGGTCGCGGTATTTACGGTCTATGTTTGGGGGCAGTCTGATCCCGAGTTCCACAGGCTGATCAGGAATGTGTTTCTGTGATGGGGAGAAGAAGAGGGCTCTAATGCAAGGCATGCTGGGTAACTCCAGACACCCTCTGCATGAGAGACCAGAGAGAGAGACTAGAGAGAGATCAGACATTTGGGGTATATCACACTGCACACACATGTCTGGTCTTTAACTACTAGTCCTTCCTGTAAGTAAGGAAGGATAGCGAGGTGATAGGGATGCAGCCATAGTCCCTCCCTAATGTGACATGCCCAGGAGGCGTCCCAAACCCACCTGTTTAATTCAGTGGGAGCGGGTCCTGGCTCAATAGGTGACGTCACATTAGTTTGAACGACAGAGAAAGGCATGACTCCGTCCTCATTTACAGTCTATGGCTTAAACCCTGTTCCCAGGTCATGGGGCCGGTGCCGTGTGTGTCTCTGAACACCGGGGCCCAGATGCCACTGCTGGGTCTGGGGACATACAAGTTGGTGGGGGCCCAGACGGTGCTGCAGGCCGTGGACGCCGCTCTTGCTGCTGGATACCGCTCCTTTGACACGGCGGCGGTTTATCGTAACGAGGCCGATGTGGGACGAGCCCTGAAGGAGCTTATGCCCAAATATGGGCTCAGCAGAGAGGATGTGTTCATAACTAGGTAAACCAGGACTAAACCAGGACTAAACCAGGACTAAACCAGGACTAAACCATGACTAAAGCAGGACTAAAGCAGGGACTAAAGCGGGACTAAAGCGGGACTAAAGCAGGACTAAAGCAGGACTAAAGCAGGACTAAACCAGGACTAAACCAGGACTAAACCAGGACTAAACCAGGACTAATCCAGGTCTAAACCAGGTCTAAAACAGGACTAAAGTGTGTGTTTTTGATGCGGGTCATGTGTCTGCAGTAAGCTGGGGCCTAAAGACCAGGGTGCGGGGGCCATGGCTGCAGCTCTGCACAGTCTGTCAGAGTTGGACCTGGACTGGATCGACCTGTACCTGATCCACTGGCCTGGGACTCAGGGCCTGGAGGTGTCGGACCACAGGAACCCTGGTGAGAGACGAGCTATGATCCTGAGAGAGAGACCAGAGAGAGAGACCAGAGAGAGAGACCAGAGAGAGAGACCAGAGAGAGAGACCAGAGAGAGAGACCAGAGAGAGAGAGAGACCAGAGAGAGAGAGAGACCAGAGAGAGAGACCAGAGAGAGAGACCAGAGAGAGAGACCAGAGAGAGAGACCAGAGAGAGAGACCAGAGAGAGAGACCAGAGAGAGAGACCAGAGAGAGACCAGAGTTGATCTCCAGCCCTGGTCTATTTCATATGTTATATAATTTAATGCTTTAGCCCCGTGGGACGGCACGGTGGCTGAGTGGTTAGCACTCTCGCTTCTCAGCAAGAAGGGTTTGAGTCCCGGTCGGAACAGGGCCTTTCTGAGTGGAGTTTGCGTGTTCTCCCTGTGTTTACGTAGGTTTCCTCCGGGTGCTCCGGTTTCCCCTACCACTAAGAACATGTACAATAGGTCTGTGCCTCCTTTGTGACTCTGGTCTGTGAAAGGCGCTATACAAATAAAGATGACTGACGGTGAGGTCCTGATGATGTGTGGTGTGTGACAGAGAACAGACCAGTGAGTTGGTCTGCGCTGGAGCAGCTGCAGATTCAGGGGAAACTAAAGGCCATCGGAGTCTCCAACTACACCCCCCACCACCTGAGGGCGCTGCTGAGGGACTGCACTGTGGTCCCCGCCCTGCTCCAGGTCTGTGTGTGTGTGTGTTTGTGTGTCTGTGTGTTGGTGTTTCTGTGTCGGTGTGTCTGTGTGTGTCTCTGTGTTTGTGTGTGTGCCTGTGTCTGTGTGTGTCGGTATGTCTCTGTGTGTGTGTCTGTGTGTGTCGGTATGTCTCTGTGTGTGTGTCTGTGTCTGTGTGTGTCGGTATGTCTCTGTGTGTGTGTCTGTGTCTGTGTGTGTCGGTATGTCTCTGTGTGTGTGTCTGTGTCTGTGTGTGTCTCTGTGTTTGTGTGTCTGCCTGTGTCTGTGTGTGTCGGTATGTCTCTGTGTGTGTGTGACTTCCTTCAGGCTGATGCATGTTCAGTTCTTTATAGATAATGGACACATGACTCTGAGAGATCAGACCCAGACCCGGACCCAGGACTAAGCCTCAGACTCAGGACTAAGCCTCAGACTCAGGACTCTTCTGTAAATCTATAAAGTTGTAATATCGGGATCTGATAAGGATGAATCTTTGGGCACAGTTGAAGATAAACGTCACAAGGCTGTGACCCAGAGAAGCACGAGGCCTCACTGTGGCCTGTGTCCAGAGAGTCCAGGCCCAGAGGGCCCGGGCCCAGAGAGCCCGGGCCCAGGGAGCCCGGGCCCAGAGAGCCCGGGCCCAGGGAGCCCAGGGAGTCAGACTCATCACTGCACTTTAATGATCTTGTTTTGTTGATTTGTTCCACAGTGAGGATTGTACTTTTTTAAAATCGTTTTATGTGTGTACTCTGTACTCTCTCTGGTCTCTCACTGTGCTCTCTCTGGTCTCTCTCTGGTCTCTCTCTGGTCTCTCTCTCTGGTCCCTCTGGTGCAGGTAGAGTTCCACCCTCGCCTGCCTCAGGTCCAGTTGCGGTCCCTGTGTGCTGAGGAGGGGGTGGTGTTCCAGGCGTACTCATCTCTGGGCAGAGGAGAGCTGTGTTCTGACCCTGTGGTGCTGCAGGTGTCTGAGGCCTGCGAGCGCACTCCTGCACAGGTGCTATGTACTCTCTCTCCTCTCTCTTTTCTCTCTCCTCTCTTCTCTCTCCCCTCTCTCCTCTCTGTCCTCTCTGTCCACGTCACGTAATCTGTGTAAGGAGTTCCTGGTTCTAAAACAGTTTGCTTCTATCACTAGCTTTATGTTCGTGTTTCTCTCTTCGGTCTCTATGGCCTCCTTCTGGTCTCCCACTGGTCTCACTTATCTCTCTCTGGTTTTTCCTCTGGTCTCACTGGTCTCTCTCTACTCATTCTCTGGTCTCTCCCGTCTCCCTCTGGTCTCACTGGTCTCTCTACTCTATCTCTGGTCTTTCCTCTGGTCTCACTGGTCTCTCTATGGTCTCTCTGGTCTCCCTCTGGTCTCACTGGTCTCTCCTGTGGTCAGGTGTTGCTGCGTTGGGCTGTGCAGCAGGACATTGGTGTCTTGCCAAAGTCCTCGTGTCCTGAGAGGATTCGCACCAACGCCTCCATTTTCGACTTCAGCCTTAGTGAGAAACACATGTCTGAGCTGAGGGCTCTGGACTGTGGGCAGCATCTGTGCTGGGACCCGACACAGGTGGCCTGACCAGGGCCTGACCTTGGACCTGACCGAGCCTGAAGGGCCTGACCGGGGGCCATACTACTATACTGTTTCTATATACAGTACAAACCAAAAGTTTGGACACACCTTCTCATTCAAAGAGTTTTTTTATTTTCATGATTATGAAAATTGTAGATTCACACTGAAGACATCAAAACTATGAATAAACTGATGTGGAATTATGTACGTACTAAGCAAAAAGTTTGAAACAACTGAAAATATGTCTTATATTCTAGGTTCTTGAAAGTAGCACCTTTTGCTCTGATTACTGCTTCACACACTCTTGATGAGCTTCAAGTTCCCACAGATGCTTAGCACTTTCGCCTTCACTCTGTGGTCCAGCCCTAAAACTATCTGGATTGGGTTCAGGTCCAGTAACTGTGGAGGCCGGGTCATCTAGCCCAGCACCACCACTCTCCTCATTGGTCAAACAGCCCTTACACAGCCGGGTGTGAATCTACAGTCAATAGTAAAGTGAAAGAGTGAAGTAAGTGAAAAGAAAGGAACCTCATTGAATGAGAAAGTGTGTCCAAACTTTTGGTCTGTACTGTAAATGCATTTTAAGTGTTTCCAGGGTTGGTTCGTGACCCACATGTTGAGAACCCCTCATCTCAGTCTGTGTTGCCTTCCCTCCAGCTGTGACCGATCAGTCAAACTGGCAACGCACAGAGAATCATGTGACATCACTTCAGTCATGAGTTGTGTTTGAACTTTTAATAAACACAAAATAAGATCTGTTTGTGTCACGGTCTCTATGAGAGCCTGAGGTCTGTCTCTCTCTCTGTCTCTGCCTTTTTCTCTGAAACACAGGACTCTCTTCAGTGATTTATTGAACACAGCTCATGTTTCACAGCGGACAAAAACATTTACAACATTTGAACCGCACACACGTGAACCTCCACAGACATCACACATTTATACATGACTTCAATCAGGGTCAAGCTGGTCCTCAGGGCAGGTGTGGCTACGGGTTATCATTCCAACTGCAGACTCCACCCTTTTCCTCAAGGAGAAGAAGTCCAGAGAGAGAAACTAGAGACACAGGTGGATGTGCTCCTGCTTGTTTGGAATGAAAACTTGCAGCCACTTTGACCAGTTTGAACCTGGTTTAAAACAGATTCTGATCCATTGCAGTGTATTTTAATAAACTGAAGCTCTTCAGACACAACACTCCGCAATGATAAGACGCAAGTTCATGTTCTTTGATCTCCTCAGAGAGAAGTGTCCGAGGAGGGAGTCTGACAGTCGTCACGGGCACATGTGGTCGAAGCTCATACAAAAGTCGTTAGGAAACAGCACCTTCTGTTCATCGAACCAAACTCACAACTGTATGTTCCACTTTCAACACGAGGCAGTCACATGGTGTGGTCACATAGTACGCTCACAGACCTCAGTGGTCAGACTGGTTTGGGAATAGGACCAGACTCATTCTTGTGCTTTATAAACAGACACTTCCTGGTCTTCAGTGAAGCCCCGCCCCCTTCACTCACATCAAAGAGTCACTTCTTCTGATCTGAGAATTTAGAATCATCTTACACAACACACAGCTGATACTACCAGCACCAGGAGGAGACCCAAACCCAGGAGACCCAGCCCCTCGTTGCAGTGACACAGCGGTGGATTGTACTTTGCCTATTGCTAACTCGGCGCACTCACCTGCCTTTGAGAGATCACTAAAATAAACTTCTGTGCTGAGGCTGCCCCCCCTCACCCCTCCCTCCCCCACACTGCCAGTATTCCAATATGAACAACATTAAGTACAAAACATTTACCACAGTTGTTTTTGCCAAAGCTTTGAAGACTTTAGATAAACGATACTTTCCCATCAGTGATTGTCTTTGTACACGATTGTTCTACTTTGATAAAGATTTGAAATAAAGCAGTATTACTACTACTACTAATATTACTAATACTAGTAGATGTAGAAATAGTAGATGTAGTTGAAGAATGCATGAAAAGCTGCTCTCTGAGGACAGGGCCTCAGCTCCACACTCTTGCATAGAGAGGAGGAGAAGGGGAGAGAGAGGAGGGGAGGAGGAAGGGGAGAGAGGAGAAAGAGGAGGAGGAAGGAGAAAGGGGAGAACAGGAGAGAGAACTCACAACATTAGAACCACTGTGGTTCTGAATCGGGCTGCACGATATTTGATCTGAGTGTTTGGTATTTCAATAACAATATTATTGCAATATTTTTGTGTTTCACCTAAAATTGCATCTGCATCAAAACGAGACAAATAACACAAAATAAGCACATTAACGACATCCAAATGCATATATTTATATACCTTTTTTGTTTGTTTGTTGTTTTTGTTGAATGTTGATGTGTCCGTTTTGTTGTCTTTAATAAAGGAAAAAAATATATATATTATATCAATGTATATTATAATATATATACATATATTTTGTAATCACAAATATTTTCAATATGACTATCGCATGCACCAATACCGCGATACCAATATTTTTTCGATATATCGTGCAGCCCTAGTTCTGAGTCCAATGCAGTTAAGGCGTGTGGAAGATGTGATGTGTGAACAGTACTGAGCCCTGTGGACCCAGACCAGGGCCAGACCTGTGGACGCTGGGTGGTCTGGTCTGGGCGGTTGGTCTATCGCCGGAGTCCTCTCTGGTGGGAAACATGTCTTTGAATCGTGGAGATCGGAGATACAACATCTGTGAATGTTATTTTGAACTCTCCAAGAAAAGCCTCTGTGTCCCTGATCCTCCGCCTGCAGGTCACACACACAGTCCTGGGGGAGGACAGGGCTACTCTGTGCGGGGAGGGTCGTGGGGGGGCTCGTGGTGGGACTCTGCCTCGCTCTCCTGGTGGCTGAACAGGTAACTCCACCAGGTCTTAGAGTGATGCATGGGACGACTCTTTGGCTTCTTCATCTCCTGAGAACACACAGGACAGGGACATCACAGGTCAGAGGAGGGAGGGGGGAGGAGAGTCTCTCTCTCTGGTCTCCCCCCCTGTCTCCCATGTCTCACCCCTTTGTCCAGTAGACTGTCGAACTCGTCGCTCATCCTGCGCAGCTGCTGGCCGTACTTCTTGGCGGCCCAGAGAGCGGGAGGCGCAGACTTGGATCGACCCCGAAAAGGGAAGCCCTCATTGGGGGAGCTCAGGCCCTGCTCTGGCCTGAGGTCCACAGAGGCTTGGGACTCTGAGCTCAGCCTGATCCTGCCAGTACCTGAGGGAGGACACACACATGAGGACCAGGGCCAGGACTGGACTAGGATTGGACCAAGACCGAGCCGTTTTCATACAAAGAATGTCCCTATGCCACTAGTCCTGTAATACATCACTCTACAGCCTCAGTCCTGGGTCTACAGTCTCAGTCCTGGGTCTACAGCCTCAGTCCTGGGTCTACAGCCTCAGTCCTGGGTCTACAGTCTCAGTCCTGGGTCTACAGCCTCAGTCCTGGGTCTACAGCCTCAATCCTAGGTCTACAGCCTCAGTCCTGGGTCTATTGTTGGTGACTCCATAAGGTGGAGGATGGGCAGGAGCAGGAGGAGGTACCGGTCTTGGCTGCTTCTCTCAGCTCCAGCTTCAGAGTCTCCTCTAGTTCCTCTGAAGGTTCAGACTCACTGTCGGAGATGGTGAAGCTCGCCGCCATGTTGTCCCTGAACAAACACACATGAGAATCTCCTTCATCTCACCCCTCACCTCCCCCCTGCACTCACCTCACTCCTGCCCTCACCCCTCACCTACCCCGTCTTCACCCCCACCTCCCCCCGTCTCCACCCCCACCTCCCCCCGTCTCCCTGTCCCCCTCACCTCCCCCATCCCCCCCTGCCCTCACCTCGTCCATACACATCTGAAGTAAAAGGCTAATAATGGAGTCATACACACACGCACATACACACCCGCACATACACACCCGCACATACACACCCGCACACACACACACACACACACACAGTCTCACACACACCTCTGATATCACTATTACGCAGTCAGTCCAAAGGTACATGGGCACTGTTACACAACAGACGCCGCTCTCACACTGTTGTTGTTGTCGGACTGAGGACAATAGAAAGTTCAGAGGCGGAAGCTCCGCGAGGACCGGGCTCTTACCCACAAAGCCCCACGAGAGGGCCTCCTCCTGCGGGGAGGAGGTCTGAGGAGGAGTGAGTCTGGAAGAGGTCAGAGGAGGACCTGGACTGGAGGAGGACCGGGTCTCTGTGGTCTGGAGGAGGACCAGGTCTGGGGTCTGTTGTTGTTGCAGCCGCGGCTCGCGCTCAACCAATCGTCGCGTTTTGCGTCATGTTGAGACGCGCTGCGATGACGTCACTGTTGCGAGCAGGACTCGAGCGCGCTTTGTTTGTGACGTGTCTTTAAATTAACGTTACAAAAGGGGTAGAAAATGGATGGATAGATGGATAATAATAATAATAATGATAATCATCATCATCATAATAATAACAATAATAACTAGAAACTTGCAATGGCTGAAGCCATTGCGATTGACTGCGGAACAGATCTAATGTGGAAATCTGCTAAAAAAAATCCTTGAAATCCTTTAAAAAGCCTTGAAACTGTTAAAATACTTGATAGATATTTGAAACTCCTGAAGTCCTTGAAATTGTTGAAACCTTTAAACTCCTGAAATCCTTGAAACTGTTGAAACATTGAAACTCCTGAAATCCTTGAAACTTTTTTAAACCTGGAAACTGTTGAAAGTGTGGAAACTCCTGAAATCCTTGAACCTCCTGATATCCTTGAAACTGGTTAAATTCTTAAACAGCTGAAATCCTTGAAACTACTGAATGTATTGAAAGTGTCCTTGAAACTGAAAAATCCCCTCACCGCTGAAACAATTTGGTTCCTGTAACTAAGGAAACCTGGTCTGTGGTCATTATCTGGTGGTGGTCTGAGTCTTCGTTTGGGTCTTGGTCTGGTGGTATAATGCAACCTATTAGGTTGCATTATACATGAAAAAACCCTATTAAGTTGCATTATACTGGTTTACATGAAAAAAACCCTATTAAGTTGCATTATACTGGTTTACATGGAAAAATCCCTATTAAGTTGCATAATACTGGTTTACATGGAAAAATCTCCATTAAGTTGCATTATACTGGTTTACATGAAAAAAACCCTATTAAGTTGCATTATACTGGTTTACATGGAAAAATCCCTATTAAGTTGCATTGTACTGGTTTACATGGAAAAATCCCTATTAAGTTGCATTATACTGGTTTACATGAAAAAAACCCTATTAAGTTGCATTATACTGGTTTACATGTAAAAACCCCTATTAAGTTGCATTATACTGGTTTACATGGAAAAATCCCTATTAAGTTGCATTATACTGGTTTACATGGAAAAATCCCTATTAAGTTGCATTATACTGGTTTACATGGAAAAATCCCTATTAAGTTGCATTATACTGGTTTACATGGAAAAATCCCTATTAAGTTGCATTATACTGGTTTACATGGAAAAATCCCTATTAAGTTGCATTATACTGGTTTACATGGAAAAATCCCTATTAGGTTGCATTATACTGGTTTACATGTACAAATCCCTATTAAGTTGCTTTATACTGGTTTACATGTAAAAACCCCTATTAGGTTACATTATAGTGGTTTACATGTAAAAATCCTTATTAAGTTGCATTATACTGGTTTACATGTAAAAACCCCTATTAAGTTCCATTATACTGGTTTACATGTAAAAACCCCTATTAAGTTCCATTATACTGGTTTACATGTAAAAACCCTATTAAGTTGCATTATACTGGTTTACATGAAAAAAACCCTATTAAGTTGCATTATACTGGTTTACATGGAAAAATCCCTATTAAGTTGCATAATACTGGTTTACATGGAAAAATCCCCATTAAGTTGCATTATACTGGTTTACATGGAAAAATCCCTATTAAGTTGCATTATACTGGTTTACATGGAAAAATCCCTATTAAGTTGCATAATACTGGTTTACATGGAAAAATCCCCATTAAGTTGCATTATACTGGTTTACATGTAAAAAACCCTATTAAGTTGCATTATACTGGTTTACATGGAAAAATCCCTATTAAGTTGCATTATACTGGTTTACATGTAAAAAACCCTATTAAGTTCCATTATACTGGTTTACATGTAAAAAAACCCCTATTAAGTTGCATTATACTGGTTTACATGGAAAAATCCCTATTAAGTTGCATTAATACTGGTTTACATGGAAAAATCCCCTATTAAGTTTGCATTATACTGGTTTACATGGAAAAATCCCTATTAAGTTGCATTATACTGGTTTACATGGAAAAACCCTATTAAGTTGCATTATACTGGTTTACATGGAAAAATCCCCTATTAAGTTGCATTATACTGGTTTACATGGAAAAAATCCCCATTAAGTTGCATTATACTGGTTTTACATGGAAAAATCCCTATTAAGTTGCATTGTACTGGTTTACATGGAAAAAACCCTATTAAGTTGCATTATACTGGTTTACATGGAAAAAACCCTATTAAGTTGCATTATACTGGTTTACATGTAAAAACCCCTATTAAGTTGCATTATACTGGTTTACATGGAAAAATCCCCATTAAGTTGCATTATACTGGTTTACATGAAAAAAAACCCTATTAAGTTGCATTATACTGGTTTACATGAAAAAACCCTATTAAGTTGCATTATACTGGTTTACATGGAAAAATCCCTATTAAGTTGCATTATACTGGTTTACATGGAAAAATCCCTATTAGGTTGCATGATTACACTGAAGTCCTTGAAACTGCTGAAGTCCTTGAAACTGCTGAAGTCCTTGAAACTGCTGAAGTCCTTGAAACTGTTGAAGTCCTTGAAACTCTTGAAATCTTGAAACTGCTGAAATCCTTGAAACTGTTGAATCCTTGAAACTGTTGAATCATTGAAACTGTAGAAATGTCTGAAAGAGCTGAAGTCCTATTAAAATGCATGGGCCTATTAAAATGCATTGCAGAATTCTCAATGCAGATTTTTGTCCGATTGCGGAAAAACCGGAAATCGCTGAAGTCCCAAAAGTAATAGCAATAATCTCCCAAACATGTGGAACGTTTTGATGTATAACTTGTGGAAATTGTTGAAAATGTGAAAGCTGTGAAACGTGTCAAAAAAAATGACGGAATAAAGAAATACAAAACCAATGTTGACTGCGGAAGGTTCCGCAGTCAATCAATAATGAAAATATTGAAAATGCACAGTAGCTCGTGGAAGGTCGTGGGTTCAAGCCCACCATAAGACCTACATCACGACTCCACTCAAGCTGTCGTTGTGTCCGGCTAGACACTTAAACTTGCAATGATCCAGCTGTGGAAGCCAGGGCTGGGCTTGGAATGGGTGCATTGACTGCAATGGATTAAGGGAAAAAGGATGGATGATGGGAACTAGAAACTTGCAATGCTGAAGCCATTGCGATTGACTGCGGAACAGATCTAATGTGGAAATCTGCTAAAAAAAATCCTTGAAATCCTTTAAAAGGCCTTGAAACTGTTAAAATACTTGATAGATATTTGAAACTCCTGAAGTCCTTGAAATTGTTGAAACCTTTAAACTCCTGAAATCCTTGAAACTGTTGAAACATTGAAACTCCTGAAATCCTTGAAACTTTTTTTAAACCTGGAAACTGTTGAAAGTGTGGAAACTCCTGAAATCCTTGAACCTCCTGATATCCTTGAAACTGGTTAAATTCTTAAACAGTTGAAATCCTTGAAACTACTGAATGTATTGAAAGTGTCCTTGAAACTGAAAAATCCCCTCACCGCTGAAACAATTTGGTTCCTGTAACTAAGGAAACCTGGTCTGTGGTCATTATCTGGTGGTGGTCTGAGTCTTCGTTTGGGTCTTGGTCTGGTGGTATAATGCAACCTATTAGGTTGCATTATACTGGTTTACATGGAAAAATCCCTATTAGGTTGCATTATACTGGTTTACATGGAAAAATCCCTATTAGGTTGCATTATACTGGTTTACATGGAAAAATCCCTATTAAGTTGCATTATACTGGTTTACATGGAAAAATCTCTATTAAGTTGCATTATACTGGTTTACATGGAAAAATCCCTATTAGGTTGCATTATACTGGTTTACATGTACAAATCCCTATTAAGTTGCTTTATACTGGTTTACATGTAAAAACCCCTATTAGGTTACATTATACTGGTTTACATGTAAAAATCCTTATTAAGTTGCATTATACTGGTTTACATGTAAAAACCCCTATTAAGTTCCATTATACTGGTTTACATGTAAAAACCCCTATTAAGTTCCATTATACTGGTTTACATGTAAAAACCCTATTAAGTTGCATTATACTGGTTTACATGGAAAAATCCCTATTAAGTTGCATAATACTGGTTTACATGGAAAAATCCCCATTAAGTTGCATTATACTGGTTTACATGAAAAAAACCCTATTAAGTTGCATTATACTGGTTTACAAGGAAAAATCCCTATTAAGTTGCATTATACTGGTTTACATGGAAAAATCCCTATTAAGTTGCATAATACTGGTTTACATGGAAAAATCCCCATTAAGTTGCATTATACTGGTTTACATGTAAAAAACCCTATTAAGTTGCATTTATACTGGTTTACATGGAAAAATCCCTATTAAGTTGCATAATACTGGTTTACATGGAAAAATCCCCATTAAGTTGCATTATACTGGTTTACATGGAAAAAACCCTATTAAGTTGCATTATACTGGTTTACATGGAAAAAACCCTATTAAGTTGCATTATACTGGTTTACATGTAAAAACCCCTATTAAGTTGCATTATACTGGTTTACATGGAAAAATCCCCATTAAGTTGCATTATACTGGTTTACCATGAAAAAAAAACCCTATTAAGTTGCATTATACTGGTTTACATGAAAAAACCCTATTAAGTTGCATTATACTGGTTTACATGGAAAAATCCCTATTAAGTTGCATAATACTGGTTTACATGGAAAAATCCCCATTAAGTTGCATTATACTGGTTTACATGTAAAAAAACCCTATTAAGTTGCATTATACTGGTTTACATGGAAAAATCCCTATTAAGTTGCATTATACTGGTTTACATGGAAAAAACCCTATTAAGTTGGGCCATGGAGTATTTGTTGTTGTTTACATGGCTATTAATTGCATTTTATGGCATGTGTGGAGTTCATCTTTGTCAATGGGCGCATCAAGCATATCCCCACTGGTTTACATGAAAAAACCCTATTAAGTTTTGGTTTACATGGCCTTGTGAAAGTTTTGGAAGACTAATATTGTTTAGGAAAATGTTTATGTCTGATTGGACAGGTGTGTTCTTATGAGTAAAGTGCTGAATAAAATGTTTTAAATATATAGTTTATTTCCTCCGGTGATTGTGTTGGCTTCCCTGCTGAGTCCTCTATACTTACTATGGTTGATTTTTCTTTGTTTTGTTTTATTTGATTGGCTAGGTATTTCCCTGATTTATTATTGTGATTAAAATTTTCTTGCCGGAGTCGCTGAATCATAAATTGAGATTTTTTATTGGTGATGTTATTCAGTTTGTAGTTATAATGTCTTAATTCATCTTGTGTTTTTTCTGAAGGGTTGTTTGCATTATCGGTGTGTAGCTGTTTTATTTTTTGTTCTAATTGATTGACTGCGGAACCTTCCGCAGTCAACCATTGGTTTTGTATTTCTTTATTCCGTCATTTTTTTTGACACGTTTCACAGCTTTCACATTTTCAACAATTTCCACAAGTTATACATCAAAACGTTCCACATGTTTGGGAGATTATTGCTATTACTTTTGGGACTTCAGCGATTTCCGGTTTTTCCGCAATCGGACAAAAATCTGCATTGAGAATTCTGCAATGCATTTTAATAGGCCCATGCATTTTAATAGGACTTCAGCTCTTTCAGACATTTCTACAGTTTCAATGATTCAACAGTTTCAAGGATTCAACAGTTTCAAGGATTTCAGCAGTTTCAAGATTTCAAGAGTTTCAAGGACTTCAACAGTTTCAAGGACTTCAGCAGTTTCAAGGACTTCAGCAGTTTCAAGGACTTCAGCAGTTTCAAGGACTTCAGTGTAATCATGCAACCTAATAGGGATTTTTCCATGTAAACCAGTATAATGCAACTTAATAGGGATTTTTCCATGTAAACCAGTATAATGCAACTTAATAGGGTTTTTTCATGTAAACCAGTATAATGCAACTTAATAGGGTTTTTTTTCATGTAAACCAGTATAATGCAACTTAATGGGGATTTTTCCATGTAAACCAGTATAATGCAACTTAATAGGGGTTTTTACATGTAAACCAGTATAATGCAACTTAATAGGGTTTTTTCCATGTAAACCAGTATAATGCAACTTAATAGGGTTTTTTTCATGTAAACCAGTATAATGCAACTTAATGGGGATTTTTCCATGTAAACCAGTATAATGCAACTTAATAGGGGTTTTTACATGTAAACCAGTATAATGCAACTTAATAGGGTTTTTTCCATGTAAACCAGTATAATGCAACTTAATAGGGATTTTTCCATGTAAACCAGTACAATGCAACTTAATAGGGATTTTTCCATGTAAACCAGTATAATGCAACTTAATGGGGATTTTTCCATGTAAACCAGTATAATGCAACTTAATGGGGATTTTTCCATGTAAACCAGTATTATGCAACTTAATAGGGATTTTTCCATGTAAACCAGTATAATGCAACTTAATAGGGATTTTTCCATGTAAACCAGTATAATGCAACTTAATGGGGATTTTTCCATGTAAACCAGTATTATGCAACTTAATAGGGATTTTTCCATGTAAACCAGTATAATGCAACTTAATAGGGTTTTTTTCATGTAAACCAGTATAATGCAACTTAATAGGGTTTTTACATGTAAACCAGTATAATGGAACTTAATAGGGGTTTTTACATGTAAACCAGTATAATGGAACTTAATAGGGGTTTTTACATGTAAACCAGTATAATGCAACTTAATAAGGATTTTTACATGTAAACCACTATAATGTAACCTAATAGGGGTTTTTACATGTAAACCAGTATAAAGCAACTTAATAGGGATTTGTACATGTAAACCAGTATAATGCAACCTAATAGGGATTTTTCCATGTAAACCAGTATAATGCAACTTAATAGGGATTTTTCCATGTAAACCAGTATAATGCAACTTAATAGGGATTTTTCCATGTAAACCAGTATAATGCAACTTAATAGGGATTTTTCCATGTAAACCAGTATAATGCAACTTAATAGGGATTTTTCCATGTAAACCAGTATAATGCAACCTAATAGGTTGCATTATACCACCAGACCAAGACCCAAACGAAGACTCAGACCACCACCAGATAATGACCACAGACCAGGTTTCCTTAGTTACAGGAACCAAATTGTTTCAGCGGTGAGGGGATTTTTCAGTTTCAAGGACACTTTCAATACATTCAGTAGTTTCAAGGATTTCAACTGTTTAAGAATTTAACCAGTTTCAAGGATATCAGGAGGTTCAAGGATTTCAGGAGTTTCCACACTTTCAACAGTTTCCAGGTTTAAAAAAAGTTTCAAGGATTTCAGGAGTTTCAATGTTTCAACAGTTTCAAGGATTTCAGGAGTTTAAAGGTTTCAACAATTTCAAGGACTTCAGGAGTTTCAAATATCTATCAAGTATTTTAACAGTTTCAAGGCCTTTTAAAGGATTTCAAGGATTTTTTTTAGCAGATTTCCACATTAGATCTGTTCCGCAGTCAATCGCAATGGCTTCAGCCATTGCAAGTTTCTAGTTCATTTTGCTCCTGTTGTTCTTCTTTTTTTTTTATATGTTGAAAATGATATAATGATGATGCCAGGTGCCTTTTGGCAAACTCAAAACGAAGGAGCGGCTTCTGACTCTACCATACAGGCCTGATTTGTGGATTGCTGCGGAGATGGTTGTCCTTCTGGAAGGTTCTCCTCTCTCTACAGAGGAACACTGGAGGTCTGACAAAGTGACCATCGAGTTCTTAGTCACCTCCCTGACTAAGGCCCTTCTCCCTCAATCGCTCAGTTTAGATAGCTGGCCAGTTTCTTCCAGTTCAAACTTCTTCCATTTACGGATTCACTGTGCTCAATGGGACCTTCAAAGCAGCAGAATTTTTTCTGTACCCTTCCCCAGACTTGTGCCTCGAGACAATCCTGTTTCGGAGGTCTACAGACAATTCCTTTGACATGCACTGTCAACTGTGGCACCTTAAGTAAGTAAGTAAGTAATCTTTATTTATATACCGCCTTTAACAGACCACAGTCACAAAGCGGTTTACAATTGGTTTTTTTGGGGGCATTTGTCCACTCACTCCGCACAGAGGTGGGAGAATGGTCGCCAGTACAGGAGGCGCATGCACAGTCCTATTGTACATATTTTTTGTGGTAGGAGAAACCGGAGAACCCAGAGGAAACCTACGCAGACACGGGGAGAACATGCAAACTACACTGAGAAACTGAATTTACCACATGTCGACTCCAATTAAGCAGTAGAAGCATCTCAAGGATGATCCGTGGAAACTTACTGTATCTCACTGTATGTACATGTGATTTATTAGTTTTTTATTTGTAATACATTTGCAAAAAGCTCCCAAAAAAAGTGTTTTCACGTTGTCATTATGGGTTGTTGTGTGTAGAATTTTAAGGGGAAAAAAATGAATTGAATCTATTTTGGAATAATGCTGAAACATAACAAAAAGTTAAAAAATTGAAGCGCTGTGAGTACTTTCCGGATGCACTGTAGTGTGCATGCGTGCGTGTCATCAGGCCACAGGGCCCCCTGGTGCGCAGCCCCCCTGCGGTTCCCGTGCTCTCACCTGTGATTGAGGAGGAGTCCGCGCAGAGAGGAGCCGGGTCTGGTCTGGATCCTGCTGCTGCTGCTGCTGCTGCTACTGTTGCTGCTACTGCTGCTGGTGGTGGTGGTGCAGCTGCTGCTGGTGCTGTTGCTGCTGCTGCTGCTACTGCTGCTGCTACTGTTGCTGCTACTGCTGCTGGTGGTGGTGGTGCAGCTGCTGCTGGTGCTGTTGCTGCTGTTGCTGCTGCTACTGCTGCTGGTGCAGCTGCTGGTGCAGGACCATCGCGCACAGTGCGCTCACGCTCTGGCGTCATGATCATTAAGTGAAAGTGGTGGAAAGGCCGTGTTTGGGTAACCTCCTGCCCGCGGGCAGAGGGGCGGCTCTGGGGCCTCGGTCCCACAGTGTTAAAGCTGCGGGACCTGACTTTGGTTAAACAACACGTTTCACCAACGGAAAGTTACAGTGAGAGCAGAAGTCTGAGAGACTCATGGTCCTGGTCCGGAACCATGTGGCTCATGGGACCAGACACTCTGTGTCCTCTGTGTCTGTCTTTGTGTTTGTCTCTCTGTCTGTGTCTCTGTGTCTGTCTCTCTGTGTCTGTTCCTGATGGTTTTCTGTCTGCAGTCAGAAACAGCAGGAGGGTCTTAAAGGTGCAATACCCTGTGAGGACCTTGAGGTTAAAGAACGAGTCAGACGTGTTTCTCAAAGTGATCTTCATTGTCGTCAGTACAGCCTCGTTACAGTGGCCCCAAAACACAACAGACAGACAGTGCATCTAACAGAGGAGGTGCTACAGGCTGTGGGGTCCCTGTGGTCCAAGGTCCCTGTGGCCCCTGCGGTCTCTGTGGCCCCTGTGATCCAAGGTCCCTGTGGCCCCTGCGGTCTCTGTGGTCTTTAGTGGAGGCTGAGCAGAGAGAATGTCCAGGAGCCACGAGACTGGGACCAGGACCAGGACTGGGACCTGAAGTGTAGTTAAGATGATGTGATGTATTTTAATTATCTTTATCCTTTTACAAATATCATAAATATTTAATATATTTTACTTTCATTCACGACACCTGATTTAAGCTCAGTTTCTCCAATTGGTCTGAGGAGGGACTGGACCTGGTCTAAGGAGGGACTGGACCTGGTCTGAGGAGGGACTGGACCTGGTCTAAGGAGGGACTGGACCTGGTCTGAGGAGGGACTGGACCTGGTCTGAGGAGGGACTGGACTTGGTCTAAAGTGGGACTGGACTTGGTCTTGGGGTTCCACACTCTGAGGGTTTGTCATATAAAACACAATCGTCTGCTCAGATACATTCGGACAGCGCCCCCTTCTGGACTAAATAAATAAATAATTTTTACACAGTTTTTGTACAAAATCAAGAGAAATCTACAGAAAAACAAGATCATTCACAAAAGTACGATTCAGACGAATGTGGAGGAAGTATTGCTGACAGAAGAGTCCGGACCCACGGGTCTCAGGGGTCTGAGGGGTCTGAGGAGATCCCACTCTCAGGGAGTCCTGGTCTGAGTCTGAGTAGGTCCTGGTCTGAGGAGGTCCTGGTCTGAGTCAGAGTACGTCCCGGTCTGAGTCTGAGGTGGTCCTGGTCTGAGTACGTCCCGGTCTGAGGAGGTCCCGGTCTGTACGGTGTGCTGAGCCTGGAGACGCAGGGATCAGGGAGGGCTTATCTCAGAGGTCGGTTATCTAAGGAAACTGGCGGCCATGTTGCGTATTGTAAAAATAGGTCATGAAATGGATGGAGACCTGAGCCGCTCACACACACGGACAGACGCTCCCTGCTTTTATAGATAGATGTCATCTTAGGTGCATGATCAGAGAACAGAGTGAGACCAGAGAGAGAGACCAGAGATAGACCAGAAAGAGACTAGAGAGACGAGAGAGAGAGACCAGAGAGCGAGACCAGAGAGAGAGATCAGAGAGAGACCAGAGATAGACCAGAGAGAGAGAGCAGAGAGAGACCAGAGAGAGAGAGCAGAGAGAGACCAGAGAGAGAGACCAGAGAGACCAGAGAGAGACGAGAGAGAGAGAGACCAGAGAGAAAGATCAGAGAAAGGCCAGAGAGAGACCAGAGTGAGAGACCAGAGAGAGCCCTATGAGGCAGAATGTGAAGCTTTGGGCTGAGAGCTTAAAATTTCATTTTTGGTCTGAAAAAGGAGATGGAAAACGAGACAGAACTCCTCTTTAAGGTTGTTCCTATTTTCCCATTGGAACTGTGCCCCCTGCAGGTGAGAGATCCCTCAGACCTCTACTAACCAGGGCAGGGCCTGGTTAGTACTGTGATGGGAGACCTCTGGGAACAGCAGGTGCCACAGTGGGGCGGCTGCAGCTGTAAAGTTCCAAACTGTGGTTGTGTCCTTTGGCAAGACACTTCACCCACATTAGAATGAGTCTGGTGTGTGTGCGAATGTTTGGTGGTGGTGGGAGGGGCTGATGGCACAGACTGGTTGCCTCGCTTCTGTCAGTGTGCCCCAGGGCAGTTGTGGCTACAGCAGAAGTGAATAATGACATGTGAAGCGTCTGTCCAGAAAGTGCTGCATTTAAAACCAAAGCATTATTATTATTATTATTATTATTGACATTTCCAGATAACCCCTGCAGCTCACTGAGGTGAATGCAGAAGCTCTTCCTGGTCCCTGGTGCGTCTCAAAGGGGGGTCCCCTCTGCTACAGTGTTCTCAAACACTACAGAAATATCCAGACGTATATTTAATATATATATAAAAACATCATAGTACTTAGAGTAGAGTAGTAGAGTAACAAGTAAGAAGAACATATTGTACTTTCCATCTGGTCCCAGTGGGCCCTCAGTGGGGCCTCAGTGGGCCCTCAGTGGGCCCTCAGTGGGGGGAGCTGGCCTGTGTCCTTCAGTTCATATTCCATATTTCATATTTACAGCCCGTGCCCAGTCTGGGGGCCCCTGTGTGGAAGTGGTCCCTCTGGAGGGTTGTGCTATAGTGGGTCAGGGGCCTCAGTCCTCTCTGTGGGGGCCTCAGTCCTCTCTGTGGGGCCTCAGTCCTCTGTGGGGGCCTCAGTCCTCTCTGAGTCTGAGTCTGGGATTTAAATCAGACTGAGATGAACACTGAGTCCCCTCACAGCAAGGCCTGGTCTGGGTTGGACTGTAGTGGACTGGTCAGACCACTGCTCTGGTTCCAGGACTGGAGCACTTTCACACAGGCCCCTGCTCTCCCTCCTCCCCCTCCTCCCTCCCCCCTCCCCCCTCCCCTGGGCCTCTAGGTGGTGCTCTCGGTGGCGGTGGTTGGCGCCCGGGGCGGGCTCAGGCCTCGCTGCAGGTTCCTCTGGTTCTGAGCAGCGTCTGTGATCATCTGCAGGCGCCGCTCCTGATGTTCCTCCAGACCTCGCCACAGCTCTGCTCGCTCTCGCTCACGCTTCACCTCCCTGCAGGGGGGTAGAGGAGGGGGCTGGGGGTTAGATCCGGGCTTTAGGTGCTATGTGACTGCAGCATGTGAGCTTGGGCACGATAGCCTCAACCGCGCCCAGGCCGGCTTGAAGACTTGGACCCGCTTTGTAAAGCCCAGATGAGGGGGGTCAGTGTGGCGGGTGCTGGGGACTTGATATTGTGCGTCACATTACGTCTTCCGTTGTGATGTGCATTTTCACACACGTCTCTGCACTTTTGTATTCTCCGCTTGTGATAAACATTTCATTTAAGCCCCGGGCCGTGGTCGAGGGGCGCAGGGTGGTGTATCGCTCCAGGGCCAAAGAAAAGCGTTTTCTACGGGAATAACTCCCTCTGTTCTGACCCTCGCTCTCAGTGTGGTGCTGTTGCAATAATACTTCACACATTCAAGAATCAGTCTTTAATTAATCGACTGATTCTTGAATGCCAGAGCAACTGTGCTGTAGTACAGCTGGTGGCACTAATATTAACTTCAGCGACAACCTTGTTGTCCTGGTTGAGTTTCCGTTTCTCTTCCTGTTTACATTCTGCTACTGCAGCTAAAAGCTACTGCAGCTAACAGCTCAGTACGGATCGTGTCGTTTAGGGAAAGACACATCTCACACTTGTCCACATTGCTCTGATGCAAAGTGCTGCAGTTCAGTGGGTGTGTGTGTGTGTCTGTATGTGTGTGTGTGTGTGTGTGCGTGTCTGTATGTGTGTGAGCGTGTGTGTGTCTTACTTCTGTTTCTCTTGTTTATATGACGCTGTGAGGTCGTCAAACAGTTTGCTGTTCATCTCCATGAAGGTCTTCAAAACATTGTAGATCAGGGACACGATGGTCCTGAGGGAGAGCACAGGGACTGAGAGAGCACAGGGACTGAGAGAGCACAGGGACAGGGAGAACACAGGGACTGAGAGAGCACAGGGACTGAGAGAGCACAGGGACAGAGAGAACACAGGGACTGAGAGAGCACAGGGACTGAGAGAACACAGGGACTGAGAGAGAGCACAGGGACAGAGAGAACACAGGGACTGAGAGAGAGCACAGGGACTGAGAGAACACAGGGACTGAGAGAACACAGGAACTGAGAGAACACAGGGACAAAGAGAGCACAGGGACTGAGAGTCTCACTGGTTCCAGTGCTCCTTGGAGACCCTGTAGAGTGTGGAGAAGACCAGGGGCAGGATCACGGCACAGTTCTCCTCGATCAGACTCAGAATGTACTCATTATTCCAGAAGTACAAGGCTCTCTCTGCAACCTACACACACAGAAACACCCACAGACATACAGACACACACACGAACACATACACACACATACACACACACAGGCGATCAGGAAACAGTTATTATGTTGTAATTCCACGTGTGTGTGTGTGTGTGTGTGTTTGTGTGTGTGTGTACCTGGAAGTGTGGGCTGGAGATACAGGCAGCGATCTGTCTGAACAGAGGCTCCTGGACCCTCACAAACTGAGACGGTTCAATGACGTCTAAGATCTCCTCCACCTCCCCCAGGAACATGACCTGTGCCAGGAGACCAGAGTGAGACCAGAGGGGGACCAGAGAGAGATTAGAGAGAGACCAGAGAGAGACCAGAGAGAGACTAGAGAGAGACCAGGTGGAGCTCACCTCCTTCTGGGTGCAGGTCTTGGGCCAGTACTTGAGTAAACCTCTGATGATCTGCAACAACACATTCAGGAGGTTCTTTATCAAAACACCCAAACACACCAGGGGCCACACCAGGGGCCCACACCAGGGTTCACACCAGGGGTGGAGCTGGTTGTTGGGGGCCTCTGGAGGACACAGACTGAGGCCTTGTTCAGCCGGAGACGCTCCAAAGTAATGAACAAAATCGACCAGGCTTCGTATTCATAGCGTTTACACTTCATAGTCTGCCTCAGTCGGTCTCCTTCTGGTCTGCCTCAGTCGGTCTCCTCCTGGTCTGCCTCAGTCGGTCTCCTCCTGGTCTGCCTCAGTCGGTCTCCTTCTGGTATGCCTCAGTCGGTCTCCTTCTGGTTTGCCTCAGTCGGTCTCCTCCTGGTCTGCCTCAGTCGGTCTCCTTCTGGTATGCCTCAGTCGGTCTCCTTCTGGTTTGCCTCAGTCGGTCTCCTTCTGGTCTGCCTCAGTCGGTCTCCTCCTGGTCTGCCTCAGTCGGTCTCCTTCTGGTCTGCCTCAGTCGGTCTCCTCCTGGTCTGCCTCAGTCGGTCTCCTTCTGGTATGCCTCAGTCGGTCTCCTTCTGGTTTGCCTCAGTCGGTCTCCTCCTGGTCTGTCTGGGGCAGGTCTAGGGCAGGTCTGAGGCAGGTCTGGGTCTGGGCCCCAGGGGTCTCCATGTTTCTGTTTGAGCCGCAGTAAATGATAATGTTCTTTCATGAGGTCATGTTTGTGTGTCATAGTTACAGCACACCTCCTCCTGTGTGTGTGTGTATCTGTGTTTGTATCTGTGTGTGTGTGCGTGTGTGTGTGTGTATCTGTGTGTGAGTGTGACTCACGTATTCGGTGACGGTAGCGTCCTTCTCCATGAACTGCACCACGCAGTAGGCGAGCTGAGGAGACAGGTTGCCGCGGTACAAACATTAAAACATTTTTCTCTTTTAGACCAATTAAAACATTATGAGGAAGTGCTGCACGCGCTTAGTGGACCCCGTGTGTAGCGGCTTACGCGGTTAGCGGCTAACACGGCCCTGTGGGGACATGTCTCACCCTGTCGTTAAGATAAGATAAACTTTATTGATCTCACAAAGACGAACCCGCTCCTGTGTGAGGGAGGTGTGTTGTTGGGGGGAGGGGAGTGTTGCTGTGGATACCGGGACTGTTTACTTCAGAAGGAGTGATGTCACACACGTGCAGAGCCCAGGGGCCTGTCGGCCACTGCAATTAGACTTTCACTTTAACTCCACACACACATGCTGGCCTGCCAGGCTTTAGGAGGACTGTGCTTCACACACACACACTGGCCTGCCAGGCTATAGGAGGACTTTGCTTCACACACACATACCGGCCTGCCAGGCTTTAGGAGGACTGCGCTTTTACTTGAACCCAAACTTAAATAAACAGGAGATGATGAAATTGTGGATTCTTTGTTGGTTTTAATTCGTAAAGATGAGAACATTTACTGTAAGGTTTAAAGGCCTGTGTACACTCGCATGGCGATGGTTGCGGTTGCGGTTACGTTGGACCTACATAACCACAGTTGGTGGTACACTTACGCTTCCCCTTACGGAATTTTGAAGAGAATGTTGTAATCCCACAACCAACTACATGATGGCGAACTCACAGGAGTTGCTTGAGAAACCAAAGCGGTCCCATTTACGCTGCTACTATCTCCTCTTCAGAACAAAAACATGAGCAAACCAAACTGTTCTACTACTGTAGGTTTATGTGACAGTTCTAAACTCATCGTTTCAACTCATTTAACTGTGATGTTGTGAATGACACAGTTCTTGTTGGAAACATAGTTATTATTAAATTGTATTCAGCAGAAAAACAATAAGTGGAAAATATCTGAGACAAACATGAACTATTTACAAGTGCAGGAGGAATGCAACAGACACGATAAGCTACGATTCAAACAAAGACAGGAACAGAGCAAATGAAACGACTGCACAGTTTATAAGTTATATATATGTTAGAAATACAACAGAACTCTAGTCCACAGTCTCCGCGTTTATCAGGCTCTGCCATGAGCTCAAACTGCTTTTCCTTCCGTTCCTTCGAAGCGCGAAGCAGTCTGCTCCGAAGTGCCTCGTCCATGTTCCTGCAGCCGCTCCATGCCCAGAAAGTAATCACATACGGACCAATCACAGCGGAGCTTCTCTGCGGTGACCCTTGCGTAGTTAGACATTTTCGAGGGTGCGCGGCAGGCTACGTAAGGGCCTTGCTGTAATCCACGCGTTGCGCAAGTGACGTCACGTTACCACCGTAAGCTCCGCACCGCACGACTATACACTAGGCTTAACACAGACGTTGAATTTCTCCATTGTGAAATAACAAAGTACGTCTCATCTCTCAATGATTCTCCATCATTAAAATGGAACATGTGCAAAAATATGGAGCTATTGTTGTTTCAATAATATTTGTGCGTGCGTAAACAGATTTTTTGTGTGCGTTAAAAGATTTGTGCGTTTGTAACCAGATTTGTGTGTGTGTAACCAGATTTGTGTGTGTGTAAAAAGATTTGTGTGTGTGTAAAAAGATTTGTGTGTGCGTAAAAAGATTTGTGCGTGCGTAACTAGATTTGTGTGTGTGTAGAAAAAATATTTGTGCGTGTGTAAATAGATTTGTGTGTGTGTAGAAAAAATATTTGTGCGTGTGTAAATAGATTTGTGTGTGTGTAGAAAAAATATTTGTGCGTGTGTAAATAGATTTGTATGTGCGTAACAAGATGTTGTGTGTGCGTAACTAGATGTGTGTGTGTGTAAAAAAAAAAAAGGTACATTTCAGACACAAGTCTTTTTTATACGCACAAATCTTTTGACGCAGTCCTGCCTTTCGCAGATTCATACGTGTATCTTGGACTGTGTGCAGGTGTACCCAGATTTGTGTGTGTGTAATTTGACATTTGTATCTGTAACAGAACAATCTGTGTGTAAATAACCACCTTGGGAGAAGAGAAGAAGTGCTTTTACGCACAGGCTCTCATTTTACACACAAATCGCTTTTGACACACTTCTGCCACTTAGCGTGTGTCAAAAGAGATTCGTAAGTGTAATGTGGTTGTTCTAGCACTATACCAGCAGATGGTGCTGTTGTAGCTGGTTTTTACCATAGACTGTATGTATTAACGGACAGAGTCACACCTATCTCCGCCGTTCTAAATAATGGGCCAAAAAATGTGCTCTACCAGAGCTATCCAAAATGGCCGCGAGTGGTCCCGCCCACAAGAAAATTGTGAAAAAATGCATCTGCGCATGCGTCAGCTGACGAGAGCTCCATTCAATGCTCCACAGTAAGTAAACTAGAGTGGTCCAAAAAAATTCACCCCCCTCAGCATTGACACACATTTGGCTTTGGGCCAAGAGCCAGCTTTTGGTCCATCCTGTAAAGACGCTTTCGAGAGGTCTGCCAATGCTATATTTTAGCATTGGCTAATTCTTATTCTGGGTCCACCCCCATCGGCCCGGGGTGGTATTGCAAGCATGTCAGCGCACGTCATTTTGGCCACTTTTGAGCCAGGACCCGCCCCCACTGGTTTTTACACGCAAGTAAACCAAAACCTACCGTCCAGATACACTGCCTCAGCTGTTTATGTTTGTTTTTAAATTCAAAATCCTGTCATTCACATCACTGTATGATACATGGATCTATTATATTAACTGGATAGGGTATTTACCAGCTTGGAGCAGAAGAACCAATGTCCTTTAGTACTGCAGACTAAACAAGACTAAATTCACGTGGGCTACCTGGAGATTATCCCCATAGAACTCAATGAAAACTAAAACAGCTCGAGGTCAGCTGACAGAGAACCACACTTTGACAGTGAGGGTCAAACTGAGAAGGGGGTTACGCCCCAGAGGAGCGTATCCATTTGGCCCTGGAGCAGCGAATCTCCAGTGCTAACAATCAATACACATTGTTCAATGTCTTAATACAGTAGTAGCTTTTCAGAAGACTGGTAGATTTTATTAGCATTCTGATTGTATTGTATGATAGTAGTCCCTTTCTTAAACTGCTGCATACAACCAGGCCCCGTCGATCCAAGATGGCGCCCTATTCAAATAAATGGTTGTGCTCAGTGGCGCTTTGTGACGGCATGGGCGCTGAAAGATTAGCGGAAGTCGTCTGGAACTCGCAAAGATCTATGGGAAACTCGCCTGTATTTGGGCATCGTCTGGTCCTCCCGGTTCTGCGCAGTGGATGATCTCCCATAATGCGTTGCGTCAAACACGCGTGTGTGGGTCTCACACCGGGTCTCACGCACGTGCACAGAGGGGCTCGGCCACGCTCTGACCAATCAGAGCAGTTCATCAGAGCGGGAGTTAGAGCGAGAGCCAGACGAGCAGAGTTTGTGGCACTGAAGTGTGGATTTAAACAAAACCGAAGGATTTAAGAAAAAAAAAAGTTCAGGATGACAAGGGACACTAAAATCCCCACAAAAGCTGACCTTTATTAAAGCTGTAGGTTCTCTGTCAGCTGAGGTCGAGCTGTTTTAATATACATTGAGTTCTATGGGACTTTTTTCTGGGTAGCCCACGTGAATTTAGTCTGCAGTACCACGGGCGCCCCCTGTGTCCATGGGTGGGACAGCTTTAAGCTAGTAATACCCTATCCAGTTATTATTATAGATCCATGGTAAAAACCAGCTACAACAGCACCATCTGCTGGTATAGTGCTAGAACAACCAAATTGCACTTACTAATCTCTTTTGACACACGCGGCAGAAGTGTGTCAAAAGTGATTCGTGTGTAAAACGAGAGCCTGTGCATAGCACTTTAGGCTTTCCATTCTTCTCTTCTCACAAGGTGGTCATTTACACACAGATGGTTCTGTTACAGATACAAATGTCAAATTACACACACACAAATCTGGGTACACCCGCACACAGTCCAAGATACACTTACGAATCTGCGAAAGGCAGGACTGCGTCAAAAGATCTGTGCGTAAAAATAGACTGTACGTAACAAGACACAAATCTATTTACACATGCACAAATATTTTTTCTACACCCACACAAATCTAGTTACGCACGCACAAATCTTTTTACGCACACACAAATCTTTTTACACACACACAAATCTGGTTACAAACGCACAAATCTTTTTACGCACACACAAATATTATTGAAACAATAATAGCTCCATACAAAAAGGTGAAACAGTGCATGTGAACCCATGCTCGTGCATGTGTCAGGGAGACGCGATCAAAGAGATACTGCAGCCAATCAGCTGCCACGTCTGACGGTGTGACATGTGTTTAAACAGAGACCCAGGAACACAGTGTGATTATAAATCATCACCATTAGAGACAAAGGAGATCATAGTAAACATGTAGGTGTTGGACTCTAACTTTGATGGTGCTCTAAGATCTACAGGTGTGGTTGCGGTCGTCATGGTGACACCAGTGTGAGAGCCCCAGTGTGAGCTTCACCATCAACATCTGAGGAGAAGAGCAATGCTGCCCCCTGCTGGCCACACACACACACACACACACACACACACACACACACACACATACACAGACAAACACACTGCACCAGGGAAAAACCAACAGGCCACACAGGCCCCTGGAACTGTGTGTCTGTCTTTCTGTGTGTGTGTCTCACCTGTGCATGGAAGATGGACAGAGACTTGGCGGTGTGGAGCGGGATCAGGACTCGGACCAGGAACTGTTTGTGTTCTGCCTTCAGAGGCAGAGCGAAGCCATTTATGATGCTGCAACACAACAGGAGAGAGATGACAACACAACAACACAACAGGAGAGACGTGACAACACAACAGGATTAAGTGGGAACGTGTGTGTGTGTGTGTGTGTGTGTGTTGTTACCTGCCCAGTATCTCCAGCAGCTCAGCTACTCCATTGAAGTGTTCAGTTTCATAAATGAACCTGAGAAAAACTTTATTTTAATACGTTTCCTTCACTTCTTATTATTGCAGATGTTTGACCATGAGTACCATGTGTACCATGAGTACCTTATGTACCATGAGTACCATGTGTACCATGAGTACCATGAGTACCATGTGCACCATGAGTACCATGTGTACCCTGTGTACCATGAGTACCATGTGTACCATGTGTACCATGTGTACCATGTGTACCATGTGTACCATGTGTACCATGTGTACCATGAGTACCTGAGGAAGATGTTGTTGATCTGTTTGCGGATGTAGGCTCTCAGTCCGAGCAGTTTGCCGTAAACTCTGTGGAGGATGGTCTTCAGGTACTCCCTCTCCCGGGGGTCCTCACTGTCAAAGAGCTCCAGCAGCTGAGGGGGAGGAGGGGGAGAAGAGGAGCACGTTAGAGGATGATTTATAAACAGTCTATGTTTAAATAAAACACAATGTTGTCCATGATGTCATAGTCTGAACATTCATCATGACGAGTTTGAAACAGGAACCTCTTCACAGAAAGGCTGGGTGTGTGTGTGTGTGTGTGTGTCTCTGTGTGTTTGTGTGTGTGTGTTACCTGCAGGACAAACTTCTGGTCCACGTAGCGTTTGGCCATAGACGGCTGGAAGTCTGGACTCTCCAGGAACCGCAGGAAGAACTCATACACCAGCTGCACACAAGGGGGCAGAGGTCGTACCAGGGGTCATAGGTCGTACCTGGGGTCAGAGGTCATACCTGGGGTCGGAGGTCGTACCTGGGGTCAGAGGTCGTACCTGGGGTCAGAGGTCGTACCTGGGGTTGGAGGCCATGCCTGGGGTCGGAGATTGTACCTGGGGTCGGAGGTTGTACCTGGGGTCAGAGGATTTACCTGGAGGTGGGGCCATGAAGCCTCCAGTGTGGGCTCGTCCTCCTCTGGGTCAAATTCAGGGTTCTCACTCGGAGGAAGGGTCCGGAAGATGTTCACCGAGATCTGAGACAATGGTACAGATGTAAACATACTGCTGCTAATGTACAGATTAGCAGTAGAGCTAAACAAAGCTCTTAGGATTGTTAATGACTCTTCTGGCCACCCTGGGAAAGCCATGTTCCAGCTTCTTCCCTCTGGCAGAAGATATCGCTCTCTGAGATGCAGGACATCTCGTTACGCTAACAGTTTTTATCCACAAGCTGTTATCAGTGTGAACAGAGCACTTTAATGATATGCACTTGTTTTGAAACTGTTTTAGTCGATCTATTTCACAGTGACATTTGTTTACTGTTTTGTTTGTTTTATTTCTGTCTTTTAATGTGGTTTTATGTCTGTATTTGTCTGTGCACACTGGTGACTTTTTGCTAATGTATTCCAATGTGTTTTTTTTTTTACTGCAAATGGCAAATAAACTGAATCTGAGATGCTAACATATTGCTGCTAATGTACAGATGTAAACATATTGCTGCTAATGTACAGGTGTAAAAATACTGTTGCTAATGTACAGGTGTAAAAATACTGTTGCTAATATACAGGTGTAAACATACTGCTGCTAATGTACAGGTGTAAAAATACTGTTGCTAATGTACAGGTGTAAACATACTGCTGCTAATGTACAGGTGTAAACATACTGCTGCTAATGTACAGGTGTAAACATACTGCTGCTAATGTACAGATGCTAACATACTGCTGCTAATGTACAGATGCTAACATACTGCTGCTAATGTACAGATGTAAACATCCTGCTGCTAATGTACAGATGTAAACATACTGCTGCTAATGTACAGATGCTAACATACTGCTGCTAATGTACAGATGTAAACATACTGCTGCTAATGTACAGATGCTAACATACTGCTGCTAATGTACAGATGTAAACATACTGCTGCTAATGTACAGATGCTAACATACTGCTGCTAATGTACAGATGTAAACATACTGCTGCTAATGTACAGATGTAAACATCCTGCTGCTGATGTACAGATGTAAACATACTGCTGCTAAAATGTACAGATGTAAACATACTGCTGCTAATATGTGCAGATGTAAACATAATGCTGCAAATGTACAGATGTAAACATACTGCTGCTAATGAACAGATGTAAACATACTGCTGCTAACATGTACAGATGCTAATATATAACTACACTTTGCTTGCACTACAATACAGGGATCAAGAGTTCCGAGCTTCCGGCTCGACTGCACGGCATTGTGGGTAGTATTCTCAAAAAAGTAGGCATAAACTCACGCTCTCCTATTAGATTACCTGTTGTGAGCGCGATCTGTATCTCGTTTTTCCAGCCCATTGATTGTTTTAAAAAAAATCACCAATTTCAGACACTTAGGTAAGGTAAAGATTTTTTCATGTAACAAAAAAGCAAGGCATTTATTTTCTTGTGGTTTTAGATGTAAACACAACCGACTGACTATAGAGTTACACGCAGCTTTTGGTACTTACGAGGATCGAATGCTTACACACAAGCTTTATAAACTTGCCCAAAGCTGTACTTTGGACATATTTGTCTGGTGTGGAGCTTCTGAATGTAGAGAAGGCCAAATACCTGGGGCACGTAATCAGGAGTGACCTCAGTGAAGACGATGACATTCAGAGGCAGTACTGTAAGCTGTATGGACAGGCTAACACTTAAGCACGGAGATTTCACATGTGAACAGATAAAGTGAGAATAACTTTGTTTCAAGCCTACTGCACACCTTTGCTTTGGGCAAGTTTATAAAGCTCGCGTGTAAGCATTCGATCCTCGTAAGTACCAAAAGCTGCGTGTAGCTCTATCATCAGTCGGTTGTGTTTACATCTAAAACCACAAGAAAATAAATGCATTGCTTTATTGTTACATGAAAAAATCTTTACCTTACCTTCTAAATGTCTGAAATTGGTGATTTTTGTAGCGATTAAAACAATCAATGGGCTGGAAAAACGAGAGACAGATCACGCTCGCAACAGGTAATCTAATAGGAGAGCGTGAGTTTATGCCTACTTTTTTGAGAATACTACCCACAATGCCGTGCAGTCGAGCCGGAAGCTCGGAACTCTTGATCCCTGTATACACAGTACTTTATACTTGACTCTTATTTTGCCAAATGTAAAGCTTTTACACTTCTTTTATTATTATTTTCAAGGTAGAGATTTTATACTTATTGATGCTAGAGTTAGAGATTTTGTAGTATAGCTATTGTTCACTTAATTTGTGCTGGGTGCTCCTCTTTCCTACTGTTCTATAATTTGTGATGCAACACTGAAATTTCCAGGATCTCTTAATCTTAATCTTAAGTGTGTGTGTGTTGTGTTACCATCTTGATAGCCTCTGGGTAGAGTGGTTTTATGAGGACCCCTCTGTGTGTGTGTTGTGTTACCATCTTGGTAGCCTCTGGGTAGAGTGGTTCTATGAGGACCCCTTTGTGTGTGTGTCTGTTACCGATGTAATCCTCATAAATTTCCGTGGTTAAAATAATTTTAAATGATATAAGAAAATATATAAACATTTGTGACGTCACGTGATTGTTACCTGTGTGCATCCGGTTCTGCATGCTCTCAGCCAATCACGCTGCGGGATCACCAATACATGCTTCCTGCTCCCTCTCTCCGACAGAGAGGTGGGAGAGAGGCAGCAGGACAGTCACAACAGGAAGCTCAAACCGCCGTACGCTTCGAGCATTGACGGGTTCTCGCTGCGCTGTGTAATTGAGTGGAAATTGGCCAGGTTTGCCCTGTCGGGTACAAACGCGATGGCGAGCTGAGCCCTGAGCTTTAAAGCATCGAGAAACGGCAACTGTTCCTTCTGCGGTCTGGTAGGAGAGCCGTTGTGGCTGTCTACTCCCACCTTTTTCAGTTTTCTCTGGTGAATGAACTTTATGAACTTTATGACGTGTTGGATCGTCTCTAAACATGTTTCATATGGACATTAACTTATCTCGCTTTGTATTGGACCTTTTATCTCGCCCGATTGTGAACACCTGTCTGAATTTGAGTGTTGTTTTTGTTATTGTTTTTTCCTGTTCCGAACCCATGTGCACTTAGAAAGTCTGCAGACTATACGTATTGTATATATATATCTCACTGTAAATTATATATTTCCACTTAATAATTATAAGGCTTTGCGCCGCTAAGCTGAAACTCGTGCGTCGTGCCTGTTACTGTCCCTGCACCTCCCAGAGCCGTACTTAGCTTCTGACCTAGTCCAACTTGATCCAATCTCTATATATGCAACACCATCTTGATAGCCTCTGGGTAGAGTGGTTCTATGAGAACCCCTCTGTGTGTGTGGGTGTGTGTGTGTTGTGTTACCATCTTGATAGCCTCTGGGTAGAGTGGTTCTATGAGGACCCCTCTGCTCGTGGCCACACTTTCCACCAGTTCGTTGAGAGCAGCTCGTTTGATCTCTTTCCCTTTGAGGTCGGCCACACAGTCCAGGAAGTCAAACAGGACACAACACTGCTGCAGCTTCTTACAAAACAGCTCATGCAGGTCTGCCACCGGGGCATCTGGGGTAGACAGAGGGGAGACAGGGTTAGAGGGGGGGGAGGAGGGAGGAGACAGGGGGGAGACAGGGTTAGAGAGGGGGGAGGAGGGGGGAGACGGGTTAAAGCGGGGGAGGAGAGGGGAGACAGAGGGAAGACAGGGGTTAGAGGGGGGAGGAGGAAAAAGGGAGGAGAGGGGGAGAGAGGAGAGGAGGAGAGATAGAAGGAGAGAGGAGTGTTACAGACACACACACACACACACACTGTTACAGACACACAACACACACACTGTTACAGACACACAACACACACACTGTTACAGACACAAACACACACACACACACACACTCAGAGAGTGGGCTCGGATGGATGACTCACAGGACAAATATAACACTATTTCCATATTTATGTTCTTTCACTGAGGAGGAGACAGGAGCCTATAGAGGGAGAGCCCACCCTCAGGAGAGGGAGAGCCCACCCTCTGAGAGCCCACCCTGTGTCCGAGTCACGAGAGAAACCTGAGAACGACAACAACAACAAAGCCATGACCTGGGCCTTTCTGAGGGAGCTGCATGTTTTCATACAGTTTACTTTTGTCCTTGATCCTATACTTTAGTAAGGACCTGAACAGGCACCAAAAGGAGGGAGCACATAACTCCAGAGTTAAAATGACTGGCTCCTGTGTGTGTCAAAATGTACAGTCCTGGGTCTACAGCCTCAGTCCTGGGTCTACAACTGTGTGGTTTAGAGCGTTACACAAAAACATTTAACTGAATTGGCTGCGGTCACATGCACAGCCTAAAGCCCAGTTCTTGTGGGCCAGGGCCCACTTCTCAATTAGATCCGAGCTTTAGGTCCCATGTGGGCTTGAGCACGATTCCTGCAATCGTGCTCAAGCCCGGTTCAAGACTTGGGTCAGAGCACACTTCGCAGCGCGGATGAGGGGGGTCAGTGTGGCGGGTGGTGGGGATTTGATGTTGTGCGTCACGTTACGTCTTCCATTTTCACACACTCTCCCTGCACTTTCGCATTCTCCGCTTGTGTTAAACATTTCATATAAGCCCCGGACCGTGATCGAGGGGCGCAGGGGACCGTGGTTGAGGGGCGCAGGGGGGTGTGTCGCTGCAGGGCCAAAGGGAAGAGTTTCCTACGGGAATAACTCCCTCTGTTCTGACCCTCGCTCTCACAGTGATTGCAATGATACTTCAGACATTCAAGAATCAGTCTTTAATTAATTGCCAGAACACACCAACACACACTTGTATCCAGCATGGCACCGGTCGCTCTGCTCGTACTCCACACTTTTCATTCTTTCATTCTCATTCATTCATTTCCCAGCGCTCTTACGCTCGTTACTTAAGAGCGTAAGAGCGCACACACACGTTACCCACTGAACTGCTGCACTATGCATCAGAGCAATGTGGACAAGTGTGAGATGTGTCTTTCCCCTAAACAATGAGATCCATACTGAGCTGTTAGCTGCAGTAGCTTTTAGCTGCAGTAGCAGAATGTAAACAGAAAAAGGAACGGAAACTCAACCAGGACAACGAGGTCGTCGCTGGAGTTAGTATTAGCGCCACCAGCTGGACCGAGTGTTGTACTACAGCACAGTTACACTGGCACATTTGTGAATACACGTTCATGTGACCGCGGGCCGTTTTCACACCCCTGTGGCAACGATCCGGGCCACTTGGCCTAGTTTGCTTGTAAAAACCTATGTGACCGTGCCCTAGGTTAATAGAAGCAGACAGAGTTGGAACAAAACTTCACCATGAGCACTTTCCTATTGGACATCATTGAGCTAGCGTGTTAGCATTGTCCATCTGTATACAGTCTGTGTTAGCATTAGCATCTGTATACAATCTCTAGGACATAGCTGCGTGTGACTGGTGACATTATTGTTGATTAGAAAAGGTGAAACACAGACACAGATTCAGAGGGAACAGAGGAATACACACACACAAACACACACAGACACACACACAGACACACACACAAACACACACACACACACACACAGCGGCACAGTGGCTGAGTGGTTAACACTCTTTCTTCTCATCAAGAAGGTCCTGGATTCAAATCCCGGTTGGTTTCCTCCGGGTGCTACGGGTTCCCCTCCCACTAAACACAGCTCTGGTCCTGACCCAGAGCAACAACATCTGGACTAAGGCTCAATGCAGAGGACAAAGATCTCACACACACTGACACACACAAACACACATACACACACACACACAGACAGACACACTCACACACACACACATACACACACACATACACACACACACACACACACTCTCTCTCTCTCTCACCCTTCAGCAGCGGCAGAGGGGTGAGTTCCACCTGGGAGCTCTGGTAGCGGAACTGGGAGGAGCTGTGGGACCTCCGCTGCCGGGCCCTGCGCATGGACCTCCGCGGGAAACCGTCTACCTTCTCCGCAGAGGGAACCGTGAAACCCGCGGTGGGAGAGGAGGGGCTGGGGGGAAGCTTGGTCTCCATGGTTAGATGAGAGCACTGTCAGGGAGGAGGAGCGGGAGGAGGCCGGGAGGCTGATACTGATGCTGATGCTGATGTCCGGTGGCCCGTAGGTGCGGTGCTGTCACAGGCCCCCGGGCGCAGGCCGCATCCCGCTGTCACTGAGCAGTTACCGCTGAACACTCGGTGCTACGTCATGGGCCTCGTGCACACGGAGCACGGGCAGCGCCTTTATCACTAAACAGAATCACGAAAAGAGCGGGGAACTGATGGATCCTACCGTCACAGCACACCGCATCCCGAGCCCGGCCAGAGCCTGCGCTCCTCTCCTCCTCCTCAGTCTCCTCCTTCTCAGTCTCCTCCTCTGTATCCTTCTCAGTCTTCTCCTCAGTCTCCTCCGTGTCCTCAGTATCCTCCTCCTCTATCTTCCCGTATCCTCTGTATCCTGCTTCAGGGCGGGGGCTGCGTGCACGTGCCCTCCGTGTGGACAGAGGGACAGTCTCCGGTGAACGGTCCGCTGTCTCCGTGTCCGGTGTCTCAGCAGTTTGTCAAAACAAAGACGGTGCACGGAGCGCAGCGGAAGTAACGGAGATACTTTTCACAATAAAACTATCATTGATGAGGAGGAGGAGGAGAGGAGGTGGAGGAGAGGAGGTGGAGGAGAGGAGCTGGAGGGGGAGGAGGAGGGGAGGAGGGGGGGGGAGGAGAAAAGGAGGAGGAGGAGAAGAGGAGGTGGAGGGGGAAGGAGGAGGAGGAGGTGTAGAAGAGGAGGAGGAGAGGAGGTTTCCCCTGCCACTAAAAACATGCACAATAGGTGTGAATGTAGTAGAGTAGAGTAGAGTAGGGTAGGGTAGGGTAGGGTAGAGTAGAGCAGAGTAGAGTAGAGTAGGGCAGGGTAGGGTAGAGTAGGGTAGAGTAGAGTTGGGCAGGGTAGGGTAGTAGTAATAGTAGTAATGTTTATTTATATACCGCCTTTTCACTGGACATCGGAGTCTCAAAGCGGTTTACTATTGTTTTTTTTTTTTTTTTTGGGAGTGGGGGTGCCAGTACAGGGGGCGCATGCCAGACCTATTGTACATATTTTTAGTGGTAGGGGAAACCGGAGCACCCGGAGGAAACCTACGCAGACACGGGGAGAACATGCAAACTCCACTCAGAAAGGCCCTGGTCCAACCGGGATTCGAACCCAGGACCTTCTTGCTGAGAGGCGAGAGTGCTATCCACTCAGCCCCCGTGCCGCCACGGGTAGAGAAGGGTAGGGTAGAGTAGAGGAGGGTGGGGTAGAGTAGAGTAGAGTAGGATAGAGTAGAGTAGGGTAGGGTAGAGTAGAGTAGGATAGAGTAGAGAAGGGTAGAGTAGAATAGAGTAGAGTACAGTAGAGTAGGGTAGAGTAGAGTTGAGTAGAGTCTGGTAGAGTAGGATAGGGTAGAGTAGAGTAGAGAAGGGTAGAGTAGAGTTGAGTAGAGTCTGGTAGAGTAGGGTAGAGTAGGATAGGGTGGTGGAAACACGGTTTATGACCCAGTTTGGACCCCCCTGGTCAGACTCTTGTTGTGGAAGGACATCCCGGACGCGCGCTCCTCGTGCCCGCGCCTTGACTCACGCGCGGCTGATGCAGTGAGAGGAACGGGCTCACTGCGGATGACGCTACATGCATTTATTTAATTATTTATTTCTATGCTTTTATTTACGTCTCATGGCGTGAGCGCGCACCACGCACACGTATACAGATGTACACAGCGGTGTGCGCGTGGAGGCGTCTGTGCGTCAGCGCTATTGTTTAGTCAACTCGTGTGCACGCGCACTGTCAGGAGTGTGCACGATAACGTACATTGATGTGGCACAGAGTCTAAGAGAAGGAACAAGGAGTTCTCCTCCTCAGAGCCAGCAGGAGGCCAGTCCCTGTGCTCCTCAGAGTCCCAGCAGGAAGCCAGTCCCTGTGCTCCTCAGAGACCCAGCAGGAGGCCAGTCCCTGTGCTCCTCAGAGTGCCAGTAAAAGTATGAAGTGAATAAATCCTTATATTAAACCTGTGTGATGGATCTTCACTCATGATAATAACGAGGTCAGAAACAGGTTTTAAACAAGTTTTTATTAAACACAGGTACAGATGTAACTGATTACAGGTACGATACAGATAAATAATAATAATAATAATGAACTTCCCTCAGAGACAGACTATGTTTGTTTACATAGTGATACCTGTGCTTCATGGTACGTACCAGACCATCCTCGGCACCATGTGTGAAACGCTCACTGTTATAGTGTCCTCCCACATACAGCCCCAGAGCCTTGTCAATTCTCGCTGATGGAAAACCCCGATCGGACCAATCAAGAGCTCGTCAGGTCAGATCTGCTGCACATTCAGGAGCCAGTCGTCGTCCAGTAACAGTTTGAGGTCATTGAACAGAGCCAGGTCCACAGGTCCAGGGGCCAGTGGGTCCTGTGGGGCGGGGGCCTCCAAGGGAAGGGGCCCTGAGCTGAAAGGACGCTCAAATTGTCCCTCTGTCCCCACTGATGTGTGACACAGAGGGACAGACTGCAGGACGGGGGGGCTGACCCCAGGGGGGCCGACCTGAGGGGGGCCGACCCCAGGGGGGCCGACCTGAGGTGGCCCGACCCCAGGGGGGCCAACCCGAGGAGGGCCGACCCGACGGGGACCGACCCCAGGAGGGCTAATCAGAAGGGGGCCGAGCTGAGGGGGACCGACCCCAGGGCGACCAACCCGAGGGGGGGCGACCTGAGGGAGACCCAAGACTGAGAGGAGGTGACTGCTCTGGCAGGAAGCAGATGGACTAGGAGCCAGACCAGGAGCAAGACCAAGGGCCAGACCAGAAGCAAGACCAGGAGCCAGACCAGGAGCAAGACCAGGGACAAGGGCATGTTCCGGAATGGTCCAGCAATGGTGCGCAGAGCTGGCCGGAATACTGCAGGTTTGTACAGTGGAGGGGACTTCAGAGACAGAGGACACAGGGACACAATAGGACACAGGGACACATGAGGACACAGGGACAGAGGACACAGGGACAGGGCAGCGACAGCAGAGTGGCTCATGCTTCTCCAGAGCTGAGGAGAACAGGTCCTTGTCTCTCTTGAGAGCCCGGATCTCCTTCTGAAGACGAGAGTTCTCCTGCTCCAGACTCTGCAGCTCCTGAGGATACACACCTGTCCTATCACACACACATGTAGGTCCCCAGTATTCTCACACACACATGTAAGTCCCCAGTATTCTTACACACACACACACACACGTAAGTCCCCAGTATTCACACACACACACACACACACACACCTGTCCTATCACACATTTAGGTCCTCAGTATTCACACGCACACACACACCCGTCCTATCACACGCATGTAGGTCCCCAGTATTCTCACACAAGTAGTAAGTAAATAAGTAATTCAATTTTATTTATATAGAGCATTTTACAGACCAAAGTCACCCGAAGCACTTTAAAATTAGATTAGATTAAACTTTATTGTCATTACAAAGTCAGAACAATGCAACAAAATGCAGTTTAGCGTCTAACCAGTAGTGCAATAACGCAAGTATAGGATAATATTTACAACACAGATAAATATATTTGCAAATATGAGAGACTGTACAAGCTGCTATTGCTAGTTTATACATTAATTATATTACATTACATTTAAGTCCAATCACAGAGCGATAGAAATGCAGCATTACAAACGGGGACATGTGATTCTTCTTGGAGTCCTCAAGAAGAAAAGGCGCTGGTGGGCCTTCTTGACGAGGCTGGAGGTGTTGATGGACCATCAACAATGTTCAGAGTTCAGATATTGTTCCAATCATTCCACACACGGTGATGACCGAAGCGAGTCGCTGAACACACTGGACCATCAAAGCCCCAAATCAACACCATCCATTCACTTTCTCATCTACATTCATACCTATTGTGCATGTTTTTGGACTGGACTCATAACACAGACGCCCTCTTCAAGAAGGGCCAGAGTCGCCTTTACCTACTGAGGAGGCTTAGGTCTTTTGGAGTGCAGGGGCCACTCCTGAAGACCTTCTATGACTCTGTGGTGGCATCAGCCATCTTGTACGGTGTGGTCTGCTGGAACAGCAGCATCACAGAGAGGGACAGGAAGAAGCTGGACAAGGTCATCAGGAAGTCCAGCTCAGTCCTGGGCTGTTCCCTGGACACAGTGCAGCAGGTGAGGGACAGGAGGGTCCTGAGCAAACTAACATCTATGCTGGACCATGACTGTCACCCCCTGCAGGACACTCTCTCTGCTCTGGAGAGCAGTTTCAGTGACAGACTAATTCACCCTCGCTGTGTGAAGGAGAGGTTCCGTAGGTCTTTCCTTCCTGCTGCTGTCAGACTGTACAATAAGAACTGCTGAGCCTGTAAATTTCATTAATCTGTAATTAAGTAAATTCTTAAATCATGTGCAATGTGCAATACTGCAACTTCAGGATGTCACAGAACAATGTCACTTTACCTCATGTCACTTTACTTATATACTTTTGATCCTGCACTATTTAACTGTACAGTATATAACTGCACTACTACATATATATTTTTGACTGGTATTGAAGCATTTTCAGCATCTACAGCTAGTTAGTTAAGAAACATAGCTACTACTTATTTGTATATAGTGTATATATTGTGTGTGCTCCCTGTGTGCTCTTACTACTGTCCTATATGTGCGATGCAACATCAAAATTTCCCCACTGTGGGACGAATAAAGGAATTCTTATCTTATATTATCGTATCTTATCTTTTTAGTAGTAGGGGAAACCGGAGCACCCGGGGGAAATCTACGCAGACACAGGGAGAACATACAAACCCCACTCAGAAGGGCACTGTTCTGACCGGGATTCAAAGCCAGGACCTTCTTGCTGAGATAAAAGAGTGTTATCCCCTCACATGCATGTAGGTCCCAAGTATTCACACACACACACACACACACGTAGGTCCCCAGAGTTCACAAACACACACACACACACACACCGGTCCCCAGTATTCACACACACACGTAGGTCCCCAGTATTCACACACACACGTAGGTCCCCAGTGTTCACACACACAAAGGTCCCCAGTATTCACACACACACACACACACAATACAATACAATACAATAGATTCCTGTATGGCCCTAAATCCCAACAGCGTATTCTCAGAGACTTAACAAAACCATTGAAATCACCAACACAGATCAGAGAATCAACAGTTCAGACACAAACAATACACATGAGTCCCCAGTACTCACATGCATGTAGGTCCCCGGTATTCAAACACACACACACAAGCCCTCTGACACCCCCCCCCCCTCTGACCCTGGCTTCTGTTCCCCCCTCTAACCCCCCCCCCTCTGAGCACTCACCTGGTGCAGCTCGTCTGCTCGCTCTGTGGTCTTCTGGCGGCTCCTCCGTGCAGCGTCTCTGTTCTTCTGTCTCCGTCGTCGGGGACAGTCTCGGTCCTGCACAGATGGATTGAGCTCTCAGAAAACCATAGCCCTAATCACATAAACCTCTCTCTGCTGGTCACATAAGCCTCTCTGCTGGTCACATAAACACACTGAAGCGGGAATGTGTGCTTAGTCATCTGCTCCAGAGATCGACAGCTGATAGAGCTGTGTCTAAACCTGACCCCAGGGGGCGCTCTGACTCCACAAAGTCAGGAAATCTTTAATTTAACCTTTAATGTAATCTTTAATGTAATGTCTAATGTCATCTTTAATGTAATCTTTCATGTAATCTCTATTGTAATCTCTAATGTAATCTTTAATGTAATCTCTAATGTAATCTCCTCTAAAGTAATCTTTAGTGTAATCTCTAATGTAATCTCTAATGTAATCCCTAATATAATCCCTATTGTAATCCCTATTGTAATCCCTATTGTAATCAATAATGTAATCTGTAATGCAATCTCTGATGTAACTTTAATGTAATCTGTAATATAATCTGTAATGTAATCCCTAATGTAATCCCTAATGTAATCTATAATGTACTTTGTAATGTAATCCCTAATGTAATATTTAATGTAATCTCTAATGTAATCCTAATGTAATCCCTATTGTAATCAATAATATAATCCCTAATATAATCTCTAATGTAATCCCTAATGTAATCCCTATAGTAATCAATAATGTGATCTGTAATGTAATATGTAATCTAATCTAATGTAATCTGTAACGTAATCTGTAATGTAATCCCTAATGTAATCCCTAATGTAATCCCTAATGTAATCTTTAATGTAATCTTTAATTCTTACGCTGATGGAAGAAGAGCCACAGTCATCGTCCGCTGACACACTCTCACTCCTGCTGCGAGGACCATTGTCCATAAAGACCAGGACCAGGACCAGGACCTAGACCTAGACCAGGACTAGGACCAGGATGAGGACCAGGATGAGGACCAGGACCAGTACCAGGATCTAGACCTAGACCAGAACTAGGACCAGGACCAGGACCAGGACCTAGACCTAGACCAGGACTAGGACCAGGACCAGGACCAGGACAGGACCAGGACCTAGACCAGGACCAGGACTAGCAGCTGAGAGACCACAGAGCCGTCAGTCTTGAAGCCTCTCCCTATTAAAGCAAGTTAGGGGCACATTAAATTCTCACACATGAACATTTATATATTTAAACATTTATATATTTAAAATTTAAAATGATCTATCTATCTATTATCAAAAGATTAAACCATGAGACACACTCACAGCTGAGGCTGGGGGGTCGTTGTTGAGGCGGGGGTCGTAGCCCCCTCAGACGGTGGTTCGGCTTCACTTCTGCTCCCTCCGGTTCAACGCGCTGCAGAGAATGTCGGTGTGAGCGCTGCTGTGGCGTCACATGGAGGTTACTTTCACTTTCCTTTTACTTGAAATGCGGGCTTTAGCGGCAGGACACAGGCTCGAGCTTTCAGTTTGTCTGAGCGTGGACTGTGGTAAGTGCAGAATGAGAGGGGAAAGGGAGGAGGGAGAAAAGAGAGGAGGGAGGAGAGAGAGGAGGGAGAGGAGGGAGAAGAGAGAGGAGAGAGGAGGAGAGAGAGGAGAGAGGAGGAGAGAGGAGAAGGAGGAGGGAGGAGAGAGTGGAGGGAGAGGAGGGAGAAGAGAGAGGAGAGAGGGGAGGGAGGAGAGAGAGGAGAGAGGGGAGGGAGGAGAGAGAGGAGGGAGAGGAGGAGAGAGGAGAGAGAGGAGGAAGGGGAGGGAGGAGAGAGAGGAGGGAGGAGAGAGAGGAGGGAGAGGAGAGAGAGGAGGTAGAGGAGGAGGGAGGAGAGAGAGGAGGGAGGAGAGGGGAGAGGAGAGGGAGGAGAGAGAGGAGAGAGAGGAGGGAGAGGAGGAGAAAGGAGAAGGAGGAGGGAGGAGAGAGAGGAGGGAGGAGAGAGAGGAGGGAGGAGAGGGGAGAGGAGAGGGAGGAGAGAGAGGAGAGAGAGGAGGGAGAGGAGGAGAAAGGAGAAGGAGGAGGGAGGAGAGAGAGGAGGGAGGAGAGGGGAGAGGAGAGGGAGGAGAGAGAGGAGAGAGTCTATGCAGTTTGTAAATATCAGAAGCAGCTCTGGGTACTGACCAACAGGTGGCGCCCTCTACTCCCGCTGCGGCTCCAAACTCTGAACAGAATCTACAAAGCTGCATTCTCAGGAAGTTACTCCAAAAGTGCCAGACCAGAGAGCAGAGCCGAGACCAGAGGCAGAGCCTACACGTGCATAGGTTTCTTTTGCATGCTTAATATCTATTTTACTCTACAACTTGTTTGCCTTTCCAAGTTGGTGACCTGTTACTTCCTGTTTCTTCCTGTTACTTCCTGTTACTTCCAACAGCAATACATGGTTTTCCATCATGTGCTTTTTACCCATGATGCTTTGCGCGAACACACTGACCGCGTTAAGTATGTTGATACACTGGAAGCCTGTACTTTTCCACTTCATGTTTTGACTATCTCTGCTGGCACTGTGGCAGCTGCTTATTGGAGGTCTCTGTTTCTCCTGAGTATATCACCAGTTGCTGTCTTTAACATCCCTTGTTCGTGTTGTTCGTGCTGTCTCTACCATTGACAATAAAACATGTCTTCTGTCTGAATTTAAGACACGATCCCAGACTATGTCATCTTTTTCAATTCTCCCAAGAAAAGTGTTCCTTTCTCAGTCGAGCCAACTAGCGGTGGCTTGACTTTTAAAATGGCGAACTGCGGAATTGTGGGTAGCATGACGTCAGTGGAAAACCATGTATATAAAGGATTGTGATCAACACTCCGCCCAGTCTTTGGTAAAACAGTAATGTTGCTTTGTGAAATGTACTTATATTGCAGTTATTATTTCTGTACTGTACAAAGTGCTGTTATTCATGTAAATCCTGCATCGTGTGAACCAGTGTTAGAAAAGCAGCACATACATTAAATAAATAAATAAATCATTGAATCAAAACACTGCAGTAATCGGATTTATTATCTCCAACTCGCACATTCGGGTTTGAGTACAGACCGTAGACTGTAACGTACTGACCATAGTACAAACCATAGTACTGACCATAGTACTGATCAAAGTACTGACCATAGTACTAACCATAGTACTGACCATAGTACTGACCGTAGTACTGACCATAGACTGTAAAGTACTGACCATAGTACTAACCATAGTACTGACCCTACCATAGTACTATCCATAGACCATAAAGTACTGACCATAGTACTGACCATAGACTGTAAAGTACTGACCATAGTACTGACCATAGACTGTAAAGTACTGACCATAGTACAGACCATAGTACTGACCTCAACCTTAGAGTTGCCTGGCCTGCCAAACGATATGCTTTTTCAAAGACATATAGTCTGGGAACGAGCTTGATCTCAGCGAATTCCCGGTGGGCGTGGTTGACAGACTGCATCAACCAATTAGATGCACACAGGATATGACGCAGCAACTAGCGGCACCCAAGCCGTTTCAGTAAACACAAAACAAGGGATGCCGGCATGTCAGCTAGTGCAAATGTAAACGAATGCTGTCGATTTTGTAACAAAAACTTAAAGATACGAGGAGTTATTAGCAACTCAATTCCGTTGTTTGCTTCCGCCTCTAGGTGAAAGGAAGTCCCGCCTCTCGGTGCGTGATTGGACCGATGTGGGTAAAATCGTGAAATGATAGGCTAGGAAGAGGTGTCCAGACGGTTCTTCTTTTGAACAGAAAGGAGGAGTGTCTGGCAGGCCAGGCAACCTTAGAGAGACGTGCAAGACATAAACACAAGATGGCCGCCACTGCAAACACAACAAGTAAACACAAGATGGCCCCCACTTCAGAGCTCTCTCTAGTGCATGGCTCTATTATAATAAAGCTCTAGTGCCGGTACACTGTTTGACCAATCACCGCTCGCGCTGGGAAGACGCAGCCAATCAGCAGCGGCGAGAGTCGATTCGTGTGGTAGGCTCTTCCGTATGCGTTCTTACGGTCCGTGAACTGAACATTTTATATTTGTGGTTTTACTGTAGTTTTACTTTAGTCCGCGGGGTCAGTCCGCGAGGGTCAGTCCGTGGGGGTCAGGGTTCGGGTGGAGACATGGGGCTGCTGACTATTCTGAAGAAGCTGAAGCAGGCGGAACGGGAGATGCGTCTGCTCATGCTGTATCCTTTACACTGTCATCACCTGGTCCTCTTTCCATTGTCTAAATCTTCATTATTGTGGGGCAGCAGTCTGAGACCTCTCTCTCTCTGGCTCTCTCTGGCTCTCTCTCCCTCCGGCTCATGGAGCAGCTGATAGACCTAGTCCCTCATGTCTTGGGTCAGTCCCGGGGTCTTCCTGGTGGGACATCTCTGCAGAGAGGTGCCTCCTATCACCTACCATTCAACTGGCTTCTTTTGAGAAGGAGCAGTGTCTCCCCGCCCACTTTATTTATTTGAGTCATGTGCTGTGCCAGAGTCCGCAGACCCTCACTTTGAGAACCTGCAGTTGTCCCTGTGGTCTCTGTGCTCTCTTCCTCTGTTCTCTCTCCTCTCTGTGCTCTCTCTCTCTCTGCTCTCTCTGTGCTCTCTCTCTCTCTGTCCTCCTCTGTGCTCTTTCTCTCCCTCTGTCCTCTCTCCTTTCTGTGTTCTCTCTCTCTGTCCTCTCTCCTCTGTTCTCTCTCCTCTCTGTGCTCTCTCTCTCTCTGCTCTCTCTGTGCTCTCTCTCTCTCTGTCCTCCTCTGTGCTCTTTCTCTCCCTCTGTCCTCTCTCCTTTCTGTGTTCTCTCTCTCTGTCCTCTCTCCTCTGTGCTCTCTCGCTGTGCTCTTTAACATGTGGCGTTCAGGGGCCTGGATAACGCAGGAAAAACGACAATCCTCAAGAAGTTCAATGGAGAAGACATCAGCACCATCTCCCCCACACTGGGCTTCAACATCAAGACCTTGGAGCACCGAGGGTACGCCGAGCTAACACCTCTCTCTCTCTCTCTCTCACGCTCTTCTCTCTCTGTGCTCTTCTCTCTCTCGCACACTTGAGTCCCTCTCTGTCTCTCTCTCAGGTATAAGCTGAACATGTGGGATGTGGGAGGACAGAAATCCCTGCGTTCCTATTGGAGGAACTACTTTGAGAGCACTGATGGCTTAGTGTGGGTCGTGGACAGTGCTGACCGCCTCCGGATGGACGACTGCAGAGACGAGCTGAGGGCTCTGCTGCTGGAGGAGGTAAATGCTAACACACACGCTAACACACACGATGCTAGTGTGAGTCATGTGACCTGTGTGTGCAGAGATTAGCTGGAGCCACGTTACTCGTATTCGCCAACAAACAGGATCTGCCCGGAGCACTGTCCAAGGAGGCCATCAGAGAGGTGAGCCAGACACCATCTATGGTCTCTCTATGGTCTCTCTCTGATCTCTCGCTCTCTGGTCTGATGCTGTTGTATTCTCAGGCTTTGGCTCTGGACGACATTAAGAGCCATCACTGGTGCATTCTGGGATGCAGTGCTGTTACTGGGGACAACCTGCTGAGCGGCGTGGACTGGCTGCTGGATGACATCGCAGCCCGGATCTTCACAGCAGACTGAGCTAACCCATGCTAACTCCTCACAGCTTCTGCCCAAGAGTTTACCATCCTTTACATGCTCGTGTCTCCTGCTGTAGCCTCATTCACACTGAACATTTACTGGTCATAAAACAATAAAAGTGTTCCCTCTGCTACATGTGTTTGCTAACATCCTTCACCTGCTGCATGACGACAGCGTAACGAGCCGTGGAGCTGTGTTTGGGTGAATGAGGTTCTCAGTTTGGGAGGCTCAAACGAGACCACGCAAAGCTCTATGAGCAGAGGAATATACTGGGGGGGGGGGGGGGGGGGGGGGGGGGGGGGAACTACGTATAGTTCCATTCATTTGAACGAGAGACTTCAAAAATTCACAGCAAGTAAACTAGAGTGGTCAAAAAAATTTCACCCCCCTCAGAATTGACACACATGTGGAACGGAGCTTTGGACCAAGAGCCAACTTTTGGTCCATCCTGTAAAGACGTTTTCGAGAGGTCTGCCAATGCTATATGTTAGCATTGGCTAATTCTACTTCTGGGTCCACCCCCATCGGCCCGGGGTGGTATTGCAAGCATGTCAGCGCACGTCATTTTGGCCACTTTTGAGCTGGGACCCTCCCCCACTGGTCCCAATGCACTGCATGGATATGGATTGAATTTTTGTAAAGAATACAAAGATAAAGTCAGGTAATGCAGCTTTAACATGTGTTACATGGTGCCTTTGATAGTACCTGGGTGTTACATGGTGCCTTTGATAGTACCTGGTGTTACATGGCGCCTTTGATAGTACCTGGGTGTTACATGGGCCTTTGATAGTACCTGGGTGTTACATGGCGCCTTTGATAGTACCTGGGTGTTACATGGTGCCTTTGATAGTACCTGGGTGTTACATGGCGCCTTTGATAGTACCTGGGTGTTACATGGCGCCTTTGATAGCCTGGGTGTTACATGGCGCCTTTGATAGTACCTGGGTGTTACATGGTGCCTTTGATAGTACCTGGTGTTACATGCCTTGATAGTACTGGTGTTACATGGCGCCTTTGATAGTACCTGGGTGTTACATTGTGCCTTTGATAGTACTGTGTAGTATATGGAAGTGTTGAGCACCATGCGCCTCCCTGTGGCTCCTGCTGATACAGTGGTCTCCCAGAGCTGACTGCCCCTCTCCTGCAGACAATGCTTTGACCCTCACGGATTTAAAATTGGGGAATGATTTAATCCTGAATCAGTAAGCTCTAAGGTCTAACTCCACAGGAGCATGTGTATTGGGTCTAACAATGTTATATACACACACGTTTATATATAAAAACATTACCTCAGTTTAACATCTACCTGTGCAGGAGAATCTGTCCCATAAAAAGTTAAACTAGTGCAAGAAGTGATGGTTAACAGTGACAGTCATGTGACCCACACCAGTCTCACTTCTGATTAACCAGCGAGAGTTCACTTTAACATTAAAGCTTTAGTGAGGTTTAAACTACCGTTACTTTTTGTTAAAATAGGAACATTGCACTTTCTATGTCCTACACTTGTACAGGTTTGTATCACTCCACTAAAGCCACTACTTCAGAAGTCAAAACAGAGAGTAAAGTTTAGTAGAAGTTTTTTTATTGAAGCCAGAGTCGTCCTGCAAACACACAAACCCACACATCAGAACAGAACACACACATGTAGCAGGAGAGCAGGGTCTAGAGGAGATCAGGTCAGCGGGGATACCAATCCATCAGCTCAGTCAGACCATAGGAGTGTTCTCTCATCACTTCTCCACATCTACACACACCGTCTCAGGGCAGCTGTGGCTCCAACAGCAAGAGCTCACTCCATCAATTCCAGAGGAAGTGGGAGGAGTCTCATGCTGTTGGACTGAAGCCCGGACCTACAGCCACATATTCTCACCATGCTCTGAGGCTCCTGGGGGTCCCTGAGGCAGGGGGACTTCTGGGGGTCCCTGAGGAAGAGGCAGAAATTAGAAGCCACCAACACCACATGCGCACAGTTAAAGCTCATGTCTGTGGGTCAGGGATCTACCAATCAGTCATGAGGTTCAGACTGGGGCGGTAACATCAGCTCATCATTCTGCTGAGCTTTCATCAGGTCTTCACACTGACCACACTCACCTGAGTCACAGCTGCACACACCCCGCGACAGTCCTAAAGACAAAGAGCAGCGTTACGCAGAGAAGACCACAGAGAGCCCACAGGAGCTGCAGCGGCAGAGGATCAGAGAGGTACCACTCAGTCAGCTCACATCAGACTGGGGCGGTAAGACCTCATCACTACAACTGCTCTGAGCCAATCATAGCCCAGTGTCAGGACCATGACCTCACCTCAGTCCACAGGAGCAGCTCCTGAGGAAACACCACAGTTAGCTCTAAACACAGCTCTGTGCCCCTCCCACAGCAGGCCCCTCCCAAAGACTCTGTTCAGACTGTTGGAGCTCCAACCAGACTTCAGCCTTGGGTCAGGGCAGAACCAGTGGGTTCACCTTCTCAGGTCTGGTCCTGACCCCTGACCTCAGACATGTGCAGTCCTCATCACCACAGAGACGCATGGACAGAAGCAGAGCTCACCTTTGGGTCCCTGGAGGCCTCAGCAGCAGAAGGGCCTGTAAACACACACAGCATCAGGACACACCCCCTACAGCTGCACTGCGGCTCCAACAACCACTGAAGTCAGATTCCATTTCTCAGCAGCAGCTCAGACGAACGAGATTCCAGAATGTCTCATCACAATCAGGTTAGTGTCCAAGTGCACTGTGGGGGCCTCACCTCTCAGGGTCGTCACACCGGGGCCTCATAAGACCTCAGGGGCCTCGCACCTGGAACACACAGACATTAGAGGTGGTGACAGGACCAGAACAAACAGCTAGGAGCAAGTCTCAGATGTTCGTGTCGTTTCACAGTCATTCAAAGTGAGCTAAGAATCATCATCATAGACTCCCCCAAAGGAGGCGCAGGAGGAGGTCTTACCTGCAGGAGCACAGGAGGAGTATCAGACTCCCAGAGGCCTCACCACCAGCAGCCCCTCCCACACCTGAAACACAGCAGTGAGGCTCAGGACAAGCATTAGAGCTACACTAAAGCTAACATTAGAGCTGTGATCAGGGCTTTGGTGACAAACTGCCATCTGACAATAGTCGTCCAGAAAACATGGGCTGAGCCCGTTCATCCTCTCACAGTCACATGATCACTGCATGAGCACAGCACAGTCACACTTACCACATTGAGTCAGACGCCATCTTCAGGCTCTGCCCCCTAGGACCAGCAGCGCTCAGGCTCCGCCCCTAGGACCAGCACAGAGTTAGGACACAGTCTAAACTAGTGTAACCAATGACATGTGGCGTTCAGATCTCACGCTGACATCAGGACTCAGGCATATGCTTGTCTTTATGAATCATCACTACAGCCACAGTGACAGGAGTCTGTGCTCACCTGGTCTCACCTGGCCCCGACAGTCCTGGTCCTGTAAACAGATGCATGTTAGCGCTCACACCGCAGCAGCTCACAGCCACAGGAGCCTCCTCTGCTCAGAATCTGGTAAAGTTCTTTCTACAGCAGATTTCAGCCAGAGAGAGTTCAGGGATCATCACTGCGTCACGCCAGGAGAAAGACCAGGAGAGAGACCAGCAGACAGTTACCTGATGAACACGAGCCGCACACACCTGCAACACAACCATGTGTCAGTTCAGTGGATGAAGCTAACAGCCTTAGCTCAGGCTACGTGTGCTACTCAGGCTTTGATCTGTCCTCAGGGGGTTCAGTGAGAGAGTTCAATAGTGTCGTCACTGTAGCATGTGGACAGTCCTCTATAGTCTGTTACAGTCTGTGGGTCACTGCTGCAGACTGAGGCTAGAGCTGACATTAGACCACACCCACCTCCAGAAGCAGCTCCAGCTCCATGAGGCTCCTCTCTGCAACAAAACACAAGGCTGTAAGACACACAACACAAGCCGCTGGTGCAGCCTCTGCAGCGGCAGCGTCTCATCAGAAATTAAAAAGTACAATCACAGCTTTCAGAACAGGTCTGTGAAGTTATCATCAGAGAGACACGTGCACGAGGCTTCCACACGCACTAACAATGGGCATTAGACCCGCACAGTACTCACTAATACTGGGCATTAGACCCGCACAGTACTCACTAATACTGGGCATTAGACCCGCACAGTACTCACTAATACTGGGCATTAGACCCGCACAGTACTCACTAATACTGGGCATTAGACCCGCACAGTACTCACTAATACTGGGCATTAGACCCGCACAGTACTCACTAACAATGGGCATTAGACCCGCACAGTACTCACTAATACTGGGCATTAGACCCGCACAGTACTCACTAATACTGGGCATTAGACCCGCACAGCACTCACTAATACTGGGCATTAGACCCGCACAGTACTCACTAATACTGGGCATTAGACCCGCACAGTACTCACTAACAATGGGCATTAGACCCGCACAGTACTCACTAATACTGGGCATTAGACCCGCACAGTACTCACTAATACTGGGCATTAGACCCGCACAGTACTCACTAATACTGGGCATTAGACCCGCACAGTACTCACTAACAATGGGCATTAGACCCGCACAGTACTCACTAATACTGGGCATTAGACCCGCACAGTACTCACTAATACTGGGCATTAGACCCGCACAGTACTCACTAATACTGGGCATTAGACCCGCACAGTACTCACTAACAATGGGCATTAGACCCGCACAGTACTCACTAATACTGGGCATTAGAGCCAGGCGGGTGTCCTCTGTCCCAGGAGCAGGTTAAACTCCTCGTGGTGCAGCCGTCTTCTTCTTCGGTTGGATTTATAGCCGCTGTCCTCTATCCTCTTGGTTCATTTAGCGCCACCTACTGTATGTTTTACTTCTCACACTTAGTATTTGTAGTAAAGTCATGGATCTATAATAATAACCGTTAAATCCTCTGCAGTTTTTTTATTGAATAAATATAAAAGATTAATCACAGAGTCCATCACAGAGTCTATTACAGAGTCCATCACAGAGTCCATCACAGAGTCCATCACAGAGTCCATCACAGAGTCCATCACAGAGTCTATCACAGAGTCCATCACAGAGTCTATTACAGAGTCCATCACAGAGTCCATCACAGAGTCCATCACAGAGTCCATCACAGAGTCCATCACAGAGTCCATCACAGAGTCTATCACAGAGTCTATCACAGAGTCTATCACAGAGTCCATCACAGAGTCCATCACAGAGTCCATCACAGAGTCCATCACAGAGTCCATCACAGAGTCCATCACAGAGTCTATCACAGAGTCTATCACAGAGTCCATCACAGAGTCCATCACAGAGTCCATCACAGAGTCCATCACAGAGTCCATCACAGAGTCTATCACAGAGTCTATCACAGAGTCCATCACAGAGTCCATCACAGAGTCTATCACAGAGTCTATCACAGAGTCTATCACAGAGTCCATCACAGAGTCCATCACAGAGTCTATCACAGAGTCTATCACAGAGTCTATCACAGAGTCCATCACAGAGTCCATCACAGAGTCCATCACAGAGTCTATCACAGAGTCTATCACAGAGTCTATCACAGAGTCCATCACAGAGTCCATCACAGAGTCCATCACAGAGTCTATCACAGAGTTCTCTCTCCCTCCCTGTCTCTCTCTCTCTTCTCTCCCTCACTAACGTCCATAATCTTTGGTGATCAGTCACATCAACAATAAACAGGCCCGTCCCAAGGGGGGTGCGAGGCCCTGTGCGAACTCGAAACGCGAGGCCCTGCCCTGACACTTTTTTCCCAGATCTGAGGAAAGTTTTTCCTGTTATAATCTTTGACATGAATTCAGCACCACCTCGCGCGGTGCTTGACGAGATCAGCACGCGTGTAACCGAGTGTCTTCGCTCCTATGCAGCGTTTGGCGCGCGCACGTACACACGCACACACACTCTACGTGCAATATTGGTCGCGGTCTTTTTAGCTGACATGTCTCTTTCGTCCTGTGGCAAAATGGCAGAGCAACTCAAAAGATTGAACCAAAAGGAGTCTTTTTCTTCTAATAGATTTGGGCAAAATGCGCCAAAATGGCTATGAGGCGGAGTCAATATTATTATTTTCTCATCAAATAACGTTTTTGCCATGCCTCCACACACTCTGACAACATACACTCCTCCTCCTCCACACTGACAACAACAAAATACTCTTCACCTCCTCCTCCACACACTCTGACCACAACAAAAACACTCCAGCTAGCTAAAGCTAGACATACAGTGTGTTTGCTAATGCTTTTAAAAATATGTTTTTGATGTGGATATTCGGACTAAACATTGGCAATAGCAGCGCTCACACACCTGTCACACCGCTGATCCTCCTCCTCCTCCTCTGCTCACACAAAGGGGTCTGCTCCTCTGCTCACACCTGTATCACTGCTCCTCCTCCTCCTCCTCCTCCTCCTCCTCCTCCTCTGCTCACACAAAGGGGTCTGCTCCTCTGCTCACACTTGTCTCACTGCTCCTCCTCCGCGAGTATCCATCTCTCCTACACTGCGATCATTCCCGTTACTTTCTTTGTATCTCACTCAGACACTGCTAAAGTTATCTGACAGTTTTTTCGGAGGACCCGTTGCATACATAGCTGCCCGCGCGCCTGCCTGTTTACAAATCGCTTTTGGTGAAAATTTGACTTTACTTGTAAAAATGTTCTTTTGATCAAACGAAATCAAAGAGGTCCAGAGAAAGGGGTTTAGGGTTCCAAATTTGGAGTGCAGTCTGCCCTTTGGGGACCCTTGAACTAGTGTATTTATAAAATAAAATAAAAGGAAGGAAGATTGCGAGGCCCCTGTGTGGTGCGAGGCCCTGTGCGACGGCACAGGTCGCACAGCCCTTAGGACGGGCCTGACAATAAACCAGATTTACTAAATAAACTTGGTCCTTCCATAGATCCATGGGCCCTTCCCACATCTCACGGTCTCACTTCCGGATGTTTTTATTTCTTACTGAAACAGTTTTCCCTGAACAGGATCTTTGTTTCTTTGCTTCAGGACGTGTCCAAGTATTCACATACATGAGCCTTTAATCATATAATGTTTGATTAAATAATTAATTACGGATTTAGTTCAAATCACAGACCGGATGTGGGTCACCGACAGCAGGGGCGGGGCTTCCGGAGGACTATATAAAGCTCCTGGAGCAGGCGTTCTGTCCACTTCCTCCTCTGAGCTCTGAGAGGTAAGTCAGCTCCCCGAGAATTTTGTTCTAATGTGTTATCTGTGCGAGGGAGCGAAGACCCCGGGCCTCATGCAGCCTCAGACCCCGGGCCTCATGCAGCCTCAGACCCCGGGCCTCATGCAGCCTCAGACCCCGGGCCTCATGCAGCCTCAGACCCCGGGCCTCATGCAGCCTCAGACCCCGGGCCTCATGCAGCCTCAGACCCCGGGCCTCATGCAGCCTCAGACCCCGGGCCTCATGCAGCCTCAGACCCCGGGCCTCATGCAGCCCTCAGGCGGGAGAAGGCCTCTGTCGTAGTCGCGCCTTTTTCCCCCGCGCCTAATTTTTCAGCGCCTAAACCACTTTAAGACTGAATAGTAATTAATGTAAATCTAACCCTGGAGTTTAGTTTGACTGTATATAAACTGGTTAACGAATGCGTGCTAGCGTTAGCATTCAATCTAACAATCTTAATGATTGCTTTGGGGGAAATATCTTCCAGCGCTAAACTAAAATGGTTACTGTATTAAGAGTTCCGGAAGTTGCTGTCCCTGACGGCGGACCGCCCTAGACTGGGGCCGCCGCGACGGCCACGTGGATCTGCAGCCATCCTGCACAGACCCGCTACACATGTTCTCGTTAACGTCTGCACGTGTTATTTCACGCGTTTTGCTGCAGAAACTCGTCTGTATTGAGTACTGTGCGGGTCTAATGCCCAGTATTAGTGAGTACTGTGCGGGTCTAATGCCCAGTATTAGTGAGTACTGTGCGGGTCTAATGCCCAGTATTAGTGAGTACTGTGCGGGTCTAATGCCCAGTATTAGTGAGTACTGTGCGGGTCTAATGCCCAGTATTAGTGAGTACTGTGCGGGTCTAATGCCCAGTATTAGTGAGTACTGTGCGGGTCTAATGCCCAGTATTAGTGAGTACTGTGCGGGTCTAATGCCCAGTATTAGTGAGTGCTGTGCGGGTCTAATGCCCAGTATTAGTGAGTACTGTGCGGGTCTAATGCCCAGTATTAGTGAGTACTGTGCGGGTCTAATGCCCAGTGTTAGTGCGTACTGTGCGGGTCTAATGCCCAGTATTAGTGCGTACTGTGCGGGTCTAATGCCCAGTATTAGTGAGTACTGTGCGGGTCTAATGCCCAGTATTAGTGAGTACTGTGCGGGTCTAATGCCCAGTATTAGTGAGTACTGTGCGGGTCTAATGCCCAGTATTAGTGAGTACTGTGCGGGTCTAATGCCCATTGTTAGTGCGTGTGGAAGCCTCGTGCACGTGTCTCTCTGATGATAACTTCACAGACCTGTTCTGAAAGCTGTGATTGTACTTTTTAATTTCTGATGAGACGCTGCCGCTGCAGAGGCTGCACCAGCGGCTTGTGTTGTGTGTCTTACAGCCTTGTGTTTTGTTGCAGAGAGGAGCCTCATGGAGCTGGAGCTGCTTCTGGAGGTGGGTGTGGTCTAATGTCAGCTCTAGCCTCAGTCTGCAGCAGTGACCCACAGACTGTAACAGACTATAGAGGACTGTCCACATGCTACAGTGACGACACTATTGAACTCTCTCACTGAACCCCCTGAGGACAGATCAAAGCCTGAGTAGCACACGTAGCCTGAGCTAAGGCTGTTAGCTTCATCCACTGAACTGACACATGGTTGTGTTGCAGGTGTGTGCGGCTCGTGTTCATCAGGTAACTGTCTGCTGGTCTCTCTCCTGGTCTTTCTCCTGGCGTGACGCAGTGATGATCCCTGAACTCTCTCTGGCTGAAATCTGCTGTAGAAAGAACTTTACCAGATTCTGAGCAGAGGAGGCTCCTGTGGCTGTGAGCTGCTGCGGTGTGAGCGCTAACATGCATCTGTTTACAGGACCAGGACTGTCGGGGCCAGGTGAGACCAGGTGAGCACAGACTCCTGTCACTGTGGCTGTAGTGATGATTCATAAAGACAAGCATATGCCTGAGTCCTGATGTCAGCGTGAGATCTGAACGCCACATGTCATTGGTTACACTAGTTTAGACTGTGTCCTAACTCTGTGCTGGTCCTAGGGGGCGGAGCCTGAGCGCTGCTGGTCCTAGGGGGCAGAGCCTGAAGATGGCGTCTGACTCAATGTGGTAAGTGTGACTGTGCTGTGCTCATGCAGTGATCATGTGACTGTGAGAGGATGAACGGGCTCAGCCCATGTTTTCTGGACGACTATTGTCAGATGGCAGTTTGTCACCAAAGCCCTGATCACAGCTCTAATGTTAGCTTTAGTGTAGCTCTAATGCTTGTCCTGAGCCTCACTGCTGTGTTTCAGGTGTGGGAGGGGCTGCTGGTGGTGAGGCCTCTGGGAGTCTGATACTCCTCCTGTGCTCCTGCAGGTAAGACCTCCTCCTGCGCCTCCTTTGGGGGAGTCTATGATGATGATTCTTAGCTCACTTTGAATGACTGTGAAACGACACGAACATCTGAGACTTGCTCCTAGCTGTTTGTTCTGGTCCTGTCACCACCTCTAATGTCTGTGTGTTCCAGGTGCGAGGCCCCTGAGGTCTTATGAGGCCCCGGTGTGACGACCCTGAGAGGTGAGGCCCCCACAGTGCACTTGGACACTAACCTGATTGTGATGAGACATTCTGGAATCTCGTTCGTCTGAGCTGCTGCTGAGAAATGGAATCTGACTTCAGTGGTTGTTGGAGCCGCAGTGCAGCTGTAGGGGGTGTGTCCTGATGCTGTGTGTGTTTACAGGCCCTTCTGCTGCTGAGGCCTCCAGGGACCCAAAGGTGAGCTCTGCTTCTGTCCATGCGTCTCTGTGGTGATGAGGACTGCACATGTCTGAGGTCAGGGGTCAGGACCAGACCTGAGAAGGTGAACCCACTGGTTCTGCCCTGACCCAAGGCTGAAGTCTGGTTGGAGCTCCAACAGTCTGAACAGAGTCTTTGGGAGGGGCCTGCTGTGGGAGGGGCACAGAGCTGTGTTTAGAGCTAACTGTGGTGTTTCCTCAGGAGCTGCTCCTGTGGACTGAGGTGAGGTCATGGTCCTGACACTGGGCTATGATTGGCTCAGAGCAGTTGTAGTGATGAGGTCTTACCGCCCCAGTCTGATGTGAGCTGACTGAGTGGTACCTCTCTGATCCTCTGCCGCTGCAGCTCCTGTGGGCTCTCTGTGGTCTTCTCTGCGTAACGCTGCTCTTTGTCTTTAGGACTGTCGCGGGGTGTGTGCAGCTGTGACTCAGGTGAGTGTGGTCAGTGTGAAGACCTGATGAAAGCTCAGCAGAATGATGAGCTGATGTTACCGCCCCAGTCTGAACCTCATGACTGATTGGTAGATCCCTGACCCACAGACATGAGCTTTAACTGTGCGCATGTGGTGTTGGTGGCTTCTAATTTCTGCCTCTTCCTCAGGGACCCCCAGAAGTCCCCCTGCCTCAGGGACCCCCAGGAGCCTCAGAGCATGGTGAGAATATGTGGCTGTAGGTCCGGGCTTCAGTCCAACAGCATGAGACTCCTCCCACTTCCTCTGGAATTGATGGAGTGAGCTCTTGCTGTTGGAGCCACAGCTGCCCTGAGACGGTGTGTGTAGATGTGGAGAAGTGATGAGAGAACACTCCTATGGTCTGACTGAGCTGTAGGACATAGAAAGTGCAATGTTCCTATTTTTAACAAAAAGTAATCGGTAGTTTAAACCTCACTAAAGCTTTAATGTTAAAGTGAACTCTCGCTGGTTAATCAGAAGTGAGACTGGTGTGGGTCACATGACTGTCACTGTTAACCATCACTTCTTGCACTAGTTTAACTTTTTATGGGACAGATTCTCCTGCACAGGTAGATGTTAAACTGAGGTAATGTTTTTATATATAAACGTGTGTGTATATAACATTGTTAGACCCAATACACATGCTCCTGTGGAGTTAGACCTTAGAGCTTACTGATTCAGGATTAAATCATTCCCCAATTTTAAATCCGTGAGGGTCAAAGCATTGTCTGCAGGAGAGGGGCAGTCAGCTCTGGGAGACCACTGTATCAGCAGGAGCCACAGGGAGGCGCTGGTGCTCAACACTTCCATATACTACACAGTACTATCAAAGGCACAATGTAACACCCAGGTACTATCAAAGGCACCATGTAACACCCAGGTACTATCAAAGGCGCCATGTAACACCCAGGTACTATCAAAGGCACCATGTAACACCCAGGTACTATCAAAGGCGCCATGTAACACCCAGGTACTATCAAAGGCGCCATGTAACACCCAGGTACTATCAAAGGCACCATGTAACACCCAGGTACTATCAAAGGCACCATGTAACACATGTTAAAGCTGCATTACCTGACTTTATCTTTGTATTCTTTACAAAAATTCAATCCATATCCATGCAGTGCATTGGGACCAGTGGGGGAGGGTCCCAGCTCAAAAGTGGCCAAAATGACGTGCGCTGACATGCTTGCAATACCACCCCGGGCCGATGGGGGTGGACCCAGAAGTAGAATTAGCCAATGCTAACATATAGCATTGGCAGACCTCTCGAAAACGTCTTTACAGGATGGACCAAAAGTTGGCTCTTGGTCCAAAGCTCCGTTCCACATGTGTGTCAATTCTGAGGGGGGTGAAATTTTTTTGACCACTCTAGTTTACTTGCTGTGAATTTTTGAAGTCTCTCGTTCAAATGAATGGAGCTCTCACCGGCTGACTTATTCGCAGATGCGTTTTTTCACAATTTTCTTGTAGGCGGGTCCACTTGCGGCCATTTTGGATATCTCCGGTAGAGATACATACATTCTATGATTGGGATACACGTCCTTTTGGAGAAAAAGTAGCGCAGGTTTGTGCTGGCGTGTCATTTTATTTTAGATCCGAGTTTTCGTGCAACAAGGAAGAGAATGTGTTTCGGGTCCAGATTGTGACCAATCACAGCGGACCACTGGCCCCCGCTTTCTTGAGAAAAGCTACAGGTCTCTGGTTAGCACAGACAGCAGAGGTAAACAAGCGGCGGAGGCTAACCTGAAACTCCCCGTGTCTTCATTACTGCTTAGACAGCAAAACAGCCATCCAAAAGAAAGTCTCGTCCTCTCCGCGCTTCCCGGTTCTATTATTCTATGGTCACGGCATCCACGTTTAAATGTGCGATCCATATGGTGAGACGTGAGCTCCATATACATTTAACATGAACAGGCATGAACATGAACAGGCTGAGGGGGAGGGGGGTAGTGGGGGACGAAAGCTCCGTGTGTGAGGGGAGGGCGAGCAAAAAGAGCGAGCCCAGCGCTCAGATTCGAAAATTTCTCAACGTCAGTTAGTGCAGCTTTAACTAAAGCCATATTTGTTTGGTCACATGGTACTTCCCGTTGATGACATTCTCTTCTTTGCTTCTGTGTTTCTCAGATCACAGTGTGTGTGTACGTGTGGATCTGTGTTTGTGTGTGTCAGGTGTTGGTTCACTGTGACATCACCAGGTGCAGGTTCTGTGGACACTGTGGGGACCAGTGTGTATGAGGAAGTGTTTTTATAAGTCTGATAATGTTGATCTCCCTCTCCTCCCCCCTCCTCTCTTTCTTTGATGGGGGACACTTGTATCATTGGGCCGTGACTCTGGGCTTGGGCCCTTTGTGCTGGGTCCCTGCTCCACTGCTCGCAGCTCCTGAGACAAAAGCAGGAGTTTGTTCCGTCTGCAGCAGGAGGCGCAGCAGGAGGTACACGCCAGAACTAATCCAGGAAGTCACCCCTAAAACCCGGGTCTACAGCAGCAGTCCTGAAACTACAGTCTTGGTCCTGGGTCAACGGTCTGAGTTCTGGGTCTTTGGCCTTAGTCCTTGGTCTACGGCTTCAGTCCTGGGTCTACAAGGCCTAAGTCCTGGGTCTTCGGCCTCAGTCCTGGGTCTACAGCCTCAGATTGCTCCTTGAGGCTGAACAAGAATAATCCAGAGTCAGAGTTGTCTGAGGCTGAAGGGACTCGCCTCCTCTCCCTCGGACTAACAGTGGCTCCAGTGTCTTTGTGCTCGGTGTGCGGCCCCTGCTCTCGGGGCCCAGCTCTCAGGGTAATCTGGCTGAGGGCCCTTCACGTCGAGGGTCCTCTTCATCTGATGTGGCAGCAATTAGCGGCAGACTTTTGTCCCCCAGGGCAGACATGGCCCCCTCCGGCCACGGATAGAAACACAGACTCCAAGTCCGACAGGAGGAGCAGGAGGAGTAGGGCTGAGGAGCAGGAGCAGCAGAGAGAGACCAGGGAGAGACCGAAATACATGCATTTGAAAAAGTGTTTGTGTGCGCGCTTGTGTGTGCGTGTGACAGAGCTGTCACTCTGAGGTGGCTGCAGGGAACAGTGCTGTCTCATCAGTGAGCAGGAGGTCAGGCCCGAGCTCCCAGGGGCCGGCAGCAGGGGGCCCCTCCATCAAACCCTGTCGCCTCATTCCCAACACACAGGAAATAAGGTCAAGACACAAGTTTTATCATGGTTTTAGTGAAACCAGTATGAGATTTCATAACACTTTGAAGCAACTTTTGTTAAAGTTAAACTCATCATTCTATCAATGTGCAGAAGCCAGTACTTTTCCCTTGTTGTGTCTATCTGAAGGCCAAGCTACAAGCACACCGTGGAAGCTGCTGATTGGAGGTCTCCATGCCTCTGCTCTGTATAATACACTTGCATTCTATTGTATCTGTGATCGTGTGCTTTGTTCGTGCTGTCTCTACCATTGACAATAAAACATGTCTTCTGTCTGAATGTAAGACGCGATCCCAGACTTTGTCATCTTCTTCAGGTGGTGGAAGGATGCGGGCCTTGTCTGTAACATCTAGAGAACAGAAGACTTTTTTTTTACACAAAAAGTGTTTTTTTTTAAGCCAAAACTGAGAAACCTCAAGAGAACCCATGCATCTGGACCAGCACACTTGGACAATCTGCACAGCCCCTGATTCCACTCAGGCTGTGAGCTGCTGAGACATGGACAACACCATCGTCCTCTTTTGCATGGACATCATTTGGAACAATTGGATTTCTGAATTTGGACATCATTTGGACTGAATTGAATTGCTGAATCTGGACACTGAAGCTGAAACGTGTGATTGAAAGACACGTCACAGAAGAATTCATGGCTCGACACAACAAATGCAGCCTGAAGAAACCAACACGGAGAAGTGGGAGAGACTGTTTTCAAAGCAATATCTGGAACCACCATCGACTGATGAAGTTTGGTATTTTACTGAAGATTGTTGACAAGTTTTATGAAAGATCTGAACATGTTTTATGAGTTTTCTGAGTTTTTGAAGTATTCCGAGTTCTGAGTTTTTTGAAGTACCGAGTTTATGAGTTTTTGAAGTATTGAGTTATGATGTTATGTTGCTGTTTATCGATCCTGATGGTCACACGTGAATGTATGACCAGAGGGGGGAATATGAGATTTCATAACACTTTGAAGCAACTTTTGTTAAAGTTAAACTCATCATTCTATCAATGTGCAGAAGCCAGTACTTTTCCCTTGTTTTGTCTATCTGAAGGCCAAGCTACAAGCACACCGTGGCAGCTGCTGATTGGAGGTCTCCATGCCTCCGCTCTGTATAATACACTTGCATTCTCTTGTATCTGTGATCGTGTGCTTTGTTCGTGCTGTCTCTACCATTGACAATAAAACATGTCTTCTGTCTAAATGTAAGACGCGATCCCAGACTATGTCATCCTCTTCACCAGTTTGGACCCAAAGGACTCAGGCTGTAGACCCACACTGAGGCTGTAGACCCAGGACCGAGACAGTGGACCCAGGACAGAGACTGTAGATCCAGGACTGTAGACCCAATTATCTCAGATCCCTGTATAGACCTGTCTTCTTCTTCTTTTTGAGTACTTGCAGCCATTGTTCCCTCCTCCACCTCTCGCTGTGGTCACTTGGAGTCGCAGGGTTGTCTGCACACGTCGTCCGGGATTGTGACATGTGACATCACAGAGCGTGACATCACAGAGCGCCCCGTCGCAGGTGGAGGAGCCTGAATGACCCTGGCGACTGTGACTTCCACACGAGAAGAAAGACCCTCCACGCTCCGCACAAATGGAAGCATGTGTGGAATCTGCTCGGACCACTCTCCCATGAGGGTGAGTGAGGGGGACATGACTGATGACACCAGGGGGGGAGAGAGGGGGGAGGCGGGGGTGATCAATTATAGGGAACAAGAGAGAGGCCCTTGAATGCGCAGGACGGATGAGACACATGGAAACAAAGTGGGATCAGTTTCAGGGCTCCATCACACGACCTGCTGCTGTCTGTCTGTACCAGCAAGTTTATTTACTCTCTCCGGTCTCTCTCTGGTCTCTCTCTCTGGTCTCTCTCTCTGGTCTCTCTCTCTGGTCTCTCTCTCTGGTCTCTCTCTGGTCTCTCTCTCTAGTCTCACTCTGGTCTCTCACTCTGGTCTCTCTCTCTGGTCTCTCTCTCTGGTCGCTCTCTCTGGTCTCTCTCTTGTGTCTCTTTCTGGTCTCTCTCCCTGGCCTCTCTCTAGTCCCTGTGCTCTCCTGGTCCTTGTGCTCTCTTGGTCCCTGTGCTCTCCTGATCCCTGTGCTCTCCTGATCCCTGTGCTCTCCTGGTCTCTGTGCTCTCCTGGTCTCTGTGCTCTCCTGGTCCCTGTGCTCTCCTGGTCCCTGTGCTCTCCTGGTCCCTGTGGCGGTGGACTTTGATGCTGTGTTTCTTTGTGCTTTTCTTCCACCTCTGAGTCTTTGAAGTTCGTCCTGTTCTTCACACGCCACACCCTCTTTATGAATGAAGCAGTCCACCTGTGGGAGGGGGGAGGGAGGAGGGGAGGGAGGAGGGGAGGGAGGGGGGAGGGAGGGAGGAGGGGAGGGAGGGGGGGGGGATCAGGCCAGACAGTTACTGCATGAGGATCATCCTATTCAATAAGGTTTTCATCACAAACCACACACCTCTGTCTCAGTATACAGATCAGAGAGAGACCAGAAAGAGGTCGACCAGTTTATTCGGGTCTTCCTCCTTCCTCCCCTCTCTCCCCCCTCCTTCCTATGGTCTCCCTGGTCCCTATGGTCTCCCTGGTCCCTGTGGTCTCGCTGGTCCGTGTGGTCTCTCTGGTCCCTGTGGTCTCCCTGGTCCCTGTGGTCTCGCTGGTCTGTGTGGTCTCTTTGGTCCCTGTGGTCCCCCTGGTCCCTTTGGTCTCTCTGGTCCCTGTGGCCCCCATGGTCCCTGTGGTCTCTCTGGTCCCTGTGGTCCCCCTGGTCCCTTTGGTCTCTCTGGTCCCTGTGGCCCCCATGGTCCCTGTGGTCTCTCTGGTCCCTGTGGTTCCCCTGGTCCCTGTGGTCTCTGGTCCCTGTGGTCCCCCTGGTCCCTGTGGTCTCTCTGGTCCGTGTGGTTCCCCTGGTCCCAGGGCTGGCCTTTGAAGTGCAGCAGGTGCAGTACCTTTGAAGCTCGGGCGGTGATTCTGTGGCTCCAAACAAACACACTTAATCTTTACATTACAGAGTGAGACCAGGAGGAGCCACCTGGACCAGGAGGAGCCACCGGGACCAGGAGGAGCCACCAGGACCAGGAGGAGCCCCCTGGACCAGGAGGAGCCACCGGGACCAGAAGGAGCCACTGGGACCAGGAGGAGCCACGGTGACCAGGAGGAGCCACCTGGTCCTCCACAGGGTTAGGGTCAGCGAGTGTGTCTGGGCCAATTGCAGAAGCAGATCATTGTGATGTCAACGTTTCTCATTAAGTGTAAAACAGACGTGTTTTCTTTAAACAGCAGTATCTGTAAATATGTGAATAAAAACATCTTTCCCCATGGCCTGGAGGAGCAGCGGCTACACTCTGAGCTCCTCCCGTAGACTAAAGGCCCGTAGACTCTCGGGCCTTTAGTCCCTTTGTGGGTCGGGTTCCACCAATCAGGAGCCCCCGTGTCCCTCACAGACCTCGAGCCTCTGCAGATGGGTCCTGAGTGTTGCCTTGGGTCAAATGCAGAGCTGTCCCTAACCCTCGAGGGGGTCTCTCTCCAAAAGAGAAACCCCTCCACAGTGCCTCTTGTGGCGTGGTCCTGAAGTGAGTTCTTCTGTAACAGACTAAAGTAAAGTCTGTGTCATGAGCACAAGCTGTGATCTGTGGGGGTGTACCCGGATACAGAAATATCCATTCTATTGACCCCTTCTTTCCTCTGGAATACCTCATTACAGGACAGTCCAAAGGTAGGTCTTGGTCCAAAAGTAGGTCTTGGTCCAAAAGTGGCTCCTGGACCAAAAGTGGGTCCTGGTCCACTGCTACGTTCCAGATGCTATCGATGCTAGTTTAGCCGCTGTGTTAAATGAACAGGGCTTGGGGAATATAAACTTGTTAATGTTTACAGTCAAGAAACAAGATGGCCGCCACAGAAATCCTCTCTCTCTATCGTCCAAGAGTATATCAAGAGTATATATACCAAGAGTGTATATACTCTTTGCTATTGTCTCAGTCTGCGTCAGTTAGAACACACAAGATGGCCGCCACAGCACTGATCTGTGAACCACAGATGAAAGAGCAGACGCTTTAGTCTCATGAAAACAAGACGAGAAGGAGATCAAAGGCCACCTGTTGTGTACCGCACCACAGACAACAAGAGCCACACCCACACACACACACACACACACACACACACACATATATACGCACACACACACACACATTTCGTAAAGAAACACGCGCACACACATTTTGTAAAGAAACACACACACACACCGCTTGACACTTAACTTTTCAAAAATATATTTTAAAGTCAGCCCCAAAGTGCAGTCCCCCTGGGCCCCTCTGAGCCTGCACACGGCCCTGCTCTCCTAGGGGGGGGGGGGGGGGGGGGGGGGGGGGGGGGGTGTGTGTGTAAGTTACAGGCCTCTCCCGCTGATCGCCTAATTGAAAGGCTCCTAAACCTCCGTGCTGCAGTCTGGTCTCAGCTCAGACCTCCGGGAAACAGCCCGAGTCAGACAGGACTCCCCCATCGTCTGCTCCACGGGACACATACCTCAGCTCCCCCAAGGGGGAGACAGACAGGACCTCGGCTCCCCCAGCGGGGAGACAGGACCCTGAGGATCCGAGGTCTTAAAGAACACTGACACTTGTAAAGGTCAAGAAACATGTGAGTAAAGAACCATGTGACTCGGGGCTGGTGTGTTTGAGTGACGTCAGAAGTTAAAGTAAAAAGAGGTTGTTTTAAAAACAGAAACGTGAAGTAATTGGAATTGAAAAGTGCTATACATCACACACACATAGACACACACACACAGAGAGAGACACACACACACACACACACACACACACACACACACACAGACAGACACACACGTAGGAAGCTGCACATCCTCTTATAATTACACTAATCAGGCGTTTGAATCAGGACTAAATGAAAGGAAGGACTCTTCACTACACATGAGAGGAGAGAGGGAGGAGAGAGAGAGGAGAGAAGAGAGGAAAGAGGAGGGAGGAGAGAGAGAGGAAAGAGAAGAGAGAGATAAAAGAGGAGAGAGAGGAGAGAGGACAGAGGAGAGAGGACAGAGGAGGGAGGAGAGAGGAAAGGGGAGAGAGGAGAAAGATTTACAGGTTAATGATGACATTACAGGGCGACAGTGGCTCAGTGACAACTGAGCCACTCAACCTGAAGGTTGTGGGTTCGAGCCCACCACGAGACCTACTTCCCGACTCCCACTGATGTCTGCTGTCGCTGTGTTATTGGGGATGACACTTAACCCCAGTTTGCCTGAAGCCCCCACTGAAAGACCAAGGCTCCTATGGACTCACCACCTGCAGGAGGATCAGTGAGGGGCTGGTGCACTGGGTGCTGCTCTGACTGCCACCCCCCCGACCCAGGAATGAATTAAGGGGAAGAAAATGGATGGATGACATCACATGCAGTTCTTATATATGGCCCCATCTCACCAACACTAACCAGAGCTCACTGAGGTCACAGAGGCCCTGAGCGCACGCACAGTACACATCCACTTTATCAGTGGAAGTCACACACACGCACACACACACATGCACACACACACACACATACACACAGACACAGTGTCTATGGAGGGCAGCTTTAAAGGATAAATACTATGCGTTATTTTAGACTTAAAAAATCATAATGTAGCATCTGCTCCATGTAAGTCCCTATGCTGCCACTAGAGGGAGCAGCGTCTGCAGTCAGAGCTCCTTGTCGCTCCCTATGCAGTCACTAGATAAAGGGGGAGAATTTTTGTTATTTGTTTTTTAAATAGAAACTGACTAGCTCACCTGAGAGATTGCTAAAGCTAATTCAGGGACAATACTTTTGTTTTATACAGTCAAAACGTTTACAGGGGGCATGTCCCTTCTCAGGGGCGTGGCCCTGCTCAGGGGGCGTGGTTTGGCTCAAGGGGCAGAGCTGGAGCGATACAAAACCTGCCTCTCTCAGTTTTCAAATGTCTCATTGAAAGCTTCGGCCTCTTTGATATTTTAAAGCAGGTATCACAACAAAAGCTCCGACAATTGTTGGTGCGGGCCGACCGCAGCTGAGGAGGGGGGAGGACGAGGGAGGAGGGGGGGGGCAGGTCGAGTTACAGGGGGAGGCGACCCGGGCCTCACCTTCTGTTCCCACTCGGGTCATGAGTCCAAACGCTCAGGAGGTTTCAGAAAGATAAAATAACACAGTTTCCCAAAGTCGACAACAGGCACCTGCTCTCACAGAGAGGGGGGCTTTAGGACCCAGGGGCCGGCGGTCTGTGGCTTTAACTGACAGGGTCTGTGATTTAACTGACAGGATCTGGGGCTTTAAAGGAATAGGCCACCGTTTTTACATACTGACATATGTTCTTACCTTAGACTAGTTGATATGTACCTGTCTGGTCTTTGTCCGTGCGCTCTGTCATGCAAACGGAGCGCAGCAGCCTCTTCCACATACTGTATAGTTCCAAATCAGCTCCCGTTAGAAGCTACCAAACTCTTCCACGTTTTCCCTATTTAAATACAGTTACGTGACGTGTTACTACATGTTACATTTCTGTGTTACTATACTTTGTAGAGTAACACAGAAATGTAACATGTCAATTTTCTCAGCGGATAAAAAGGGGTACTATATTGTGAGGCGTAATAATACGAGGAGCCCTACGTCCGCGCACTAACTCCTAAAGACTTCTTTCCCGCTAGGGCAGAGCATGTAGGGCAGGGGGAAGCCACGGGGGGAAAGTCGCGAGCAGAGGAGAGCAATGAGCCGAGGGAAACCACGGAGACGAGCCACGAGCAAAGGAAGCCATGGAGGAAAACCACGAGCGGGTCCCATCAAGCACCAAGGAGACGTACCGCGAAGCGACCTACACGCAGCGGCGGGGCTCATACCCCGCCTGCGCAGTAAGTAGCGGTCCAAGACGCGTTTACCCCTCGTAGCCTTTGGCCTATATCCGTGTGCCTTTTCCTGCTCCGGTGTGCTCTCTTCCCCCAGGAGTCTACGGCCTGTGATTGGGAGTGGAAGCTGGAGCGGTCCAAGACGCGTTTACTTTCATAGCCTTTAGCCATATACAGTGGGGCAAAAAAGTATTTAGTCAGCCACCGATTGTGCAAGTTCTCCCACTTAAAATAATGACAGAGGTCTATAATTTTCATCATAGGTACACTTCAACTGTGAGAGACAGAATGTGAAAAAAAAATCCAGGAATTCACATTGTAGGATTTTAAAAGAATTTATTTGTAGATTATGGTGGAAAATAAGTATTTGGTCACTTCAAACAAGGAAGATCTCTGGCTCTCACAGACCTGTAACTTCTTCTTTAAGAAGCTCTTCTGTCCTCCACTCGTTACCTGTATTAATGGCACCTGTTATCTGCATAAGAATGTAGCCCAAAACTATATTTCAACCACTGATAATCTCCCTCAATCTGGGGCTCCACGCAAGATCTCATCCCGTGGGGTCAAATTGGTCATGAGAACGGTGATAAAAAAATCCCAGAACCACACGGGGGGACCTGGTGAATGACCTGCAGAGAGCTGGGACCAAAGTAACAAAGGTTACCATCAGTAACACACTACGACGACAGGGAATCAAATCCTGCAGTGCCAGACGTGTCCCCCTGCTGAAGCCAGTGCATGTCCAGGCCCGTCTGAAGTTTGCCAGAGAGCACATGGATGATACAGCAGAGGATTGGGAGAATGTCATGTGGTCAGATGAAACCAAAGTAGAACGGTTTGGTATAAACTTAACTCGTCGTGTTTGGAGGATGAAGAATACTGAGTTGCATCCCAAGAACACCATACCTACTGGGAAGCATGGGGGTGGAAACGTCATGCTTTGGGGCTGTTTTTCTGCTAAGGGGACAGGACGACTGATCCGTGTTAAGGAAAGAATGGATGGGGCGATGTATCGTGAGATTTTGAGCTAAAACCTCCTTCCATTGAGTTGAATTTCTGTTATGGACCAAATACTTATTTTCAACCATAATTAACAAATAAATTCTTTAAAAATCCTACAATGTGAATTCCTGGATTTTTTTTTCACATTCTGTCTCTCACAGTTGAAGTGTACCTATGATGAAAATTACAGACCACTGTCATTATTTTAAGTGGGAGAACTTGCACAATTGGTGGCTGACTAAATACTTTTTTGCTCCACTGTACGTGTGCTGTGTTCTGCTCCGGTGTGCTCTCTTCCCCCCAAGGCAGGGCCTACGGC